TCCGGTATATACTTTTATAAGTAATATTCGGGCTTCTTATATATAAAATACAACTTCGGGATATAATTATCGCAATTATAGGGCTTAAAGTAGTTATTACGGGTTCCGAAGTTACGGCTAGATTTGTATTAACGATTTCCGGAAGAATAATAGCTTAAAGGGTTCTAAAAGTAGTATTATTAACTAGTAAAGAAGGTTTCGGGATTAGCTTATTATTCGCTCTTATATATAGTAATAGACGACTAGAGCTTATTAATAAGCTGGCCGAGATTTATAGAAGAGTCTGAGATTATATATTTATATATCCGGAAGCCAAAGGTTTCGGGATTAGCTTATTATTCGCTCTTATATATAGTAATAGATAACTAGAGCTTATTAATAAGCTGGCCGAGATTTGCAGAAGGGTCTGAGATTGCGTATTTATATGCCCGGAAGCCTTAATAAGAGGTAATGATTTTATTATAGAGGAATTCGGTATTTTGCAAGTTAGATATAAGACTATACTATAGTTAATATAGTTTATTAATTAGTAGTTAAATAGTTTTAAAGATTGTTTTTTCCGGGAATTTAGCCGTTATAGAAGCCAATATAGTAGCGTTCTATATATCTAAATTTCGATATTCGAATTCAGGGCCTTTAAAGAAGCTATAAATATTAATACAAGCCTTTTTATATATATATTAAGAGAGCTAGTTACTATAGAAATAGTTTTAAGCTAGTTCCTTTAATATAGTAGGAAAAGCTTGTATTAGTGCCTTTTATAGAAGCTTTATATATTAGCAGATATTAAGGAAAATAGTGAGTTTATAGTTAAAATTACTATTAGATCTATTATACTTTTACTCTTTAGTATAGATCTTGGCGACTTCCCTAATAAGTCTTATAGTCGAAGGTAATTGGGGGGCATTCGGATATAGTTACGGTAGTAGTAGTAGGGCTAGTAGAAGTAGTAGGGCTAGTAGAAGTATATTATTTGCTCCTAGAGCTTCCGTACTAGTATATAAATCTGGTAGAGATATAGGATATAGAGGTAGAGGTAGTAATAGTAGTATAGAAATATTAAAGATAATAGGTTCTAGGCACTTGTTTTTAATAAGAGTAATAAAGCCTAATAGGATTAGTCCCTTAATTAGATCTAGTCTAGCTACTAATAGATCCTCGTTTATCCAGATATACTATATATCTTCTTTAATAATAGAAAGTAGAGTAATTATAATAATAAGGGTACCGGTATTCTATTATATATATATACCGCTATACTAAAGAACCTTATATAGGCGTAGTATCTCCGGAAGTTCAAGCTTATTAAAGTTCCCTTAATAGGTAAAGTCCTTAAAGTTATATCTAAATAGCTCTCAAAGGTTATTATTAATTATTTTATAGAGAATATATTAAAATAGCTTGATATCTAAGAACTCAGATATCTTATATACTATAGTAGTATTAAGATTAATTCTATATTTCCATTTTATTACTATTTTCTTGAAATTATTAGTCCCTACAGGAACGGAGTAATCGGATTGGACGGATCCGATAAAGGAATTATCCGCTATAGTAGATTCCGCTATTATATATTCTATAGGCTTATACCCAGTTCGAGGTATAGTAATTCGTAAGGAGGGTAGATTTGTAAAAAGAAGGGTGGTTTGTAAGGTAGGTGGGTAGAGTTTGTTATATTCGAGGTAAAAATTTCGTCTAACGAGAAATTTAGGAAGTGAAATTTAAGGAGTGAAATATCGAGATTCCGGGAGAACTTGACGGTTCTAAAGCTTAAGAGCCCCAGATATTCAGATAGTTGTAAGGAGAGTAATTTTTCGTAAGGAAGGTGGTTTTATAAGACAGTTAGATAGTTAAGTGGCTAACCGTTTAGTAGTTAGCAAGAATTAGTATCTTTCCTTCCTATAGAACCGAATTATAGGCAAAGGCAACTATTATTTCCCCCCTTTAATATAGCTTAGTCGGGCCTTAGTAAGATTAAGTATCTTTCCCTCCCTATAGAACCGAATTACAGGCAAAGGTAGTTAATAGTTATCTCCTCTTTAATATAGAATAATGGCTTTGCCCCTAAGGAACCGAATCTTAAGCAAGTGCAGCTTAATCCTTCTTACTATCTGATTTATATATATAAAACAGGTCTTATTCTGATCTGAATACAAACTGATTAGTATCGGTTTACCAGTAATATATAGTACTATTATATAGGTATAGAAGTGCTATTTGCGTATAGTTAGTAAAGTTATTATTTAGAAGTAAGGATTGCAGTATTATAGTATTAATATGCAATTCCTAAATCTGCTAAGCCTAATAGGGACTAGCTACCGGTCGAGTCACTAATGGAACGCGAGGTTATATAACTATATCCCTTATCCCATATCCCATTACCTATATCCCGTATCCCGTATCCCGTAACTATATATATAACTTCCAAAGGAATAGCTATATTAATAATTAGCTATTATAATAAATATAATTTTACTTATTTCTTTAATTTTTCTAAATTTTATTCTTTATTTTTATTTAATATTCTTTCTATTTTCTAAAAGCTTCTCTAGATTATTTATATAATTTTTTATTTCCGATTTCTTTTTAATTCTTATTTCTGGCTTTTATTTACTATTTTACTTAAAATTAAAGATATTTTCTTTTTTAAATATTTTCCCCGGATTTAGAAATAAGCTTTTCTATTAAAACTAAAACTATTTTTATTTTGGTTTTTATTATAACTAAAAGTAATATATAAATTAATAATATAACTTTATTTTCGAATATTAAAGTTTATTTATAACTAAAATCTAATTTATATTATCTTAATATAATATTTCTTATTTTATTTCCTTTATTTCTTTTCTTTTTATAATTAGTTTCTATTTTTATTATTTTTATATATTATACTAGTAATTATATTTTATAACTAACTTATATTTAAATTACTAAATATATTAGAAATTAATTTAAGATATAAAGATTAATATTTATATATTCTTAATATTTTAGCCTTAAACTTAAGGTATTATAATAGCTCTTTTTTTTCTAAACTTACTAAGCTAATAATCTGCTTTATAAAAACTTCTTAGAACTTTATAAAAGTATTACCTTAATTATAAAATTTTAATTTTTCTTATATTACTTACTATAAAATATATAAGAGAAAAACTATAATAAGATAAAAACTTATATAAAGTATACTAAAGTATAAAATATAACTTAATAGTAAAATAATAAAATTAAAGGCATAAATAATAAAGTATAAATAATAAAGTATAAATAGTATATAGTATATAAAAGCTTAATTAATTAAATATAAGAAAGGAATTATTATCTGGAACTATAGAAAAGCCAGCTTTCTTATATAATTCCCGCAAGTTATATATAAAAGGCTCTAACCTTTATTATATAACTAAAACATTAAAACTATTAAAAATAAAGTAATTTTAATAAAGTATAGCTTGCTCTACTATACTAGTTATATAATTATATATTACAGGTATAACTCGACTAGTAAACTAGTTCCTATTAGGCTTAGTAGATTTGGGATTATATATTAATACTATAATCTATAATTCTTACTTCTAAATAATAACTACTTTACTAACTTATATAAATAGTATTCTATAATTATATAATAGTACTATAAATTTCTGGTGAACTAATAATTAAAGATATTTTAATACTTGAAAAATAATATAAATTATAATATTTATTTAATAAAAACTTTATTATTTAATCTTTTATTAAATAATATTATATAATTATATTTATTATTTAATTGAAATATATTAGCTTATTAAAGGCTAGTAAATAGATTTAATAAATTAGAGCCTTATTTAAGAAATTGAAATATATTTAATATTTAAATATTATTTTATTAATTTTTATATTTAATAATAAATAAAATTATATAATATTAATTAAAAACCTTATAACTTATAACTAAATTAAATATATTAATATTTGTTATTATTATATTAAAAAGCTAATAACTTTTAATAAAGTTATTATTAAATATATTTTTAAAAAAAAGAAAAAATAACGAATATATTTATTAAATACTTATTTTTACTAATTTTTAAATATTATATAAAAGAGTTATTATATTATAATTATAGAATTACAAGCTATATTTTTAAATATTAAAGCTATAAAAGCTTTAATAAATAAAATAATATTTTTAAAGTTTATTTCTTTAAAGCTATTTATAATAATATATAAGAAAACTATTAATATTAGAAGCCTAAAACCTTTAATAAGCTAAGTAAATTTTAAAGCTAAATATTTTAAAGCTAAATACTTTAAGGCTAAATACTTTAAGGCTAAATTCTAGGGGCTATATATTAATAAAGCTTAAGTTATAAGCTTAATATTAAATATATTATATTTTATAAAATTAAATTAGCTTTTAATCTAGTTATCTAATATAATTATTTAACTAGTATTACTTATATTCTATTACCTCTAATTACTTTCAAGTCACATGACTACTCACGTGACGCGGCTACTTCGCCAAGGAAATATACTTGAAATATACTAGAGATATTTAGAATATTAAGCTTCTTATAAACTAGTATATTATAAAATATATACTTATATTCTTGCAATTTCCTATATTCTAGTTTCTCCTTCTTTAACTTTTAATTATCTTTATAAAAGACCTTTTATCTTATTCTTTAAGCCCTAAATATTATATTTATAATATTTAATATATATAATTTAGAGAATATAATTTAAAAAAATTTAAGGCTATATATATAAGCTATTAATTATTATAATATAATAATTAATTTAGTATTATTTATTTAATTTATATTATATATATATAACCTTAGCTTTATTAAACTAATTTAATAAAGTAATTAAAGGAAGTTAATTATATAAGTAAAACTTCGAATAAGAACTATAAAGAAATAAGAATTTATAGCCTTTAAAGAAGGCTTAATTGCAACTTTAATAACGTTAAAGGATTTAAAGATAAATTACTAGTAAATATATCTTATTAGTTAAATAACATTATATAATAATTATGTGCTTTACTACTTATTACTTCCCCGAGTACTATTATCGGTTCATACTGTGTCATTTCACCTAGAGAAGAAAATTAGGCCGTATCTAATACCTTCTTCTCTAGGTGAAATAACACAGCATGCTGTCGCTAACCCTTTATAGCCGAAGTGGCGGCGTCTGATAAGATTACAACCCTTCTCCCCCAGCCAGTCCTCAATCACAGACATTACAGATACCCAACCGCTGAATGAGATCTATCTACCACACTTGTATCAATTTATTAATACTCAATCCTGACCCATCTATGGTTTAGATCCAAGGATTAAATCCATCCATCTTCCGTCCTTTGTGACTGCTAGAGCGGCGGCGGCTTGAACTTCGGTACAAACAAATCCGACTTCAGATTCTTGTTCTTGAGATTCTAGTTTCCATTTAGCAGTCTCACACAAGAGCAATAAACCTGCTTTTCGGCTTTGCTCGCATCCAATCCATCTGACAAATAGCAGTGTACGAGACCTGGATCCTCTTGTAAACAGGCAATCTCGCGTTCTGATATAGCTTTGTTAAAATGACCTTGAACCTGCGTTGCCGGGGCTGGCCAGAATTGGAATAGATTCCAGCTGTTGACACGAAAAAGTGCATATAGGTCGGCTCTTTTTCTCGCCATTTGGGCTTGAGACGGATCGAACCAATTTGGGGACCCCCTTTGTGGATGCGAATGGGAAAATCGTAGGTTGCTGGATGATAAACAACATCTAAAGGTGGGTCGACATATAGAGATGCGCAGCTGGCCCAGAGGAATATGTGGTGGGAAAGAGGTGGCTTTGACGGATTTGGCTCCTGGATGTAGGTGCTGATAAGTATTTCACAGGGCTGCGGAGTAAAGTGTCGTCGGAGCAGCCTCTCGAAGCGAGAAATCTCTGCCGCATCATCGGAACTCTCGCTGAGGTGCCTGAAAATCCGCTCGAAGTCGCAGTCTTCAATCGTTTGAATACTTCCGTTGTCGTGGATTTTGTAGCAAGTCAACACCGAAATATCAGCCACTTGATCATCAAAGCCTTCATAAATATCATGGAAGCTCCCCTTTCTTAGAGGAAGAGAATCATTCGTATGGATCCAACCTGCCCAAGACCAACTCGGAAAGCCCGCCCTCTCCGTACTTGGCCACGGCAAGTGTGTTGTCCACTGCAACGCAGCCCCGAACTGTTTAGACGGCAAGCCCCAGATATTGTTTCCAATGCCCTCCTGCCCAAGTTCCCTATCCTCCATTTGAGTCAATATACCGGTAAAGGCATTCAAGACATCCTTCTCATAACTCAGATTTCGGCGAACGAATTGTGCTACTAGTTGCGAAAAAGTACTTGGGTAATGGCGATGGGGGCTTTTTACCCTTCTATAGAAGGGCGGCAAAGGAAGGTCCCATTTCCGTGCTTCCCCGAAGCAATCCGAGAATCCGAGGCCGAAGTCTTCACATCGCAGTGAATGCTCACAACGCAAGAAAGCATACGAGCCTGTGAAGAATAGGACTCTTCGAGATAGTGCGTATTCCTGCAAAGTCCAGCCACGCGATGCCCAAGCGGATTTTGCAATTTCCTGAGCAGCGAGTTGAGGGCTCAAAGATGCGACGAAGCTGCCATTTGAAGTTGTTCGAAGCAGGTAAGAAATGTCGGAATTGCGTCGACCGTAAGGGGCCAGACCGGCACTCGAATCTTCCCCTGCAGCCGCGACGATTGCAAGATAAGATAGACTGTATATATCAGCCATCGAGCTGATCTGGCTGTACTTGTTCTCTTTGCAATCCTGGACGATGCATAAACTGTCGACCCAGAGAAAGTGGCACCCAATTCCTCGACAGAGAGCGATGGCGTCAAGTATGGTCCTGGGGAGGTCGAGACCTGTCAGAAAGTCTCGCATTTCTGCTTTGTCTTTGTTCGAGGACTTCAATAAAGGCTGTTCCTTGTCGCCCCATACATAGCTTAACGCGCAGTACTCGACCTGCTTCTTGGGCTGAACGATGCGATATTCATCAACATCGATAAGTCGAAAGTCTTCCGGTAGAGACTTGAGCGAATTATCGGGAGGGATACACTCATGCTTTTCATATTCTTTCAACCAAGGCAGACATTTGTGCTTTTTACATTGTTTCAACCAGTCTTTGAGCTCATTGACGTCAAATGACACCGACGCCTGAAGCTCTTCGTTGGGGAATGAGGCTGGAGGGGGTTTGCAGTGTCGAATACTGTAGTTCAAGTTTGTGCTGGTTTGCCCATCATCCATGTGGATTTGAAGCTCGTGACCAGCGTAGACCCCACGGAGTGTTCCTTGTAGAGGATGGTGGATGTCTCCGCCAGGGAATCTGCAGTGGAGAAGCAGCTGGCAAAATTGACAAGTTTCCGGGGAAAATACGGTCCAGGATATGTCCGGTAGCGTTTCGCTATGTTGACCCTCCACCAGCGGTTGAGTGAAGAAGTCGAAATTGATCCTAGCACACTGAGGACAAATCGTATCGACCGAAGACATCGCCCTTCCGGACTCCTAGGTGAATGCCTAGCTAAGACTGTTTGAAAGTTTCGCCGAGTATCGAGTCGCTCCGAATCAAACAGCGATGGGACAATCTTCAAGGCCAAACGTACGATGGCGAGATTTAGCATTCAGGGTTTGGGGAGGCCCCGCTCTTTTGGGATCTTCGACTGGATTCTGGAGGGATTGGAAGTAACCATGGTGAGAGATTTGAGTCTAGCGGTGTGCAGCCGGCTCTCTGCCGTGTCACGGCTTTGAGGCTGTGCTCCACCAATTTTTTTCAGCTGGAGTTCGGTGACCCAATTCGGCAATCCGCCGGTACAGCCTCCTCACCATAACACTTCAAAAGATTTGGATGTATATATAATTACTTCCTCACAGAAAAATATCAATTGGCAGTACAAGCAAAATGGAAACCCAAAAGAAGGTCATTACCGTCATTGGGTAAGTAGTTTTCCACCGACTTTTGTCTGCCTACTGCTCACACCTGGGTGTAGCGCTGGTGTAACCGGCCTTCAAACTTCGATATCACTCCTTGAAGCTGGGTATCGAGTTTGCATAATCGGCAAACATCTCCCTGGTGACGAATCTATCGAGTATACGTCGCCATGGTACATTTCCCCTTCACGGTGCAACAATACCCATTTCTGACACCAATCACAGGGCTGGAGCTCATTGGCGTTCTCATGCTCCCGACTCGGATCCTGAGCAGCAGCAATGGGACACAGAAACGTATAAGCGTTGGCTTGATGTAATTGAAAAGGAACGCCTAAACCCTGGTCAGAAATCTTTCTCTGGACTTGCGGTATGCCAAAAGTTTGCTTCTTCATTCTCGCTCTTTCCACGCCCGCTTTCTACTGGCTCTAGGCAATACCTTGCTGATATTGAATCAGCTCCGCAACTCTCGCTTCTTCAGGTATTTGTGGCATATAATTCATCCATTGAGACCTCACTCAATTGTCTGTAGTGCCTCCCCAGAAGCCCCATGGTTCTCCAGCAATGTGCTTTCCTATGAGCAGATTCCGACAGAGAACCTCAAAGAGGGCTTCAAACAAGGCCATACCTATACTTCGGTCATAGTGAACGTACCAATGTATCTCAAATATCTCCAGCAAAAAGCAGAATTTCTAGGAGCCATTGTCATCCGAGCTGCTCTTCCCATCGGTAGCGCCTTCTCCGAAACCCTCCAGGCCGCAGCCAATGTGGTGAAAGAGCATTTCAATCAATTCAACTACGCCGAAGGACCTCCGATATCAGCCTTCGTGAACGCCACTGGCATCTCCGCACTCAAGCTCGTTCCGGACCCAAATATATACCCAGTCAGAGGACAAACTGTCACCGTCGCAGGAGAAGCCAACCATATCACAACAATCGATGCCCTCTCCGCTAACCCTACACCTACGAGTACACCAATCGTGTACATCTTGCCTCGACCTCATTCAAATACTACTATTTTGGGAGGCACAAAGCAGATCGGAGACTGGACTGCAGAACCGGATCCTCAGACGACAGTAGAAATTCTCGGTCGAGCAAAGGAGTGGGCCCCGGAACTGCTCAACGAGAAAGGTGAGTTTGAAGTTCTGAGTGTGCAAGTTGGTCTCAGGCCCGGGCGAAAGGGGGGTGCCAGAGTGGAGATTGAGAACTTGGATGGGGTTACGGTGTGTCATGCTTATGGGCATGCTGGTGCTGGATATCAGAATTCAGTTGGATCGGCGAACAAAGTTGTTAAGTTACTGGAGAAGCATTTCGGAGAAGTGAAAAGTGGGTAGAATAAATACTAGGCTGGCGAAGTCGCGAGATTGCGTAAATCGGCCGTTGCTATTTTCAAACCCAGAACCTGCGCCAAATCTGAAGCTCTTCATCATTTCCCATCCACTATTAGTGCTCTTAGTCTTCGCTCGTCTGGACTATGGTCATGAAAAAGGAATCTCTAGTACCTGAAAACCAAGGCTTATGACTTGGGCAAACCCTTCACTCATCTGAGGTTTTTCAAACTCACTCGTGAGTTTCAGGAAGGGAATTCTTGGGAAAATCCGTTGGCATTCGGGATTCATCTGGAGAGGTTTTAGTCTAAGTGATGAATTGATATTTCGGCAGAAAGTCTTTAGCCATTTGGTTGAGCGGGCTACCACCTATATCACCTCCAAGCGCCCGAACGGTGTCATTGTGAAGACACAAATCAAATGGCAGATCAAAGTACATGGCCGTGGCTCTGATATTATACTTGCGTGCGATAGATAGCCATGCCTGTCGACTATAGGCGGTGGAATTGATGTTATCTGGACCCTGTTAGTGGTGAAAACAGGAAATTTGATTGGTGTCGTCATGGATCCGATATACCAATGGCTACCTGTAGCCCATGAGTTGAGTTCTAACAACGGTAGTCATTGGAATACTAACTCGTGTTTCCTCTGCAAGGCTCTTCTCAGCCTCTTCTGCGCACTTCTCCTGAGAGCCGAGCTTGTGTAAGGATATCTGGTGATAGCCCAATGGTTGAGGAACCTTTTTGTAGAAATACGACTTTCCCGTTCCTGGCGCGCCCACGAGGACAATCATCTCCTTGTTTCGATACTGTTCTCGAAGATCCAGGTCTATCCATGTATTAACGACCGGAAAACTTTGGCCAGAAATCATTGGTTATACCTGCCCAATCGCTTTGGTTCTCAAGGAACCAAGCAGGATCAAACTTATGGCCAGTAATTTCGCCAGTGATGTTCAGAAAAAAATCCTCGGGAGTATGGAATCTAACACCAATGTTCATGCTGTAATGGAGGTCCGCATCCGTATGATCACTAGCTCTCCCAGCAGCGTCACCCACGAGGTAAGAGTTGTTCTCGTTAATCTCTTGTCCTTTTTGTTGAGATTCCTGGACCAAGAGCTTCTAGATGCCAGTCCTCGGCTTCCTCCAATTGTCATTCGCACACGCCGCGTAGATAGTAAGAGGCACGTCCAAAATATCGAGTATTTGCTCGATCTTCTGTTGGAATAGCTGAACTTCGGGGCCTCCATTCCCGTCAGAGTTGGTAAGACGCCCTTGGTTGGTGATGATTTTGATCACAAAGCCTTGGTCATACGTTTCCTGCATCTTCGATGGGACGATTGGATTCCACCATTCCCAGTCATCGGGATTTTCGGCTTGGGGCTTGCCCGACTTGGTATTGATGAGGGTGCCGTCCTTACAGACACTATTAGTACGTCAATCCTATCGACACCAAAGGACACCGCACCAAGTCAAATGCTGCGATTTTAACAGCCGAACCATTTTCGCATTGCCTCTCAGCTTTATCGAGCGGAGAAAATACCCCGGTTAAGAGGCTGCCTGACTGTATTGTCCAAGTTATCATAACCACCGTGTAATACAGTTGATGGCTCGCAGAGTGCCAAGCAAGTTTGGAGGAGTATTTGAGCGCTGGTGGGTTGATCGGGTACTCGAGTTCCCGCTTAAATGCAACGCCCATTACGCGCAATGCTAAAATACATAATAGATCGCGAAAACTCACAATTTGTATATTTTAATAACTTTTTTAAATAATTAACTTATAAACCCGCATTCTCTATTATAATATATAAGCTAAATAATAAGAGTTTTCAAAATATAAAGACTTTAAATAAAGAATTAAATATTAGAATTTTTTTTAAAAAAAATATTAATAAAAAAGGTTATTATATATAAAATATTTCGAATTAGCTATTATAAATATAAGCTTAATATTATATATAGTTTATATTTATATAATATTTTTAAAAATAAAAGCTTATATTAAATTGTTATAATTTAATATTATTTTTATATTTCTAATAATAAAAGAAAAATATAATATTAATTTATTATTATTATAAATATATATTAGGTAAAATCTAATTTCAGATTATTTAGTAATCTTATAATAGCTATTTTATTATTATTATTATTATTATTATAGCCTAAAGCTAAGTATTTAACTCTCGGGGGTTTTTTAGAATAACTTTTTAGAGGTATTCTAAAAAAACTGAGATTAGTATAAGAGCAAATACTAGTATCTAAATGCTAGCGTTCATTGCTAGTATTCTTAAAAACGCGAAATACTTTTAATTATAATATCCGAATACTAATATTACGAAATCGACAGTATTCGAATATTCAAGTATTGCGAAACAGGGCTTAACTAGTCCGTGGCGGCCACATTGCTGTTTGGCAGCCGCTCCTTTTTCCTCCCACCTAACCAAGCGCAGATGGTAGTGATTACATGATATAGCCAAAGAATAATATAGAGTAGCAGAGCAATTGCTGTTACAGCCAAAGGGAAAATGATAGACGCGACAGAGAAACCATATGACCCTTTGTTGAATCCTTTATTGTCCCTGAGTTGATATGTGGCAAGTCCAACTTGCATTGCTGACAGAACGATGGAAAGATAGGCAAATGCAACAATGAGCCAGGCAAATTCCCGTCTGAAAAAGCCACCGTAGCTTGAATACGAGTAAAGATAACCTTGCGCTAGGTGACTAAGCAAGAACTGAGGCCGGAAGCGGTAAATCTGATTGAGCCTGGAAATGCGCAATTCCCCATATCTATATCTCTTGCTGATCGGGCCTGGATGGCTGGGGACATCTCTTTGCCAGACAGATTCGACAAAAGCTCTCCAAACAGGCCACGTTAAGTCACTCGGGAGAAGCCATTTGTCTTTGGCAATTTCGAAGTCGCTCTTGTACCGAATCAGCCAGATATAAGATAAGACAAACCCACGGGCACTCTCATATAACTGTTCATCGTTGCAGATATGGGTCGTCCAGAATGAATAGATGAGAAAGAAGTCTGGAAGTGGCTTCACGAAAACGCTCTCCACGGACCACACGAGATGAAGATCAGCCTGCTCCGTAATGACGATCTTACGACCTAGCATCTTCAAGCGATGAAGTGGGCGAGGCGGTACTTGTCTGCCGGCCCACCAGAGGAGATCGTAAACTTTATCCAGCCGGCTTACATCGAGGTCTTTCTTCAAAAACGCCTGAATATTTGCACTTGGGTGTAAGGTCTCACATGACCAATAATGCGTGTCGACGTGAATTGTGGATAGATCAACAGATCTAAACAGCGTCTGAGCCTCGTTCGATGCCTCAGCGTCTTCTCCATCATGTGCTCCGCGATTTCCATTAGGAGGGAGCACAGGATTTTTGGCAGATACGATTCTATCCGCATGAACAGGTTCAGCAAATGGAGGTGACCTCTGTGTCTCGGAGTGAAGATGAGCGAGTGCAGCTAGTTAGGGGGTTGGGGGTGCATACAACCGCAGCCGCCATGACGAGTTCCGTCCCGAGATAACCCAAGCAAGATTAGATAAAGGGCTGTGTTGGGGGGTTCAAAATAACGGCGTAGGAAAAGCATGCAATTCAACCATCTAGGCTGCTATCTGGGGTTGTTTATTCCGACAATTCTGCGTCGCGGATCAAGCGCCAAGGCACACACGTTCCAAGGCGTCAAATGCTGTTCAAATGGCAACTCCAATGAGGATACAGATCCTCACGGCCTAGAAGGGTTCACCGGCCAAACGCCCAAACCACTCAACCGCCCGCTTATACCCCTGTCAAAACACGAAAAATTTGTAGTTTCATTAAAGTGCTTAAAAAATTTCGAAAAGTTTTAGAATGACTAAAGTGAGGTCATATACCGCGAATTTCGACTTGTTTTCTTTGTTTTGTGGTGTGGTTGTGGTGTAATATAGTCTTGGGCCGTTGGGTGGTTTGGGCGTTTGGCCGGTGGACCCTTCTAGGCTGAGCATATTTCTGGCGTTTATTTAGCGGCTGGCTCACAAACTCAGCCTGATATGTTCCAGCTGGAACAACTTCTACCTCGCTGCTCTTCTGCAACCAACATTCCTATGACTTAGTATCTCAATTGAATATCATGGATCCATCCATCACACCCACCCTCACCACACCGCCTCCCTTCACACCACCTCCCTTCACCACACCACCTACCTTCATCACATCACCTACCTTCACCACAACACCTAGCATCACCACAACCAACCTCCCAATATCCCACAATGTACTAGGCATTACTTCAAGCGACTCGAGATTTCAGCTGGTCAACTCGCTCTACGGTCCCGGAACGGTTGGATGTTGGCTAATGATAATATGCTCCGTTATCATCTCATGGACACTCAATCCACGCCAAAGAAAAATCGATCATATCACCAATGATTTCATTGCGAGCCTAACATTTCCATGCATCGCGTCCGCGCACCTAGCCTTTCTGCTACACCAGCTTCTTGTGCCACTTTTGGAAGTCCTCACATCCCCGGACTTAGAAATGCTTCAACAGGCTGCTGCTATTGAAGCGCCGCTCAACATCTGCGAAACTTTTTCGATGCTCGCTCTGTTGCTATTTGCAATTGCGGCTTGGCGGCTACAAGTCAAACGAGCGGTGCTAATCTTGATTGTTGGAGTGCTGAGTTGGAACATGGTGAATAGTGTGTTTTTCGAAAGCCAGGCCAAGAACACTGAGCGACGGCCGCTGAGCTTAGATGAGGGGTCGATAAGCCATGAAGCTGTAATAGCATTTGGCTGGATCATCTTGTGCATGATGCTTTTACCTATCATTCTTCTTATTGCTCTCACTGGAACTTGTATCATACTTTGGCTAAAGCCCACAGCCGTCATTAGCGCCTTGTCCACACCCGTCGCCGTTTTGGTAGCGTTTCTTGTGACAAGTGGCCTTCTGGCGGATGAAGGACCTATTTTTACATCTCGACCATTCTTCATTCCAAGGACGGGCGTGAGTATGCAAGCCTTGACCAAATAGTTGCAATGTGCGGCGGCGGTATTACACTTCTCTTTAGCCTTTTGGAGGCGTTCAAAGAAGATTATGATTCAAGGACAAATCAAGAGGAAAATCTAGAAGGGGACTTTGTTCAACTAGTGGGTCTGCGTCATGGGACTAGTTTAGGACAGCATGTTCTGGCCTAGAGAAGGAGTTTAATTTAGTTGGTTATATTTATAGCACTAGGGGCGCTAGCAGAAAGCTATTGGAACCCTCTTTACATCTTTATTTGTCATTCCTTCATCTGTTATTATTTCATTCATGAGATTACAAGTTCTTTAAGAGCTCGCCCTTAGCTATAAAGCTATACTTTATTACGGAACTAAGAAGATATCTTAGTAATAACTAGCTATTATACTAATTCTGGGAATTCTAAATATTATTTCTATTATTTAAGGCATTTAGAGCAAATATGCTTTTCTTCTTTTTATATTAAAATTAAATAAAAGAAAATATATAATTAGTTAATTTAAAGATAAAAACAATAAAACAAAAATTTAAGAATAAATATATAATTAATTAATATAAAGTAAAATTTTACTTAAATAAATAATTATTATAATAGATTTTTATAAAAAGATTTTCTAAATACTTAATACTTAGAAATAGACTTTATTTAATTTTATATAATACTTTTATTTCTTATAATTATATTATATATTTTTATAATAATTAGTAAATATTAAAAGGAAATTAATAAAGATAAGAAAAATTAAATATTTAAAGCTTGAAAAAAAAGCTTGAAAAAGTAGTAATTAAATACCTGAAATTTATTTATTTTATAAATAATAATTACTTTACTTATTTTATACTTTAAAACTTGTAATAGCAGAAGTAAAGTAATAAAACAAGGTATAAAGATTTATAAATCTAATATCTTAAGGATCTAAAGCTAAAGAGGAAAGTAAGGTATAGTAGTAAATAAGTTAGTAAAGCCAAGATTACTGAAATACCGAACTCGGTTTAAATCTTATCTTAGAATTTAGCTTAGTATCTTAGTTAAAACCTTAGCTAAAACTAATTATATAATATTAGCTATTATAAAACTAGAGTTCTTATATAATAACTAATATATATTATATATATTATTATAAATATTATATAAAAGAAAATATATTTAAAATAAGTAAATAATATAATAGCTAGTATTATATAGTTAATACGGATATAGTTTTAGCTAAAGGAATTGGTTTTAGCTAAGATTCCAAGCTATAATTCAAACCAAGCTCGCTTCCAAAGCTCGACGTTTTAGTAGTCTTGGCCATACCTACTTATCCACTGCCACACCTCACTTCTTCTCTCCTTAGCTTTAAATCCTTAAGATATAGAAAATTATTAATCTTTGGGCCTTATTCTATTACTCTATTTCTGCTATTACAAATAAGCTAAAAATTAATAAAATATTATTAAAAGTTAAGACATTTCTCTTTTTTTATTTTTTAGCTTTATATTTCTAATATATAAAATTCTTTAAACTTTAAACTTTTAATTATTATATTAATTTTACTATTATATCTTATATAAACTTTTTTATACTTATATTAAGAAATCTAATTTGAGAAAAAGACTTAAGTATTATTAATATATTTAAAGAATATTTAAAGAATATTATATATATTTTTAAAATAAATAATTTATATTAATTTATATTTATATAAATTTAATTTTTTAAAAAAAAATAAAACTAATAATTATTATTATAAAATATATTTAAGAATTCTAATTTATTATTATTAATAATATAAAAGAAAAGTATATAATAAAAAATCGAGTAAATATTATATAAATAAAGTATATTTTAAATTATTTCAGGTTCTTTTATAAGAAGAAAAACTAAATATAAAAAGAAATAAAAAGTTAAGAAATTATATAAAAATATATAATTAGTTTAATATTCGCTTAACCCTTATTATATAAAAAAGAAGCTAAAGTTTCTTTATTTATTAGACTTCTTTAATTAATTATTATAAAGTTCTAGATTTTACTTCTTTTTATTAAATATTTTAAGTATTTATATATAACTTATATAATTAACTAACCTTTATTTCAAGGGTTATTTCAAGGGTTATTTAAAAGGAAATTTATCTTATAATATATATAATATTATTAGTTCTTAATTAAATAATTAGAAATTTGTTACTTTTAGAAGTACTAATAATTTGCTTTATAAAAGTATTACAAGTTATAGTATAAGTAAATATAATATAGCTAATCTTACTTAAATTCTCTCTTTTAGCTTTTCTAACTTACCCCTGTTTAGACTTCCTTACTATTCGTTATACTATGGCTAGCCTTAAACTTTACTTATAATTTTTCTCTCAACTTCAACTTCAAATACCTTTCCACAAACAAATAACGGGTATGAATGCTCTTATACACTTTTAGAAGCCTTTCAAAACTATATATAGAGCAAACTTTTACTTAAATTTTGTTAATATTCTAGAGATTAGAAGGAGTTGGAAAAGTAGGACTTTTGATGTTCCTATAGTTTAAGCGAAACCCAAAGCTGGCCGGAGCGTAGCGGATAGCAATAATTAAGTTAGTGCGAGATGCATTTGTATTCGGGAAAGAGATATTCTAGCCAAATATAGAGAAAGGATACTGACCTGCAGGACAAGGATGCTGAGCCTCAAGCTAACGAAGTTAGTCCCGAACCCGAGTATAAACTTTCCGGTACTGTCCCCTAACTACGAAGTACATTCCACCCTTCCCGGTGAGAATGCCTCAAACTCAACTCCCCGTATTTTGTACACAAGTTGACGTTCTGACGAACCAATTAATAGATTACGCCATGCCCCGTTCCTACCCGCTTATACGTAGGAAGCTCCCTTCTGCCCCTTTATTACGCATCGGCTTGGGTCACTTCGAACGAGCGTATCTTGAAATTGCCGAGAAGGCTTCGGCAGATATTGCAAAACTCTTCAAGATTGAAATAGCAACATCCTTAAGCTCGATAACGGATCTAGTCACCTTGTCCCGGCTGAGTTTATACTGGCCTTCACTTTACTCTGCATGATCAACGGAGCGCGAGGAACTTCGTGGTACTGCGTGGGAGGTGGATTTTAACTACTTGAACATTTCTACAACAGATCCATATCTTTTCAAGACGTGCACTGATCAGTACTGGTCACGTAAATCTGCACCCTCGACCCGCAGGGATGTTTGGTTCAACAATTTACAGCTCCATGCTGTGGTATTTGTACAATGTACGCATATGGGGGTGTCGTTGCACTTCTGGCCCACGCCCAACCCAACCCCTTCCGTTACAGAGTACAGGTACGCGCTCCCTAATTCCGGGAATAATACATTCACACTGTGAGCACCTCGCACCTCAATCTCGTTAGCTATCAGCTAAGCAGTCCGAAGCACATCACCTTCGGTATTAATCACAATGACTTGCATCTGGGCCCAGGATTATTGCATTTATGTTGGGCAATATTACTATCCAGAGGTGTGGGGAACGTACGACCCCACAGGCCTCCAGGAGTTGAGAAGCTTGAGCTATCGAATTTTGACCGGGGTGCCTGGTTGATCCAATCTGATCCATCGGCCAAGGAAGTGACCAACTCCAACTCTCTCGCAAACCAGAGCCTCTCCCGTGACCTGCGAAGCTTTCGTAGTGACCAAAAGAACATAGTGCATCCGATTCTGCTCGCTCTGGACAGCACCTTCCCTCCGCCTACCCACAACAACACATTTCACGGACTGACTTGAGCCGTCCGACTTGGGCGGACGGTCATAGATGAGTTTTGCCTCTGGCCTATGCTCTCTAGGAATGTCAAAATCTCGCGCTATAGCACTCAACTCGACGACCCCAGCTTGGTCGCCTGTATGCCAACTTCCACGAGAACCAGGTGTCCAGGGAGATCGTATCTCCAGTTTTTCCCAGTCCACGCCGTCGAATGGCAACTCCAGATAGTCGATCCCGCCTTTAAATGCCATCCAAGACCATGTGGGAACTATTATTCGGCTGTCGGCCGGAAGGGTGATTCTGTCCAGAGTTACCTCGTCCGAGCCACGACTCCATAATAGACTGCGGTGGAGGAGACCAGGACCATCATCGAAGACGCCAAATCCGCCTCTGGTGTCGAAAGCGCGAATCAGTCGTTTCTCGAGGCCTGCAATAGCAATCGGTCGATCATTGTATCGGGTGAATTTTAGGCGCGAGTAGTGGGTGTAGAGGGCTTGATAGAGGCGGATTTTCCCACTTCTTGAGGATTTGATGGCAATTTCAGGGAAATTTGGGTCACCGACTAAGGAAGCGAGATTACTAGTGATCATTGATGTTAGTATTCAAAGGAAAAGAAGCATCGAGAAGAATAGGAATTCAAGCTCACTTGTGCATTTTGGTCAGAGTCTCGCATCGCACCCCGCCGCCGCATTCCCAATATGTTTGCTTGTTAGTGAAGTAGATTGTGCGTCGCGCCAAGGCCCTTTCCTGCAACACCCATCCTCTCTTGTTGAGAGAGCCTTCCAACACATGCTGGTCAAAGTCGTCGATGAAGCTGCAGATATGAAATGGCGGTAGTCCTTCTCGGATGAATGTCAGATGTTCTCGCTCATCTCGCTTCTTCAAGAAGCCATCGTTTTGCCCTTTGGCGGAGCTGGCAGCAATGACGCAATGTGCCGAGCTGAAGACATCCTCCATTCTCATGGCCTCCTTGTTGAAATCGCCATCAGGACCCTGAATGATGCAAATTGAATCGATCCAGAGATATCGATGGCCTAGCTCCCTAGTCACGCTGACTGCATTTTGGAAAGTGATTGGAAGTTTGGTGAAGTCAATGCTCTGCTTGTATTCCTCGATGTTTGATGTGAAGGTACAGAAGTGCGGTGGTGCTCCCCAAGGGTGAGATAGTGCAATGTACTTCATTGTGTCGTCCTTTTGGGTTTCGTACAAGTTGATGGTTGTGGAGGCACTGGCTCCCACGTCAATGAGCCTGGTGGGTAGCATAGCCGTCTCAGGCGGACGGCATCTAGGGTGGTTCTCATCGCAGTGCTTCAACCACAGCCGAAGGATTCTCAAATGTAGGTCACTCCCAGCTGCTGGCAACTGAGGCAAACCAATTTGAATGGGAAGCATCGAAAGAGGCGTTTTTGGATCTATCCCATCAACCAGTGTCAAAAAAACGAGCACAGGGAAAGGAATTCTAGATTTCCACACTTACCTGGACTTCTGCAGATAGACAGAACAGGAGGATCTCTTTCCATCGAAGTGCTCATTCTCAGCATAGATTTGCGTCTGTCGAATTGGATTGAGGAAAATCTTTCGCGTTGCAAGTTCAAGTCCTTACAAAGCTGCCAACGGAATTTGCAAAAGTCACAATTCGCTGAGTTTTGCTCCAGTTCGGATAAGGTGTCGTCGATCCGAAACCGAGGTAACCAGAAGTCCATATTCGAACATTTCCCACAGAGCTTCGCAATATTCGAACCTTGAATCAATTCCTGGGAGATCTTTTGATCGTTGAAAAGACTATCTGCGAAGCTATTGTCGACTGGGAATTCCAAAAGATTGCTGAGCTGTTTGCGATTGGTACTCAATTATCAAGAAGAAAGCTGGGGTAGCTTCTAGGAAGACATACTGGCTTCACGATTATTAGTCTTAGCTCCTGAACTGAGTAAGAAGACAACTTACTGGCTATTATTCAGTCTCTAATCAACTTCTGTTCTAGAGTGTGTAATCTATATTTTGCCGAAAGAAAGTATCACTCACATGCTACCCCAAAATTGTCAATACACAGCACTCCAAGGTGTCCTAGCACACAAGCAGGAGAAAGATGCGATTGACTTACAGCCTGAAATAACCCATTTGTTGTTAGCAATCCATTAGTTTTCTCTGTTGCATGTTATAGATGTTCATCTTACATACTAGAAAAGCGACGTTAGTTCTAGTTCTCACCGCCGAGTTGGCCTGCAATCACTTACATCCTATTGCATATCATAACAAAGGCGAGTGTCAGTAAAGGGAAGATCCCCGACGGCTAATTTTCAGGCGTGGAGGCAATGCGTACAGGCTTTGATGCGGGACATGATTAGCAATTACATGTTAACACAAATAGTGGTGTGGATTGGCAGGTCGGTGGCAAACTGCTCACATTTTGTCTTGAGGGCTGTGCTAGCTGCGCCGATAGTCCGGGCTGTGTTGGTGTGTCCCTCATGCGTGCAGTGCGATCCACCAGCTGATTTGGTCGATTAGCAGACTCCGAAGACAGAAAGTCATTGGTGACTATTGACGAAATCATGCGAGACGGAAGGCCTTTGAGATTTTCTCGACTTATACCTGTAAACCAGTAGCGTTCATCTTCCTTTCCCTTACCTATCATATCATCCAGTAACTTGCGAAAATGGAATGCGGTGGCACGAGTTGGGCCGATATGCCGGTAAGTTGGGGAGGGACGACTGTCTGTGTCGGTAACAGCAACATTGCCACCTATTGATGCTAAATTCAATGCTCTATGTTGTGGGAGATGAACGACCAGCAAGTTTGTCTTGACAATGTCGAGGAGGTCGCGAATTGCGATATTGCCGCCGTTGCCAGTGCACTCCGGGTCTTTGAAAATGTGATCCATGCATGCTTGAACAACAGGATGCACTTGTGCTACGTTGCCATTTCCGACCTTAAAGTACGGACTAGACTCTTCAAATGAGCTTTTGATGCTATCGTTGAACTTCACAAGGTCGTGGTAACCGTAGAGCAGCCACACAATAAATTCCAAGGTGATGCATCCAATTGACCAAATGTCATAGAGACGCGATCTACCTTCTTCCGAAGCTTTGTGAGTGACCACTTCCGGTGGCTCATATCTCACGGTTCCGTATGGTGTGCTCCTCTGAGGCCGCATATATGTCAGGGCCGTGTGATGTTTCGCCAGTCCCATGCCTGCAATCTTTAGCACCCCGACACGAGTTGCATCTTTGAACCTCAAAATATTCTCGGGTTTCAAATCGCCATGGCGGTATGACCCTTTATAGTTGTGAAGCTCGTGAAGTGCGTCCGCAAGCTCCCGAAGCTGCAACACTACCTCTTTTATAAACCCAGGGTCAAGATTTGGACGGGGGTTATCTTTCCAGAAATCTCCAAGACTGCCTCCATCAGCCCATTGGAACATGAAATAACGCTTCTTTCCCCTCTTAATTGCGGCAATACATTGAACGATGTTTCGGTGATTGAGACTACTGATGTCACCCAATGCCCTTGCCTCAGCCTCCCATTCCTTATTGAATACTTCTTCCTCGTCGGTCGCGGCCGGATGCATGCTGTCTTTGACCTCCTCGAGTTCTTTAATCTCCTTGATTGCAACATTGGCCTTGTGGCCTTCAACCTGAGACATGTCAACCAATGCTGTTATCATCTCATTTGACGAAAGTATAATACTAGAATTGAGCTCTTACCGTCCAGGTTGGGTCTTTTTGGTGAGACTCGTGGATTGTGGCCTGATAGACATTGCTGAACGTTCCTTCTTTGGCGTCATTGCTCACCCACGTGAAAGGAAAGATATGTTCTGGCTCTAGCTCTATCTTGAATTGTGATTTCGAAAAGATCGGGGCTAAAAAGACCCATTGGTTCTGAAGAAACTTGTGGGTTCTGAGCTTGTTCCAAAACCTGCCCTGAAAACAGGGCAGCGCTAACATGGTGTCTCTCTTGAGGGGCAAACAACCATCGTCAAATTCGGTCTCTTGGAATCTTTTCATTAACATGTAAAGGTTACTGCCGTCGATGGCGCTGATGATAGCCGTTGCGAACACCTTTTTCGCGGAGTCAACGATAAAATTGATGAGGCCACTATTATTGTCAATATCCAGGTTTTCTTCCAGTTCCTCTGCAACGGCAGCTTTTGTTATAAACTCCGAGAGGAAGGACTGGGGTAGAAAGACTCGAGGCGGGTTATCGAATACTCCTATGGCATATGATCCGACGATTAGTTCTGCTAAAATTGAAGTCTCAATCGGCAATTCAATTTCTCCCCATTGCATCGTAGACTGTCTGCCTCGCAACGACTGGAGCACAGGGTCGGTATAACTACGCTCCGTATAACTACGGCCCGAATGAATGAAGTATCGCGGTGGCGGTAGCGACATGTCGTCTAGGTCGTCGCTACGCAAGCTACGATCTGCCTCCATGTTTGTAACCGATTTAGAATCTACATCCTCTATTTCGCCATCGCCGTATGGCAGCAGTCTGAGTCTGAAAGCCGTTAACTTGAGGTGGTTCGCAATGTGTAGCGCCATTTGTTGGGCTGGATCCAGTACACCGTCTAGGACGAAGCCGCACCAATTCTTGCAGAGCGGGCAACAACCTTCGGGTTGACTCCAGGCCGCCACCGCATCGGCGGTGCTTCTGAATGTAGCTTCGACGTAAGCTTTGTGATTGGTTTCAATATGCCGAGCAAAGGTTTCTGGATCCTCGAAGTGAGGTATCGTCTTGCCGTCGGTATGACATTCATCTTGAAGAGGACATGCGAACCCGCTAAGCTGCCTAATCCAGCTCGGTGAATGAACGCTATCCATATGCGCAGCCCATTCTAGGTATTCCGAGAAGAATAAGAACGAACACCGGCTGAAGAGGCACACATATGGCTGCACATCCTCGGTTACATGGGATCTTTCCAGGTTAGTTATCAAATCTCAGATAAACCTCAGAGCTCGACGCGACGAAGAAGCATTCACTTACCTCCACCAGGAGCTGTTAAGGAGCAAAGAGGATGGGAATGTACGGCCACAATACTGACAGAAGACGTGTTCGGCCCCCTTCTCTGATACTCTAACCGGTTGTGGGTATACCACGTCGTCCAGCTCCGATACGCTAGGAGCTGTCGAGTATATCACGCTACTGGGTTTGGAGTCGTTATCGATATAAGGCGCCGAGGTGTAGGTGGGGTTGGTCCGGTTGTAGGAATCAGTCGTCCCCGGCACTAGTTCCATTTGTCTACTTGGCCTTCTGGTAGAAGGACGGTTGAAAGGTTCGTCGCCCGTGTCAAGTATGGCCTCTTGGATAGAAGGGGGGCGGCGTCGGTCTATCGTCAACCAAGCTTGGTGGTGTCGTTGGTCGAGTAATTTCCGCCTACGTATCGTCGTAGAACGAGCCAGGTGAATTTGGACGGTTTTCGTGGCATCTGGGAAGTGGTACTTTATCAAAGCGAGATCCATATCGTCAGGGTGAGAAAGGTGCAAGAGCCCCCCCAAAGCCTCTGGCCCCTCTAGTTGTTTGTTGCTTTGGATAACTCTGCTCCAGTCTGTATCGGACTTGGAATCCGGAATATCGTCGGCGCCGTCCTCGCTCTCGTCTCTGTCCTCTATCGACTCTTGGTCCCAGATGCTCATGGGTGACTCGGCCTCCGGCTCTGAGTTACCCGGAGACGTTATCTTGCGCGTTGAGGCATCGCCGCTGTCGGCTGATGAACTCGCAATGGAGACGGATTTGGAGTCGTTATTGTGGAGGGACATAAGCCGAATGGTCAGAAACATGAGACCCTGGAGGTGGGCGGCAACATGCCGTGCCATCAAGTCGATGCGCGACGAATTTCGATCACCCGCTTCAGTCAGCTCATCATTGCTCCGGGCCTTGGCAGCGACGTCCGGCTCACGCGGCGATGTTTGTCCTACGTTGCTGCCTGTCCGGACACGCTTCGGCGTACTCTCTGGGATTGGCGGCTCATGTTGTCGCTTTCCCGCATCAGTTCTGACAAGTTCTCTAGCCGTAGATGGCTTGGAAGCGATACTGGGATCCTCCTCCACGTGCAAAAAGCACAGAGGGCAAATATCGGGCCGTCTACGTCCCTGTACTTTGCTCTGGGTCACAATGGCTTCGAGTTGAGCCTCGGTGAAGTGATGAGCATTTTCCATGTGGCTGTAGAGCGCCTGCGGGCTCTGGAAGCCTTCCGAAGGATCATGGCAAACAGCACATACCCAGGTCGCTTGCGGGTGTACGTCCTGGTGCCACATCACGCCATGTTGTGCGAGCATGTGCTCTTTCCACTTATTGAATGTGGTGAAAGAGCAGGTTGGCTCTGCACAGTTTTCTGAGATGCACAGGTACGGTTTCAAGTCATTGTCCACATGTTTTCTGCATATAACGTGTGGAAGTTAGTAAGTGTAGTGATTTAAGAGGAGGGGGGAAGATATTGTAGCTTGAAATGGGCCATACCTCCATTCATCACCTTCAAAGAACTTCTGTTCCTTTGTCTCAAAGCACCACTCACAGGTGATGCGGTTGGGGTTATTCTTGACCTGCGGTGCTTTTGGGTATCCTACTTGATTGATCTGAATTGACGAGGTTTCCTTCTTCTTCTTCTGCTGCTGAGAGCCGATGTTGGATTGACCACTCATCTTCTGCTGAAGCACTTGGCGATCTATGGACGACATGGACGCTTCTGAACGGCGACCCCGGGCGTCGTGTCGTCTTTGAAATAACGAAGACTGGCCGGTCCTTTCGGTCATCATCCTGTGATATTGAGCTTCGTTCATGGCTGGGGCCTCCTCCGGGACAGGTACATCTGCAGCCGGCTCTTCATCAAATTCCATGTCTTCGGCTATAGATTGCAAGGTATTCGTGGTCTTGCGCCGTCGCTCCCCCCGGGCGGCATGTTGAGACTGACTGGAAATCACGTTATCGAATCTCTCGGCCATCGATTTGCCAAGCTGATCTTGTAGCTCATATGTAGCACCTGGGTAAGTCGTCTTCACAAAAAGTGTCGCTAATTCTTTGAACGAATGGAAGCCCGACACCTTGGTGGTACCTCTGGCCGTGAGCCTCCTGGTCGATGACTGTCGAATGGCAACACCAAGACGGTTCAACCGGTCGATGGCCCCGTCAATAGCCTCCAGGGCATCCTTGTCCACTACTTGCGGGCTAGATTCTGCTTCATTTTTAGCAGAGAACTCCTCCGAGGGTTCTGGTTCCGGCGTGTTCTGCGTGTCGAGAACTGGTACATGGTTAATACCCGGCGGGGGAAGTATTCCGGAGACACTTACTGTATGAAAGGTTTGTCTTCAGGATGTCTAACAGACGTAGAACAAGGTCTTGCAGGTCTGGATGATGCCTGAGTTTGCGATCAAGACATAAGCTCCGCTTCGCAAAGACGCCCATATAGGCCGTCCAAGCCGTGAAGCGTTGTTGGTGTTCCTCAAGGAGCCGAAGCTCCTTGGACTCCTCGGATTCGAGGCGGGAGATCTCTTGCTGAAAAAACGCCTCGCAATCCTCCGCCAGGCTGAAGATGGGCTCGTCATCCTCTCCAGGAAGCGCGGGGGTGGATGCCATGCTCCTCCGATGCCTAGCTAGCAACGCCTTGGAAATCAGAGATCGTCACAAAGGGCGCGGTTCGGTGCATCGGCAAAACAGCGATGTGAGCTGAGTTGATGATTGCGGCTATACATGTGTCCCGCCTTGTTGTTTGGACTGAGGCATCGGTCACAAATGCAATGCCTAAGGTTTGTCGACGAGGTGCATCGAGGGCGTCAAACTAGGCACGTGATAGGCTCGCCAGAGCAAGAAGAGGCGAGGGGCATGGTTGGGCATCTAATCTCAGCTGGATCATCTGCAGTGTTACCAGCTTGTTCAGCCGCTTCTTCCAGCCATCCTTCGACAACTTCAGTCGGATGCCATTCCCCAGAGCACCGGTTCTGGATTAACAGGCTAACCTTCAAATAGAGTTCAAAAGCAAGAGGTGCTCCACGGTAACCTTACCGTAGTCTTGTCGCTCGGCGGCGGCATCCGGGGGCAACGACGAGGCTGACCACAGCGCCGGCCAGCCGACTCAAGCTTGAGCAATCAATGCCATTACCCGGACCAAAAGTGACTACCGGTATGAAAAATGGACTTGAACTCCTGTCTGGAGTGGCGCATTCTTCAACGTGTCGGATCTGGCGTCGTCGGTAGGCTGGCATCACACAGGTACAGGCGAGGGCGAGAGGCGACTCCCTATCAGGCGGCCACCCGCAACATTGCGTTCGAGAACAACCTTGCGTTTCTCGAGACAGAACTGCGCGAGATATTGAAGTGGAGGGTACCTCAAACTGTGCCTCAGGCTTTTTACGACGACCTTGGGACCAAGCTCAAGAGGCTGTGCACTGTGCTCGAGGGGGCGGTCAACTTGTCACTCGTGACTGGGAACAAGGAAGCATGTCCCGCCACAGGAGATACGCAGCCAGTCGCCGAACAGGCCAAAGAGTGCGATGTGCAGTCTTACTCTAACTTCAGGGCCCTGCTAGAGTACTTGGACGACCACTCGGAGAACGCTGACACTTTCGACCTCGACATTACCAAGGGCCCAAACCCAGCACTCTTCTGTGTACGAGACGTTCAGCAGGCCAAGACGGCCTTAGAAGCGGCTCATGACTGCAACGATGCTTTCGTACGGCTCTGCAAAAAAGCTCAAAACTCAGCGCAGCATACCATGACCCCATCTGGGACGGAATCGTCAGCGAGCACCGACATCCAGTCTCAGGAGCGAACAAATGAAGTGCTGCAGTCATTATTTGGGGCTTCCTCCTGCGACATGACCCACGAGGTATTATTGTATCTTTCAGACGATATCTATGACAGCCAGTCACGGCCAACACTCAGCATGTTCCTATCCTGTTGTTCACATCCCGGCACGTGGCAAGAAGCCAAATGCCTGCCCTACGCGTATGTTTCCCAGAAATAAATTGTTACTTTCTGAACTTCTAATTCAATTGCTAACGCGGACCGCAGCGAACATTTCCGGGTAGGGGAGATCCGGAACATTTGCCAGGATCTTGAGTGCTGGGCCAGAGGCAAACTATTCCAGATCCTCCACGAACATCAGGGCTTATTCCATGCCCTTGATGATATATCGCCAATATCATCTCTCAATATAGATCCCGGTCAATCCCTCGGGCACTATATAGAAGAAGGAGCATTTCTTCGCAATGATCGGGAGAAACTTCGACCAGCCGAGTTTTTCAGTCCCAGAGAGAAGCAGACTCTGGCGCTGAAACTGGCTCGTTGTCTCCTGGGCTTCTTGGACTCCGATTCCACTTCGCCCAGTTGGAATTCTGGAAAAGTATATCTCCTCACTCCACCGGGAGTCAAACCACGGAATGCGTTTCTCTATCTCGCCTTCAAGAGAGGAAATGATCACTCACCTGCATTCACTATCGGGTTTGCTGACCCCATCCTCCTGGAGTTCGCCAAGCTACTGTTGGAGATTGATCTTGGCATCTCGATCAACCTCAGCCAATGCCAGGACCGGCAAGCGCAGTGGGGTACCTTGTGCCACTTGCTGTACGACTCTCAGCTGGGCGGCAGTGGGCTGTACGCCGAGGCAGTCAAAGGTTGCCTCTACTTGCATAATGAATTCCTCTCCCGCCCCAGTGACGAGGACCCCAGGGTCTTTTTGCGAAGGATCATCCGTCAGGAGGTAGTCAGCAAACTTGAGATGGCTCTAAACGCGCCGACAGCATCAAGTGGGAAGCGGCAACGCGAAGAGTCCGACGACGGTCCCATACCGCATAACGGTACCGGTAATGGTGGTCATGTCAAACCTAGTACGGGGCTGCTTCTTCCAAGTGGAAGTTCTTCCCATCCGTCTAAAAGGCAACGAATTGACCTGGCCGAGCAGCGCAGTCGCGAAGGGCAGCGCGATGCAGACCCGTTACCACAGCCTTTGCCCGCCACTAACGAGCCTTCGACAAGGTGAGTGAATTTCAGGACAGGCTTGACCTATTCCCAACTAACCATAAAAGCAGGCGTTCAACGGCGGGTAGGATGACCGTCTTTCGAGCTCGCGAGGTGCCGTTACAGGACCAGGTTTCTATCCGTGTCATAGTCACTGATATTATACGAAAGAATATGAGCGACAGTGAAAAGGCGAGCACCAAAATTGAGGTCAAAGACATTACACAGTCGACTATCAAATACTCCCCTTCAAGGACCGGCAAGAGAGGGACAACGCTAGTCATCTTTCGTGGCCTTGTCCCCGAACCGTTCAGGGCAGTAATGAAGAGCAGCGAGGATAGTGATGTCTTCTTCAACAACAGTGAGGACGAAGAGGAACTGTCAATTGATCTCGATACTAAATTTATCGGCGCAACGCAGCTCTATGAACCGCGGCCTGAGGTCGAGGTTGTTGCTGAGTACCGCAAACTCCTTGGTGGCTATGTTGCCGACGCTGACATTGACGCTTAGCATCGTCGCTATCCACGGTCTTAACGGGCATCCATACGGAAGCTGGCTCAGCAAGTCCGCAAAGCCTAAGATGTGGCTAAAGGATTTCCTCCACGAAGACGCAAACAGCTGTCGCATAATAATCTACGGCTACAAGTCAAATATTTTTGACGAGCAGGAGCACCCCCGACACGAGCTCTTTAGCCAAGCAGAGAGACTCAACGCAACATTAAACAACATCAGAAACACACCCGAGGTGGGAAACCAGCTCTGCTATCCTTGGTTGAAGCTCTCAAGCTCCCGGTACTGACAATCGCAGTCACAAAGAAGGCCCATTATTTTTCTTGCCCATAGCTACGGAGGCTTAGTATTAGCCCGGGTAGGCCAGGCCCACCCTATTACCTTCCGTGGATATTTCACTAACATTTAAGCCTAGACACTTGTGGAAGCTCGAACAAGGCGAAGTCCGCTGCTGGAGGCTACGAAAGCCCTCTTCCTCTTTGCCTGCCCGTCCCGCGGATTCTACGCCCAGGACATTTTGAATACAATGAGCGCCGAGCTAGAAGCGGCTGGAAAAGACCCGATCTCCGACGACAAGGCCGCAGCACTAGTCCGCCGTCTCGGAGAGGGCAACTTTCGAAACGAGCTGGCGTCGTACCCGGACGTAGTTTTAAACAAGCAGGTCTACAGTTTCGTTGAGACAAGAAAGACTGAGACGGTTACTAGACAGGTATGGTGCTCCCGCTGTAATATTTTGAAAGAACAGGCATGTCTCGTTGCTAACAAAGTCCGGCTTGAAGTCAGGGCATGTCCGACGGGACGGGGCCCCAGTCATGGCGGCCGGATCGAACTCAGTCATTCTCGGACTCCCGAGTGCAACTGAGGAGGTCATACACGCGGACAAAGACCACTCTAATATTGTGAAGTTTGCTTCTAGGAGTGACTCGACTTACGAAGACGTCAAGTGCCGCATTCAGGCTGAAGTGGCATCTTTAAAGGAACAGCGCGGTCAAGTGCCTATCCCGTTGCGCTAGTGAAAGAGTAGAAAAGACTTGTATCTAGATAAATAACCTCATAAGTTTAATGTCTTATATGCTAAGATAAAATGGGTATAATACAACAACTTTTCCCCAACGGCTCTTCAACTTCATGAGTAGACAGGTCCACCATGGATTAGGGACTGTCCTCATTCCGGACCGAGGGTACGTTTCGAATAGTTGCACTGTTTCAAACCCTCGCGACTAATTTTAGCAAGCGACTCTCTTTATTACTATTGTAATAGCCCATCTCGACAAGCTGGAAGCAAGAAAGTATTATAACTTCGCTAAATTATTGCATGGGGACTAATACGTGCCCCTTAAATGCAAAAGGTTTCCAGATTATTATTAAGTTCTTATAAAACTAAATAGCGTAATAAAAACCAAGATATTATAGTATAAATTGTAATTAAATTCATTAGTAAATAATAATATAAAGCATTTTTCGATTTATAATAATTTCTTTTTTAAAATCTTATTAATATAAAAGAATCTCTCTTTTTATAACTTTATAATTAGTCTTATATTTACTTTTAAGGCTTGCCTTAATATTTCTTTTATTATTAGCTATTTAATATATTAGCTTTACTAATACTTATTTGGCTTATAAAGAAGTATATTTGAAGTACCTTTAAAGTTTAATAAGAAAAGCTTTTAGTAATTTCTTCTTGTAAATAAATATTTTCTTATTAAAATGTATATTTAATACTTTAAAATAAAAGTATTTTAAGATGTATAATAACTGAAACTCGAGATTATATATTATTCTTATTACTAGTATATTTAAAAAAGCCTTAAAAAGGCTATTTTTAATTTTTATAATTAGTATTAATTAAATTATAATAAAAGAGTACTAAAAGCTTTATTAAAAAAATAGTTATTATTAGTTGAGTGTAGCCTTTATTAATTTATATGCTTTATTTTTCAATTTAAACCCTACTCGACAAGGAGTTCCGTGTGCCTCGCATAATCAGCTCATTGCAGATAGCCAAAATACTGGGCCATGAGCAAGCCACAAGGGGGCTAAACACCTGGTTCCAGCTCATATAATTAGTGTGCAAAATTGACAAGATCGTTGAATCGTAAAGTACAGCTGCAAACAACTCCCAAGCAGTCTCCCAATTCATCGAAGCACCTTCGGCATGGCACTTTCAGAGATTATTCGCTTTGTTCTCCCTTCTCACTGTAATGCCGATTTTGTCAAGCTCCGTCAATACCTTTCTCTACACGGCGGAGTCAAAACCCAGTATTTTGGGGCCATGGTTGCACCTGCAAATGCCGCCTTGCCAATTAAAAATCATGAGATGTGCTGGGTCATTCGTACGTCCACACCATATTCAACTTCTAACCCACTGTAATCCCTTCTTGCCAACGCTTCTATCTAGAGTGGCCACGCGAGCCAGAAATACGCACAAATCTATCTTTCAGGGCTCAGCTGAATGCGCTCACTGAAGTCCAAGACGCGAAATCTCTGCTCTTCCATTTCCAAGAGGGGCAGATCTCAAACTTGACGAAAGCTTTAGAAGCTGAGATCTGTGAATTTGTTGGTTACTCCGTCTAAAACTCCACAAATCCTCTCTTTGACGCTGTAACTGACTGAAATGTATGAAAGGCAATCATAAACCTCCTCTCCAATGCCCCGAAAGCAAATACAGACTTCAAGGATTCAATGCACAAGACATACACAGATTGCTACCGTATGGATGGATTCGTTGGTGGAGACTGGGGATATGCTCTGAATACCAATGACACGAATGGAATGTTGGTTGACGAGGCGAGTAATCAGCGGGTGGAAGAGAAAGAAAGAAGGCTGGCATGTTATTACCTTGGTTGGGAGAGCATTGATGTCTGTAGTCCCTTGCACGGTGGTGGAAAGATCGGAAAGCTGATTGCTGTATAGGCTCACCAAGCTGCTAGCAAGACTGATATATTTGATGAGGAGATGGTTAAATTGGCACCTTGGATTGGAGAGGGGAGTGGGGCGTGGTATGTGAAATTCGAAAAGCATGCCTAGACGCTGCCAATCAAACTAATATGGATACCTCATTCTTCCAATCCTTTTGTGTGCTACAGTGTTTAGAGTCAGTGATGAAGATAATCTGAATAGCGGGAAATGGAGCTAAGTCTGAGCCATACAGCAAAATCCCTTCTCTCCCATAGCAGATCACATTGATGAAGCCGTCATAAGAACAAAAGTACCGAAAGCATCGAGATTGAGGAACCAATCATCCATGTCACCCAACGTAAGCTTCTGACTCGTTTGATTCTTCTGATGAAACTCAACCCTAGGGTCACGGGGAAGTCAGCGAGCGCTTTATAAAGATCGCTCCCGAAAACTGAAATTTTGTCATTGGAGATAATCATGAGACCGTATGATATAAAAGCGAGTTTCTCCCGCATCACCCACATATCACGATAAGCAAGGCTAGGTCTCCCCTGGCGTTTTTGGAGAAACCCAGTGTGCGCCTTCTTCCATTCAGGATATCCCTTTGCTTCCCACAACGACTTGTGTGCAGGAACTGGCATAGACAGAATCGCATTGCAAACATTCGGGTCATGGGTTGGATTGATATCGAAAAGCATGTTGATGATATAGAGGAGAGTAAATGTTCTAATCTAATAGTTAAACCTTGACGAAAATTGAACGAGGTGATTGATCCTGACTTACCGATCTCTTGATTCTTGGAGAATCCATTCCTGCCACCCCCCGTGTTCCGCGATGCCGTATGCATAGTTTGGATCTTCGATCCTTGTGGCAACGGCCCGATCGGTGTTAGGGGTTGTTTAGAAGAAAAAGTGAGAGGAACTTACCATCATCATCTGAAGCAACTTTGCATCAATAGCAGGAGAGAGGTTATCTTCTTCGAGAGTGGCTAGGAGAATGTAGATTGTTAAAGCTTGAAGAGATGACATCAGAGTCCACTCAGAAAAGGCATGAAACTGGTGATTAGTTCAAGGCGTTAGTATAACAAGTAATATACAAAGGTCTCATACGGAGTTAGGGCCGTTAAAGCTGGTCGGGCTACTGGGCAACGCAGAAGCACTTACCTCCAGGCCTAAGCGATTCAACTCCATGTCTATGGTCCTCCACACGAAAGACGTGCTCTCCGAAGTCTTCGAAAAGTACATACAAATTATACTCTTGCAGATGGCAAGCGGTTCGGGGAGGATTGAAATCGGTAATTCCATTGAGCTAGCGACAAGATCTCGATTGCCAAGACCTCCGAAGTTTTCGTGAATGAATGGCGGAAGAGAGCCAGACAGCAAAATTTTGGGATATGAACGTAGTGTTTGGAGCAGAAAATGGGCGCTCAGCTGGGACCCAAATGATCGCTCCCTCCGTCGGAAGAGGCCAATCTTACGAGCAGCGGAGAATATTGGTTCGATTCGGGCAGCTCGTGCTGAGAGCAGACTCATTTCACCATCAACTGTATTCAAATATGATGGGTGCTGGAGTAACTCTTGAGGATATTGGAGGCTAGAAGTACGTATGAGCCGTCAGTGAGATAGGAAAATTTAGTAGTGGGGGGAAATACCTGGATTGGTTATCGTTGTGACCTGTTATCTGTCTCGACCCTCCAGAGTTGGATAACACAGTGAGCTGATGTGCAGATTCGCACACATCTTGAGCTATTTCACCTATGCGGTTGGGATCCAGCCAGTCTTCATATTGAGGGACTTCAAGATCCAAATTGAAATCGATCTCATGGTCAAGTAGCTGGCCTGGCAGGTAATCCTGATGTGATGCCAAACTGTTCAACCGAAAATCGACTTGAGAATTTTCCCCATTGGTTGGATTTAGCAAGGGAATCTGCAGTGCTTGGGTAGGAAGTGTCGCCGGCTCTGTTCTCGGTGCAGGGAGGTTGAGCCCTACATCGTGGTCGGACTCCCCCTCACCGAGCTCAAGAAATAGCAAAGCCGAGTTTTCGTGATCATACTTGCAATCTAATCCTTTCGCTTTGCACCGCGTGCACTGTGGTATTGCCTCACTGCATCTCGTCTTAGCACGCCTGCAGAGTGTGCACGATTTCTTCCGGCTAGGGTTTTGCTTGAGTTGCCTTTGACGGCAGTAAAGCACATGGCGATTCCGGGACAACCCTGCAAAATTTCAGCAAATCCGCTCGGAACGAAGATGTGTGGAGTCCAACTGCCATGCCTGGTTAAGCTAAATTAGACTAGACTTACTCTTCGTGAATATCTTGGTACAAATGCTGCAGGAGAAAATGCTCTGGTCTCCACTCCCCGCAGGAATTCCGTTTTCTGGTGACTGGGACGACATTGACCGTTGAATATTCTGCCAGCGTTCGTACAAAAGCCGGTGCCCGGATCAGAGAAGACGGAGAAGTTTGTTCATGATGTTCTGAAGGCTTGGGCATCGATTGTGTTGAAGCTGACGAACCAACGGAGTTCCGTGTCGTGCACCAATTAATCAACAGGAGAATGCTTCTCAAGAGTTTGCCGCATGACGATGAGTAATCCGGGAAAGCCCCCTTTCGAATCTAAGCGAGATCACCTGATAAAATACTGGCTCGACGGAATTCCGCTTCAAGAAGGTATCTTATTCCAAGATGGTGTCAAATTCATAACGCTGTCGTAGCGGCTACTGAAATCCATAAAATCGCCTCCTGAATTGTCTATATAAAGAGTCCAGTTGCCTCCATTTCTCCATCCGCTTCTCAAAAAAACATCGAAGTTCTATCAGCTTGACGTCAACAAAAGAACTCTTCATAACCACCAATATGATTTTTCAATCAAAGGAATGGATCCTCTCAGGCTCCTCCGGGCTAGATGATCTCCAGACTCGAACCGTCAGCACGCCATCACTCGGAAGTTTCGATGTCTTGGTGAAGATGAAAGCTCTGTCATTGAACCACAGAGATGTTGTTCTCGCCTTGGTATAATTAATCTAACAAGAGCTATTTCCTGCAGCTGCTGATATTATTTTAGGGACTCTATCCTCTACCCTGGATCAAAGATATAGTCGTAGGTTCAGACGGAGCTGGTGAAGTGATCGCCATCGGGGACCAAGTCGCGCATTTCAAAAAAGGGGATCGTGTTGCAACGACATTTTACCAAGACCACGCCTCTGGCCCTTTGACAATTGAAGCAGCCCAAAGCGTGCTTGGGTCGTTGAAAAATGGAGCTTTCAGACAGTATGCTGTAATTCCGGAGGGCGGACTTGTGAAGGTTCCAGAAAGTTTGAAATGGCGGGAAGCTGCTTCGCTCACTTGTGCGGCGGTTACTGCTTGGAATGCTCTTTTCGGGGATAGGAAAACTGTCGCTGGGGACACTATCTTGGTGCAAGGAACCGGTGGAGTGAGTCTTTTTGCTCTAGAGGTAGGTCTTCGCTGTCCTTCCAGGAAGTCTGTCTTGTAGATATCGCTAATGTTGTTGGGCCCACGCCTAGTTTGCAAAAGCCGTCGGTGCAACAGTCATTGCCATCACATCTTCAGACGAAAAGGCACAACTGCTGAAGAGTATTGGTGCCAAAGCGGTCATCAATTACACGACGAATCCAGACTGGGGCCAGAAGGTCAAGGAACTCAGTGAGAATGGCGAGGGAGTTGACAATGTCCTTGACATCGCTGGAGGCAAGTCCTTGCTCCAAAGTCTGAAAAGTGTAAAACTTGGAGGCGTGATTACACTGATTGGTATTCACGATGGATTCAATCCAGCAGAATGGCCTAGCATACTTGAAGTTTTGGGTCATATGTGCTCAGTACGAGCAATTGCTTGCGGATCGAGAGCACAATTCGAAGAACTGGTCAAAGTTATTGATATCAATGCCATAAAGCCTGTGCTTGATCAGCAGATTTTTGGGTTCGACGATATGAAAGCAGCCTATGAATATCTAGTGAGTTGGATGACATCATTTACGCAAAATTGCAAGGTCAAATTTAACAATATGACTAGTTGAGCAAGAAACATATCGGAAAGGTCATAATTGATGTGGAGTAGGCGATGAAAACATTCTTTCTTGGCAACGAACGAGATCGATAATGAGGGCAAGAAACGTCATCAAGATACTGGGACATCTCACGTAATAGACTTCATATTACCACAGCTTCCATCATCTCCACTTGTGGTTTCCTATCGCAAAGAACTCCTGAGTGCATTACTCTTCCACATTCATGCCATTCGTTGCCCTCACTTGAGAATGGAGAGATAGAGTGTCGTAGCTGCTCTAACAAGCCCCCGGACCCAGCCACTTCCTCAGTAACCATACTTTGCTTCCTCCTCCCACCCCCTACCCTCCATCCTCCTATTTCCCCAAGGAATACTCCGCCGTCCCAGCTGCACTCGCAACCATATGGCGGAAAGAATGTACGGAGTCAAGTATGGCGTGCAATACATAAAGCCGCAGGAACCAAGGACACTCAATCGAGCTCCTGCTTAGGGGCGGCCTCTTTCTCGATGTCGACGTCCACTTCGGCGGTTCTCACTTCCTATATCCTAGGGTTCCATCCATATCTATAAACTTCAACTACAAACTTGGATCTCTCGTTCCGATATAGCTAATTAAGCCTCTCCTACAAAGTCTCAATTCGCGGGAATTGTACTCTTTTATTCTGGCGTAACCGTTCTAGCCGAGCTTGTGTTCTCTCGATAACAACCTCGAAAGAGGCTTCTCCCTTATAGCGCTAAATTGGGTCTTGGGTCTTGGGTATAAGCATCATGAGAGCTGGTCTACCTTCAGGCAAAGATACCTTAGGAATTGGAAAAATCCAGGGGTAGGCTCCCTTCCCGTTTCCAGATATCTTTAACTCATTCCTTCTAGGTATCACGAAAAAGGTTGTTGCTCAGCGATTCGAGCCAAAACAAGAAACTTGAGAAAAACATGCTGGGTTCCTTTATCGCCCATGGGCTTAATCAAGAAGATGCTGAGTCAGAGATAGTTGTTCAGAAGTATAGCTTTCACACACGTCTTCCAAAACAACAGGCTAATGATTTCAGCATCGCTGGTTCTGACACCACTGCCACCGTAATCCGCACCACCATGCTGCACTTGGTAATAAATTCTCGCATAACTGCCAAGCTCCGCAAAGAGTTTTCAAGCAATCCCATCTCTTCTTCTATCAAGGTCTCAGAAGCACGCCAACTCCCATAACTCCAGGCAGTTCTCAAAGAAGGACTCCGCATCCATCCTCCAGTTGTAGAACTCTTACCCAAGAAGGTGCCACCCTGCGGGGATGGAATCACGGCAAATTCGTACCTGGAGGGACGAAAATCGGCTGGGGAATCTTTGGAGTCGTTCGGGATAAAGATGTGTGGGGTCAAAACGCAGATCAATTCCGGCCAGTGAGGTGGCTGGAAGCGTCCCCGGAGAAGTTTAAGGTGAGGGAGTCGACGCTGGAGTTGGTCTTTGGTTACGGAAGGCATCAGTGTCTGGGGTAAAATCTCGCGACAATGGTGTTGAATAATTTTTGTTGAGGTAAGCTATGGGCAGAAACCTTGGAAAACTTTGACTCGCTGATGAGAAACATGTAGCTCCTTCGGCATTTCGATTGCAACGTGGTCAATCCGCTGTCCCATTGAGATCAGTGTGCCATGGTATTTTCTTCCAGACGGAGATGTGTTGGCCGAGTCCTCGGTGGGAAGATATCCTGGCTCCGGGCCTCCTGCTCCCCTGACATGCAACGTCATAGAATTCAATTTGCCATGTATCGACCAATTTGCCGCCTCTTTGAGCATCCCGCGAAGATCATCGTCCTAAACTTCGCCTTCATGGCGGGACTTGCTAAGAAGTGAGGGTGGACCTGGATGCCCGGACATTATCCTATATTCCTGCTTGAAGCTTATAGATGCCATAATGCAACAAACTCTCCAGGTCCAGTGTGCTGCACTTCCCCAACATATCTTCACATTCGTTGTATATCTGCCGGCAGGTTCGGAGCAAAGACAGCCGTATCTCGTCAGATTCATAATCTTCACCTGTCATAATTGTATATGGGGTAAATTGTCATCGTTTGTATCTCTTTGAATGGAAACCACTCCGAGTTGAGAGGAGAAGAGATCATTGTAGATTTAGTTTCGGATCTCTCTTGGGAGTATCTGGAGAAGGTTTGAGGCATCGGGTGGATCGCTTCCGACATACCCTGCGTCCTGATGCCTGTGGATACAGCCAGCAAAAGTCTCCTAAGCAAATTGAATGAGACCAATAATGAAGCTGCAGACTCACCAGCAGGTCAGGTCTTCTCTTTGTTTGGCATATCTGCGGAACGGGATGGGAGAATGAAATTTCGGTGGGAGGTGACGTTGAAATGCACGCCTCCAATCTCGCTTGTAATTTTTAATAAAACCATCCCACCATTTGGGACCATAAACCCCGCGAACGACCAGCATCTATTTTCCCCTGAAGCTTTACTTATGATATGATATTAATATGATGCCCTCAAAAACTTGAATAGTCGCGAACATAAATCAAAACCCTGAGATTTTGTAACTTTTAACTGATTGGCCGTGTGACCAAAAGAAAACTGCGACTTGCATGTTGCCTTGACGTACCGCGCAAAAATACCCCACATCGAGGCCACTTCTTCAACCTCAATACACAACTGTCGTCTTTCTCGGCACTTGGAGTGATTCCTAGACAAAACACACACCGGCCCGGTCCTCCCAGGCCAGAGCAATCCAAAGGAGAGGACTATTCAATCCGCCAACCTAGAGATGATCGTGAAGAGGCGTGGTAGCCTTGCGCGAAATTGGCGCCATTCTTCCTTTTTCATCAAGGATCTCCCTCGACTCAGTTGGAATCTTTGTCGGAATCTGCCTACTTTCCTCTCGAAGTTGGCGAAATAAGACTCTTCACCCGCCCCCGGGAGAGAAGCCCTCGCCGATATAGGGGAGCTTTGGGAAAACGAGGCTGTTAAGCGTCCTTCAATTTTCCGGGTGGGGGTTACGTCGTCCCCCGCGGGATGTGTCTTGGAAGACACGGATGACACCCAGGCCAATCAATGAGCAATGGCATGAAACTAAAAAAGTGCAATAGGACTTGTGTTTGGCAATATTTTGTAGCGCTTGGCTTCGGCGACCTCATTTCTAGACCACCGAATAAAATTGGGTGTTTTTTTTTTGGGGTGTAGATGGACGATGCACCTCTTCTCATGAGGCAAGTGGTGGCGTGTGAGGAAGGCTCAGCCGCCAATGCCTCCCCCACCCTGGGCGTGGGGTTACCGCCCGCCTTGGATGAGGCAGCTACCAAAGTGCAATCCCACTTGGCAAAGTCCCGCACCCAAAGAGCTGCACGAATGCTCCTCGCAATGCTCTGCTCCACATTGTCTTGAATATCATATGCCCCGTTCTCCTTGTCGTTTCCAACAATCAGAGTCCAAACTTTCTCCGTTATTCGACGGCTACTTAAGTATCAAGAGGGATCTCATTATGCCTGAGAATTGGGCATTCCACAAAGATGTGATCGAGGAACTTTATCTCACTCGGGGATACACGCTCGAGGAGGTACGCAAGATTATGAGAATCAAGCATGGTTTCGTGGCAGCGTCAGATCAATCACATGCCATCGACTGCTTCGCTGACTGACTTTAGATCACGTACTTACAAGCTGAAGCTTGACGAATGGAAAATTCGGAAGAATCGACGCAAAAAAGTCCAACTTTGCAAGGAACCCACCAAAAAGACTCAAAGCCAGCCAATTTATGTTTCGTCCAAAGTCAGCCCACTTCCTCTGGTTTTGGCAACCGAGGAGTCCAGTCTCCCCTTGGACGCCTTGAGTCCATCCATGACTGACTCGACTATGAACGATAGTCTTTCACCTTCGCCATCCCATATCTACGAGCTCCCGTCCCGCTCCGAACATACGTTACCGAGCACACGGCAAACAGCACTCCTCTGCCAAACGCCGTCAATTGCAACCGACTGGGTCACGAACGACCTCTTTTCTCAATCCCTGAACCTCGAAGCAATCATTGTCAACACATCCTTGATGTTCTTCTCGTTTCGAACACATACTGAAAGCCTCCAGCTTCTAGCCAAGTCACCGGTGATGACACAATGGGCAGTGGAAACACTGTTGAGGAATTGGAAGCCTGGTGGAGAATGCATGCATTATGCCTTGCGGTTTCTGGGGGATTCGGCTTGTTGCCGGACTCTCCTTTCCGTCAACTGGACACGCTGGACTGATGGAGATGAGACTCTGTTCGACCTCATAGATGAGATTCGAGAGGAGCAAGAAGTGTTGAACGCACTGACCAAAGCTGTGCTGAAAGCCGATCTGAAATTTCAGCACCCGCTTCAGAAGTTGAGACCCACTTGGGCAGACATGTGGAGGCTTGCCCTTCAACAGACGGAATGGAGCCTAGCAAAGAATATGGTACGTCTCTTGGTAAACCAACTCGTATCGCTCCTAGCAAGACTTGAAAGACACCGGCGACTCGTGTACTGCGTGTTGATGGTCATTGCCGAATCACTGTTAGAAAAGAACAAGAGGATCCTCGTGAGTTGGAGAGGAGATATAGACATTTTTTTCGAGACAGCAAGGAGCCAATACTTCGAGATCTTGAAGGATTGCCGTGTGTGGGGGATAGTGCTTAATCCTTCATGGTATGCGGATATGATTGTGGTTAACACAATCGACCGTGGGACAAGCTGTTACTTTACATCAACGCCGACCAACATTCAAGCACAACAATGAAAAGACATTCTCTATATACTTGACCAACCGCGAAGTTCGGTAGAGCATCAATTTCTTGGCACCCTGGCACTTGCCAAAGGCATCGGGCATAACAGGTCCTGGGATAATAAACCCCAGCTGCAAGTCCCTGGCACGCGATATACTAAGTAACAACGGGGGTATGCAGGTGGTTTTGTCGATGTCAGCCCTTGTCGCCTTGCAGCACCCTAAATTATCACTGCCGACGCGAACACCCTGAGGCACAGTCCTACAAAACCGATGTGCCTGTAGCTATAAGCCTATGGGCGCACCTTGCTTCCTGGCGTTTATTATCGGCGCCATTCTATAAAGAGTGCGCAAGTTCAGTGGTAGTAAGAAATGTCGAAGCATCTTGTCACTCAAAGATAGAATAAGGAAGGCATGGGAAAATTCTGCTAAATAAAACATTGCGGAAGATTATTTCGGTGACTCAATTGCAAGAAAACTTACCGCTGGACAACATTGGACAATGGTTATGTAGAACTGACGAAGGAGGGCATTCGTAGTTGGGTTTATTTTGTACGCCATAATTGACCCAACCCGAGCAATACTGAGATGAACGCCGAAATTATATCGAGCAATACTTGATAACAGATAATCCCCGCCGCCAAAACGATCCAAGCCGGGATTAGAATTCCCCGAACTATGTTTAGAAGAACACCCCACCATGGAAGAATATATATGACGCGTGCGAAGGGATTATGCCTGTATAAAAACATGTTATACTGATCCATTGGCATATGGATCTCGGGAAGAAGGAAAGAGCGCAAAACCACAATAGTTGAGGTTCGTAGGATCCACCATAGGAAATTACGTTTGCCGAGGGATGGAATATTGTAGTCGGTATGAGGATCCAGCATTTTAATATAACCGTTGATGTATATTCTGAACAATGAAACCACATCCACCAAAGAGCTCGGTAAGCGGATGTTGGTTACTAGTGCAGAGCCTGGCAGTCGAATTTTCGCTACAACTGAAGAACTTGGACGGCGCATTTTCGTTACGAGTGTCTCGAGGTTAAAGACCAAAACGGTGGTAAATACGAAGAAGATTGCCAGAACGATGAAGAATGATACAAATGTGGCAGATTCGGGGAGAACGCTCATACTATATATCGCCTGGTAGGATTTATTAGTAAAATTTTGAACGGGTAGTGGCTGAGAGACGGAGAATTATACCGTTGACGCTGTCAATGGAATATATACGGTTGCCAGATAGGCTAAAGTCTTCATCCGTTTCCCTTGCTGTAAGGCCAGCCGGCTCTCCAAAACCGCTGTAACGCCGTGTAGCTATGCAGATGGTTAGTTGTGATAGGAAGCTAGGTGGTGGATTCCTACTGCGTTTCTCTAATGATAATGTTAGCATTTTTCATACTTTTAAGGGTTCTTTAGATTGGGAACTCTTACGCTCTCCTGCACTTGGCTTTTCATAGCCAGTATCTGCGCGTGCAATTCTTCCAGCTCAAAAATCTCTTTCTTTAGTTGCTGTACCCAGTGATCTATTCCAATCTTCTCTTGATCGTGAGCTTCGCTACAAAGCTTTTCCACGTTGCTGTTTAGCATTCCTTGGATGAACCTAAGGCTAGAAGCAAGCGATTCGCTCAATGCGTCACACGTCTTGATAGCCCAGTGGTATAATATGGACTTGGTGAAATTTTCATCATCGAAGATGGTCCCATCATCTGAAGTGTTAAGTTGATTTCTCAACAAATTGTGGATCATTCGCGCGTTAACCTGTTGTGTGTATAACGATGAAGCTACACCGCGAACAAATTGAGCAATGGGTGTCAAATGCTGGCGAAGCTCGGCAGAGGCAAGAAATGCCGAGGAACTGTTGACCACTAGAATGGTCCATAGCGCCTGAGGAGTGCTCAAAAGCTCGACTTCTTCTTTCCGGGTCGTAGACTCCTCGGGAACTGCAAGTGTAAGCAGTACTGAGACGGATGCTTTGAAAAGAGGTGGGGTGATGGACTTTGTGGGTCCTATGTTCTCTTTGAGTGGGAATAAACTAGCCCGGTCAAGCTTTTCTGCTTTGTCTTCGTCTTCGTAGCCCGAGTTTAAGGTGAGGTAACTTATATGACAGGAGAGAGTGACTCTCTTATAACATAGCAGGAGCGACTGAAGCTCGTTAGCAGATATTATGACGCACAAACTACACAACAATGTATTGACTTACCGTGTCTAGTTGTGGTGGTGACGTCTCTTGCCAATGATATGGAAGTTTTAGCTCAGATCGCAGGCTCAGATGTCGTTCGATGAAGGCATGGATATAGCGGTAGTCTTCATACTGCAGACGGATACAGAAAGTGTATAGCATGAGAAGTGTGGCTCTTTCGGGATACGGGAGCTGATCTTTGATGTATCTACACAATTTTTGCGTTAGCAGCAGAGCAAGACTATCAACAGGTGACTAACATGACTCGCCCTTGGGCAAAGTTTAATGCTCGAAGAGGAACAGCTCTCCCAGGTTTGTCTTTGACACGTTCAAGTGGACCCGCGTCATCTTTATTCGCCTTTAGCGCGTTCTAAGAGCTAATTAGCTTTGTGCAAATGTTTTCATTGCGGGAGCCCCTACCTTAGTAAAGAACAACCGGCCACCTATATCATCTGGAAACCGCACAGCCGTGGGGCCGCAGTTGGCCCATGATGCAGGCAAGACTTCTTCGACTGCTGAATGAGTCTCAAGAATTCCATAAGCCTTTTCCCGGAGATATTTTGCCCCAACTTTAGCTATGGCGTGAACTGGGCTTGGAAGGAGTTTCTTGTCCCAGTTGTGGATATGTTTTGAAGACGAACTGTCTTGAAGAATCTCGCTGAATATATCCTGCAAGCTCTTGCCGTGGAGATCATAATGTAGTTCAAAATCGAATCCTAATTGTTCGGAATCTGCCTCGTTTTGAGCCAACTCGGACAACGCAGATTTGATGGCGGTTGACGACATTAGCGGAGAGTATTCAAAATGACCCAAAATCTTCTGGTCAATGATCCGATTTTTGAAATACAAGACTACCAGAGCTCATTTGGGCTCGCAATCGCCGTCGGGCATAAATCAAATGGAGTCCACAGGTTGATTATCACAAGGCTGTCTCATAAGCACGACCGACAGTCGTGCCAGGATTGTGCTGTATCCCACCCGGCCTTGTTTACAGGATATGGATTTGGGAATGGTTTTTGAGGGCAAAATGGTAGAGGCGACGGGGTGACACGAGAGTGGAAATTGGATGCTCTGATAACCCTGCATCGGCGTATTTGTGGCTGATCAAAAGAAAGCCCTTCGGTCTGCCAGCTGAGGCATGGCTGTCTGTGTGTAAGGCTCTGTGCCTCTTGGGGCCGTTAGTAATACGGAGGTGCAAGGGCTAGTGTTTTGCTTACCGCTTTACAGCGGTAGGCGAAACATCATTTAAACCCTGCTTCTTTTTGCGGGGAGGCGGGGGGGTTGGGGGCATCAAAATCGCATCGTGGCAGTATCGCGACTTTACTACCTGCCTCTTTCTTTAGAACTACAACTCTAAAAAATAAGCGCGATAGAAGTATAGTCGGGAAGTGGGTCTGGTAGCTCTGATGGCGCTGTGAAGTATGGAGCCTGGGGAATTAGAGCTTATCCGAGCTGGAGGGGATAAGAGGTCTAAATAAGATCTGCGCTTTGAGATAAGGAATGTGCAACCGGGCCTCAAGGGTGCTAAAACGAGCCCCTCGAGGCGCTAAAATTGCCTCTTAATGCATGCTCAGGCTGACTCTGCCGCTATCCACTATTGCTTATTACTATTCACCTGCTTCCTACCTTCGCCTCACCCTTACCACCCTAGCCCACCCAGTATTACCGATAAAGCAGCCCTGCTCATCTGTTCGGACAGAAACGGATTTGTATAGGTGAGGACTCGGGTTAAACAACCAGCTGTTCTTTAACTCCCCAGTCCCCTGGTTCCTTCGACGTGACGATTCCTGTCGCCATGTCTCGAACCCAGAACTGGGTGGAGAATATCACAAGATTATTTCATTGGCGTATAACCACGGGAGCATGGATGAAGAGGGCATGCCAATGATTGAGAGAAGGGAGAAAATGCTGGTGGATGTTTTCATTACATGATCTGGGAACCGGGCATAACTACGAAGATTGCGGCATAAAGTGACGGGATTACAGGGCATTTACGCTCGCGTAGGGGTCTTAGCGGACTCCAGGGTGTGGTTTAAGGTACTACACCCGCTATAAGCATTGTAACTCTAGGCCTGAATCCCTAAAACAAGGGCTGTAAGACATTTGCAAGGCGTTTGAAGATCTTCAGGGGTTACAATGTTGCTGGCGGAGCAACTATAGCGCTCGGACGCTGTGAGAGAGCTATTATATAGGACCCTTTAGCGACTCTGCCCCTGTATGTACAGGGGACATGCCTTCTAAAGGCGTGGTACCCCTTGTTTATAGTTTATAGCGTGCTTACAGGAGAGTAGCCTGGAAATATAGGGGGCTTCAGTGAGTGAGTGTGGTAGAAAGTGGCCTGAAAATGGACTTGCAGTACGAATGCCCTGTAATCCCGTCACTTTATGCCGCAATCTTCGTAGAGTCATCCTTTCCCTTTGCTACCCAACCTCATCGTTTCACATCCTGTTAATGCTTTGGCCAAATCGGTTTAGATGTCTTTGAAAGAAAAGGAACCATGCATCCTGAAATATTGAAGATTTCAACTCGGAAGTGTCTTGAATTTATTTATTCAATTCTAAGGGACTCCAGTCCCCATGTCTGCGTTCAGGATTCTCCTCAATAACTGCATGAAGGATACGAAGACAGGAAACCTGATGAGAGAATTTATGTGTCGACTTCTTTTTTGGGAGGGGGAGATGGCAAGACGTATAGAAGCAAAGATTTAGCAAATACAAAAGGAGACTGCGCAACCGACTCTGAAAGGAGCAGAAATATGCTTCAAGGAAGTCCCACCAGTGTCCCCAATCTGGACCACATAATCCACAACGCTGTCAAACGATACTGGTTTAGATTTAAAGGAAACCTCCTTCAACGAGTGCTTGATGAATAGTCGTTTCCTTCTCTCCTTTTCCCTCCCAGCCGAAATGAGAATCAGGCGCCCACGCCGCCCAACGCTCTCGACGCTCAGAAGGGAATTCACAAGCTTTAAGGTCCACCAGGTACACAATGCAACTCCAAATCCTCGCGTAAAGCTTGTCATCGCCGTCACGCTTCGCTTGACTCAAACTCTTTCGGGCGTTTTTCAAGATGCTCACGCCGCGGAGGGTGGTGGAGTGGATCGAAGCACCCGACGCAATCAGGGTTGTGACTGCGGGTCGCAATCCTCGCCGAGCTGCAATGGCTAGAGCAGTCTCTCCTTTCCGATCACGCATGTGAATTTGCGCTCCCATTCGGACCATCCCTTTGATGATATCTTCAAGTAAAAGCTCGTCTTGATCAGAGCTCCAACACTTTAGCAAGGCTGTCAATGCTGTGTTGCCTTGGTGGTCAATCCAGACCGATCGATTCTCAATAGCCAGCCATTCGGCCAGCATTGACCAATCATAGTCCGTCTTGGAAAGTAAGTTCTTCATCTTGATCTGGAAATCCACAGTAATATTCTTTGACGTCGGGTATGAAGAGAGTAGTAGGTTCACTGTACGCTTGGACATCTTATTTCCAGAGACTGTGGAGAGAAGGCTCCTGAGGCTGTGACCAGCACAGTTCGGGGCATCAAAATCGGGCTTCGCTATTGCAAATACTTCCTCAAGCGTGCCGACATCGTTGAGTAAGAAGTCATGACCCCCTTGACGCCGACGAAGAAGGGCATGAAATGGCTGACGACCGAAATAATCTCGGCTTGTGAATGAAAAGTTTAGAGCTTCCAGACGCCGCAAGAGGGGTATGAATTTTGACACATTTTTCGCCAATAAATGTCTGAACAGAAGGTGTAGAAAAGTCTCTCTCCACAGGTGGTTACAGACCCGACATCTGCCCCCATGTCGACCAATTTGACAAAGACCTCGGGGTCAGTCTGGGAAGTCATAGCCGCAAAGTGAAGAGGTCTGTTGTCCAAAAAATCTTTTTGGTTTATTTCCAGATGGAAATCCCAGATTTGATTGACTCCTGCTAGGCTGAGAGCAAGCAGATGCACAGGGGCCAGGCCGCAATTTCCACACTGATTAGGCCAATTGTTTGAAGGTGATTGTTTTCCAACGGTAAATATACAATCACACCCTCTTCTTTTCAATACGTTGCTGTAATGCCTAGCCGATGGAGATCTCATTCTGATATTGATCGTCTTGGCTTGAATTCCTGGGCTTGCAGGTGATGAGGCAGATAGTACAGGCCGCTGATAATACATTCGTTCTGAAGGGCAGGTATCGAAATCCTTAGTCTCTGTGTCTAATGAGATTGAATCACCGTCTAACAATGAAGCGCCTGTCGAGAATGCTGATTCTATTGACATCTGGCTTCGAAAGGATACCCAACTCGAACGTACCGAGGTGCTTGACCTCGAAGAGTTGCTGGAGGAGTAGCGTAGAACTGATCGAACGTGCCGAATTACAGAGGCAGCATGACGTGGAAGCCTTGCCTGCAAGCTCTGGATACTTGCAGTGGAAGAAGGGCTTGTTGGACGAATTGGCTCTTGAGATTGCTCCAGCGAAAGATCTGGCGTTGACTGGGAATTCGGGCACTGAATTGCAGTGCTTTGGCGTTGGGAATTTGGGTTGACTGAAGTGCTTGGAACACTTGAGCCATCCAAGAGGAGCAGCGAAGGCGTGATTAGTTGCGACTCTGATGGATGAGCAGACAGAGATAACTGCTGCCATTTGACAGATACACTCTGGTTTTCATAATAGTTGCGAAATGCTGACAAGGGCCCCTCAAAATCTCGGTATGGATCTGTCAATGGGTGGGTATTATCTCCCCGAGTAGAGAGCAGTGTCTGTTTGTCCTTCGCAAACCGCACAGCGCTTGACTTTCGAGCTTGACGATGTTGTTGGAGCCCTTCGAGGCGTACATTGGCGGAGGTTCCATTTCTTGGTCGATATTGATGGAATTTCTTTGTGTAGTCGCTAGGTAAGAGATCTTTGAGCCTTGCTTGAATATCTCTCAAACTAGAAGAGCGTCAGCAATGTTGACCATAGCTCAATTGACAATCGGAATGATACGGGCTTACCAAGGGTTGAACTGATCCGCCTTAAGAACCTTCCCAATCTCTGCCGTATTGAGATCTGTCAACGTGTAGAGGTGCACCAGTTTTCTTCTCCTGGAAGAATTCCAAGCGTTCTTGGGTCTGCCTCCCGGCTTCGAAGGAGCCATACTGGTTGTTAATCTTCAGGCGCAGAAGGATAGAAACAAGACAAACATTAATCGAAGGTTGATGATAGACTGCGAAATGATCCAACTCTTCCGGAGAGCAGTAACGATCCCGCATGTTAGGTGCTAGGGCCCTAACTCGATTTCTGCGAAGTTTCGATCCCACGGCCGTGGGATCACGATCTGCTGCATTTCCCTCGCCAGTTCCAGAACTGACCAATGATATTACTTGGAAGATCCCACCACACCGCCAGGGCGTCGCTTGCCAGGGCCAATCCGAGATACCGGGTGGCTTCCGCAGCCGTTCCTGCAAAGAGGAGTTCCGAGGATGGTGTCGAATCAAAGATCACTCAGACATTCGACACTGTATGACCTTCCGTTTTCAGCACCGAATGAAGCACGCAAAACACCCATGTACATCCCAAGGGAAAAAAGAAATTATAAAAGGCTTATAAAAGGAGAGGCATAAAATCTAGTCTAGTCTTATCGGAAGCTTAGTGGGAAAACTTGGATGCTCAAGTGGTCTTGCTCTAGCCCGCTATCAGAGGGAGCTGAAGTGATGACTTCATCTCTGGCTCAAAAGACTGCGCAACCTCAAGAACTCCTCCGTCATGCAGAAAAGAGCAAAACAGGAGTTAAGACCGACCCAGCAGCTTGACTCAGGTAACCAACTGGTTTGCTGATGAGGCTGGCGGCTGGCGGGCAAGTGCGCAACAAATTGTCTCAAATTTCAGACTCATGTCACACAAAACGGAACACAAACCCAACCGTGCTTCGTCCGCCGAGTTGGATGATTGATCGGCGATGCTGCCCATGGATCGAGATAAGAAGGTAGCCCAGCTGGCCAGCTGCCTGTTTGGCGTCTCCACCTAGCCTTGAGCATGGGGCTTGAAAGGCTATTTTCTTACGTGGCCGGCTTGTGATGCCTGAAATTCACTTATGTTTCGGAACCTTCCAACCGGCTAATAGGCTAAATAGACCAGCTAGGAACGTTTTTGGGCCACCTTAACGACACTTTACTAAATACAAGTTCACTTCTCAAAGTCCTTATTCTTAATAAATACCTAGAAACGTTTCTAGCATGCTACAAATCGCTTTAGTTAGGGTTCAAGTTAGGGATTTATTATTGGTCCGGGGGTTAGGGGGCAGGAGGGAGGCCCCGTATTAAGAATACCTCAGAAACGTTTCAGTAACGATAGAGAAACAATTTTATATTATATCCTATTATCTATATTAGACAAGAAGGAACAGGGAGTAGAGAGAGAATATTTGGTGCCTTAAAATTTGTAACGGACTATGGTCTTTTTTTCTACCCCTGTAATAGGCCAGGTGGGGGCGCCAAGCAGGCCAGCTCAACTACATCTTCGATGGAGATCAATGAGCCAGGGAATTGCTTGCGACGATGAAATAAGGTTGGGTTAGCCTTACGTAATCTTTGGGAAGCTTCCTCCCTTCCCGCACACGTACCCTTCGCCATCATTCCCAATGTGCACGAGGTTGCTACAAATCACAAACCGAGCATAATGGCATCTCAAGCGTCGCTTTCCAGCCTCTCAGTCGACCTTCTGTTTAAGATTTTCAAGCTCCTAGAGCGACCTAGCAAGTTGTGCCTTGCCTTAAGCTCCCTTGGATTTTGCATCTCTTCGCAAAGTACTACGACCTCGATCGCTACCGCTCTGAAACTTTCTCTGCCCAATGAAGAGACCGAGGACGGGAAAGCGGAAGCTATTGTGCAGGGTATCCTGGACGAATGGTTGAGGAGGAAATGTGGGGTGGAGGGTGGGGTCGTGTTTTGTGCTAGTGCTACAAATTCTTGCGTTTACGTCCAGAGAATGGAAGAAGGCCTTGGTGCACCAAGATGCTGACAAGAGGACTGTGAGTTGATGATCTGCCTACGTGTGAGTCATATCGACAAGTTTCGGTAGATGGTTCCGACATCGTGGACTCTGTGAAGATCGCTGTGGTATTGACAAGGACGCTAACGTAATCTGACATCCTAGTCAGGATTGCTGACGTAGGTCCTACCTTGAGAAAAAATATGCAAGGAATGAAGGAGGTTCTCTCCCGAGTTATCTTCAGAGATTCTTTACCTTGCTATGAAGCTATAATGAGCCTCACGAGCCTCATGAATAAGCATGAATCTTTCCACAGGCCACATTTGCAGAGGTTTGAGTTGGAGATTCTTCTTGCATGCTTTCATTGCCCCTCTTCTCCGCTTGAAATAGCCCGGGATAGAGAACCCTTGCGGTTTCCATTCTGGTGACCCTGTCCAGCACGAGGAAGGAAAATAGCAATTGAGCCTAGCCAAACCACAAGAGGATTGGGCATGCAATTAATAGAGATGATCTAGAAGAGGACCGTTCGACAGATAGAAACCTGCGCGAGAGATATCCGATGGAATGGTAATGATGGCATACGCAGAATTCCTGACAAGGATAAGATATCTCGAGGTGGTGGGTGGATGGAACGAGCAGTATCAGCATAAGCGAAAATGCGAAGACCGTACGGCAACCTCGATTACGACATCGAGAATCTCGAAAGAACGAGCAAATCTGCTAACCATCGAAAGCGAAGGCCACTAAAACATTTTTTGATAATAGGCCACTTGGCACGAGATTTCCTGTATTGGGTGTGCGACTGGGAAATCAGCCACTGCATTGTGTGATATCAAGTTGGGGCAATCAGAGGAGTTGCTGCAGATTTATGAATTTATTTCCGGCGCAGGAATTATTGCCTGGGTGAGTTCTCGAGATCACCCCATCGACCGCTTCTATCCGGGTCAAGCTTTCTCAGCTCTGCCAGCCATGCTGTGCAATCCTGCCTCTCATCTAATTCCGGTGCTCGCTCTTCTATCCGACAGAGTGCCATCGTATAATCGATCAGAGCATTGTAAATCCACTTGCAATCCTCTGCACCATCCAACATATCTTTGAGAATAACAAGTTGTCGAGTAACGTATTCGGCACGGTCTTCTGGAGTGAAGTTTGGGGTAATGGTGGCGTGACCAACATATTCGGTGACAGTCGTCATGAGGAATTGGTAGTAGAACCATGCAGACTGCTGGTATGGGTACGAATCAGTGTACATGGCGGCGATGATGAGCTCAAATTCTAGTAGCGTGTTAGCTTGTACTAAGCAAGAGAGGGACAAGATACCATCGTCTAAAAACTGCCGTCTTGCTTCATCATTGGCGCTGCGTTCACCAAGAAGTCGCGGTATCAGTTTGCTCCGTCTATGCCATGCTGAAAAGTTCGAGAGACCTTTGTCGCCGTGGATCATCTTTGTGGTATATTCGAACTCCGATTCCACCATGCTCTGCCCACCCAGCCTGGGACTCTCTAACTCAGACACAACCCTTCCTCTGTAACCCCATCCATGGAAATTTCGGCTGTCCTTCACTAACATCTTCCCCACTAATGTAAGCTCCCTTTTCCAAAGTTCCCGTGCTACTTCAGGCTCTAGCCGCTCGTTTGCTTCTTGCAAAAGCCACAATCGATAATTCCATAGCCAATAACATTTCGGATATTTCATCATTATAGGGAACATAAATTCGAGGTCTGCTTTTATCAGGTCAAGAGTTGTACCATTCCTCCCATGATTCGGGGAGACGGGGTTCTGCGGGATCGTGGTCGAGGCCGCGGACGAAGTGGTAGTAGAGAAGGAGGAATTTTCGGAAGAGGCCTTGGTAGTGTCGATCAGAGAAGTATTCAGCGACTCCGTCGAGTGCGAGGATGAAACCGATGGTTTGGAGAATAAGCCATAGATTAGCAAACGTCTCCGGACGTTCCATATTGTGTAATATTCGGGGTTCTTCTTGAGGAGCTTAGAGGTGAGTTCAAGGACTTCGAGGGTGTATTGACGCTCTGCGATCTGCCCCCCGACATTAGCAAGTCTCTCCATGGTAGCCAGCCGTCTCGCGCACCTTCGTCGTGATCAGGTCTTCCAAGTCCCTGTATTCTCGGATCTGGCGCTCTTCCTCCAGGCGCTGTGCTTCTGTTCTCTGCGTTGTCTCTGCTACTCGCGGGACACCATGCTGCCTCAAATATCAGCCCAGGTTATGCATGCAAGGCTCGATAATCATACACTGGCCATGTTGGGGATTGCGCCTATTCTTGCCCAGAGTTGAAGGTGGCTCGATGATTATGCAGGTTCGACGTTGAAGAAAGCGCGAGTCAGTCCCGTGACAAGCGAGAGAGCAACATTGTCATGACTTTCTAACTTTCCCGTCTCTCCTCTCCTCCTCTCTTTTCCTCCACCGTCCAACATCCAGGTCACGAAGATATACTAACTGTTCAAGTATCACTAACGTTCAATAGCGCGGGATTTCATTGTCATTGTACAGATTTGTCTGGCTCCACTGGCTTCTCGGTTGGCCTCAACAACATCCCAGCCCGGCTCAGATTCATTGTCCTTCGGACCCCATTTGGACTCCCAAGGACATCCCATTGGACCCTTTCTCCTATTCATCGAAGAGTCTCCGTCTGAAAACTCTTTCTCGATATCCTTTCATTTGTTCTGAGAGAGAAGAGAGGATAGTTTGCGGCTCTTTAGCAGACTATCTTCAGCCTCCTCAACCCGCTCATTTGTTTCAGTCATGGTTCTCTTCAGTGGATATATGCCGCATGGAATCCGAATTCCGAAGTCTCCTATCAGGGTTGATTCCACAGGCGACGAAATCAAGATACCCAAGATTCGATTGACACGGCGGGCGCAATCCCATTGTGGTGAGTGGCCAGGAGTATTTCGAGCTGGTATCTGACAACCAGGCAGACCTCGTCGAAGCCTTCCAGGACGCTTCTCGGAAATGTTCCAAGTTGACTGGTATTTTTGACGGGCCTGCTGACGATGATAAACCACTTCCCGCCGCTGCAACCCTCCCGCGCCACAATCCCCGATCGCAAAATACATACTTCCGCCGGCCGTCATTGAAGATCTTTGATTCCAATTCAACTTCGAATTCGAGAGGCTCACTGCGGAGTCCAGATCGATTCGTGCCAAGGAGGAGGCCTGATCTCGATTCTGTCATACAAAGTTTTCGTGCAAACAAGGAACCCAACGCTCTGTCAACTGAAGAGAAACTGCTCAGACACAAAGATGTCAGCCCCGATGCCTTCAATCCTCGCAGACGAATTTCGTCTCCAATTCCTCAAGCAAACAGACCAATTTCCCGACGAAACTACTCTGGAAGACGGAGTGGTAGTGGAGGTATGACTCGCCGCACTACGCACAGTAGTATGGGCTGATCGAATTGCAGGTGGAAGCGTTCTTGCTTTCCAGAGAGATCCAGCGGGTCCCAACGGAGAAAGGCAAGTAAGTAGCAGCCAGTGTCATGTCTCTCAGAGGCAGGTATCGAAATATCAAGACATCCCCCCCCCCAAGAGCCAAACCTCTCGTGACCAAAACTACACCTCACTAACATATTCACCGCCGGCTAATTGCTGCAGGTAAGTGTCGGCACAATATGGAGGGTAGGCGGACTTGCCCCTCCCAGCTTTGGAGTCCCAAATGGGCGAGGGGGTCGACTTGGCAGCGGAACAAATGCTCCTCTTTACACGACTTCATTTTCGGCATCACGACCAAAAGGACAGGAAGAGTCTGAGAATCATGAGAATCGTCTTGCTCATGCTCTTGAGTTGGACCGAGTTTCCAGAGTGCTTGAATTTCGGGACTTTTCTACCTCTCCGCAGAAACACCTTACGCTGAAAGAGAGACAGACCGAACTAGAGTCGAAAACTACTTGGACTGGTACTGAATGGGTCATGGGACCGACCGATCATAGTATGAGACTCTCCCCAGCTCACACGCCATTTTAAACCTCTGAGTGTAACCAAAACTGACTACAACAGAAACGCCGATAACCAAAGAAGCTCGGAATCTTCCAATTGCCCCCTTCAAATAAGTCTTTTCTTCTCAAGCATGTGACCCTTTACTGACCTCGTGCAGAGTGTTGGATGCTCCGAATCTTCGAGATGACTTCTACTGTTCTGTCCTTGCGTACTCACCTACTTGTCATACCCTCGCTGTCGGCCTTGGTCCCCTACTCTATGCATGGTCCGAGATGCAAGGTGTGCATCTCCTCAACGGTGGAACCGCAAGTGGAGCCTGGCTTACCTCCATTGCATTTTCTTCAACTCAAGGATGCAGATCCATCTTGGCTTTCGGTAGATCTGACTGCTCCTTAACTCTCATGTCTCTTTATGACAGCATGCTACCACGTTTCGAGGTTCAGCAGCCCTGCCCTATTGCATGTGTTACATGGAGACCCCATACCACGATGCGACCCTCTCGTTGCCCTCTTACGAGTGGAATACCTGTTAAGACCGAGGATCTTCTCGTCGGAGACGAGGTTGGAAATATTTACTATTATTCTGTCGAATGGCCGGAGGCGTGGGAAGTCACCCGAAACGGGTGGTCCGGTTCGATGACTCTCCTTGCCCGAATCATGGTTCATACGCAGCAGATCTGCGGTCTCGCGTTTTCCAACGATGGCTCTATGTTTGCAACTGGCGGAAACGACAACCTCTGCTGCCTCTTCCAGACCAATAAAGTGCTTCATAGCACTCGAGAGGAAGCTCAGGTTGCCGAAGAGGTCTTCATCCAAGCAGATGGCATGCGACGTGTCCACACCATTGTTGGCCAAGGAGGCGTCAAAGAAGTCAAACTAGGCTCCGAGAAACATCGCTGGGCGCACGGAGCAGCAGTCAAAGCAATCGCATTTTGCCCCTGGCGAGATGGGCTCGTCGCCACAGGCGGTGGTAGCAACGACAAATGCATTCATTTCTACCACGCTTCCTCCGGCGCCTGCCTCGCAACAATCAGCGTAGCCGCGCAGGTAACATCTCTGATCTGGTCAACCACCCGTCGTGAAATCGCTGCAACCTTCGGATACGCGCAGCCCGAGCATCCCTACCGCATCGCCGTCTTCTCGTGGCCGGAATGCAAGCAAGTTGCTGCCATACCCTGGGACGGCGAACATCGTGCGTTATATGCAATCCCGTATCCTGGGGGCCCGAACGAGAGTCAGACGAGTCGAGAAGGGGGCAGAGGATTGAGTCGCACGGCGCAGGAAGGGTGTATCGTTGTTGCAAGCAGTGATGAGAGTGTCAAGTTCCATGAGGTGTGGACAGCGGGGCAGAAGACGACGGCTGGTGGGGAAGGGCTGCTGGGTGGTAGTGATATTCTTGAGGGGCTGGAGGGGATTGATAAGGAGGGGGAGGTCATTCGATAGGTTGATGGGATTATGCATTGTGTTTCATGAATCGTGACTTGGGGGTAGGTACGAGGCTCGGCCATTGGGGGCAGGAGTTGAATATTGCTTAGGGCTAGAATGGCTGATACCCAATATAGAATTGAGCTCGTCATTCTTTCTTTGCTGCATTTTTGTGCAACCATACTTAAGGCTTGTTTTAGTTATACTTGAGATGGAAAGCCAGTTACACAGTGTTGCATCTCATGCCTTTGCCAGCAAGCAGAAGGGATCACAAGGTCAAATATTCCAAATGATGAGAGGAGAATGGAATTTATTGTTTCATTTCTCTTACTCCACAAAACACCTTCCTCTCAGTAAGGCGAAGAGGCAGATCTTATCGGGGTATGCGTCCAACCCTTCCTATTCTCATCCTACTCAACACAGACTTTACGAAACCGCGAGAAAGCAAATTGAGGCCCACAGATGAATGTTCCGAGTTCCAGGGGACAATGAAAGGCGACTAGTGAGGGAGCTCCTCGTGTTCTGGAGCATTCGGATTTTGTACCAATTCAATGTTCCTCTTCCTTGCTGAACGTCGCGGGTACCTAGTAAGCAAAGCGAAACTCGACTTCGGGTACATTGAAGGAGGGGTATCTCTTCTTGACGACGTTCAAGGTCCTGTACACAATATGCTTGTTGGGATCCTCAGGAATTGTCTCTTGTCTTGAAATCATGACCACTAAGGTCTTCAACTCTGGGAAGTTGACCAATTCGTGGAAGTTATACTTGAAGTTGTGTCGAGAGCCCATCCCCAACTTGATATGCGGGTCATGTTGGATTCCGTCAAAACTAAAATGGACGGCTTCGCTGATCAGTAGCGTATGATTATTCGAGGGTCGTGGGTTTCCCACAATATGGCGGCTATCCAGTGGAGGGTGAATGTACCAGGATCGGGTTGTTAGACTGTTGACTGCAACTTGCAGATAGTTGTAGTTAGAATGGTGAGAGACTCTGTATTCGTCAAGCTTTCTGAAGAGCGGGGAAAGGTTGGGAGACGGCCCCATTATGATTGTACGGAGGTTGCTGCGCACAACCGGTTCTGCTACTCCTGGGGAAATGTGTCAGCTCTGCCTAAAACAATGGGAGAACCCGTAAACTCACTGAAAGTCATCAAATGCAACGTATCCACCTCGAATGAAAAGAAGCTCAACTTTGCGTTCTCGTTTGGGAAAATTGGCGCATACAAGCTGGGGCCCTTCCCCTCAACGTTGTTGGCGGCATCGTTCTCGCGGTACAGGTATTCGTTTCGGGACTCGCGGCAAACGTGCATTACGACTGGCGTCGGACGGCTTTCGAAGATGGTGTATCGGGGTCTGTACTCAAGAGGCTTGCTTTGGACGAGCGTTTGGGGCGAGGGTGCCATCAGAGACCAGATCTTGAGGCGGATTTCGAGCGGCTGGACGGTGTTAGCTTGTGCTTGAAGATAACGTGGGAAAAGCTAAGAGAGTCACGTTGGATGGAAAGGTGAAGACATACCAACTCGGGAAAGAGGCGGAACTGAGAGTCGTCTGGTGCAGTTGGCTGGACGTTACTTTGGGATGAATCTCCGGCGCTGGCTCGGATCTCTACAGCCTTGATTGTTCGAGTTTTCCGTCCCTTTGCTGTCTTCTTCTTGACTCTGATCAGCGATAGGGTAGGTTCGCGACCGAAGGACTTCGGCGGCGGCTTGGTGATCTTGGACGAGGGAATGGCTTTCTTCGGTACCTTCTTTCTTCCTTGTATTGCCGGCATTGTTCTCGCCATTGCGTAATCGTTACAGTGTTGATGCTGTTGCAGGTAGCAAATGTCATCTATCTAGTGAAAAAAGATTGGAGGGCGCGAATGCGGAAAGGAGCGAGGCTGCTGGTTTGTTGACAAGGCTGTCGCTAATTCAGGAGGGGACTTCACTGAAACGTGCCGACATCATAGCCTGGTGAATTCTAGTAGTCGAGAGTGACGATTTGTTTCAAGGATTCAATCTTTAATTGGAGCACCACGACGCAGGATTTAGAGAAATTAGGAAGAGCCTTTCACCTGAAGCCTTGGAATTTCTATCCTCCGCAACCCAAGTGGGTGGAGTGAGGAGAAACAGGGGACGAGCTTGAGAGTTTGAGTGGAGCGGATGGGTGACTAAAAGCAGGGGCTACATCAACCGGCTGGCTTGGTGAGCAGTGCTTTCCCCCCTTCCCCCAAATATGTTCGTTCTCAAGACCTAAGTTATTAACTTATTGCTTCACAGGATAGAGGAATTCAGAGTTTGTGCTTTAGGAAGTGATTCCCCTGCACTCGGCTACTGCAATGGAGAGAAAGTGGTTTCGACAGAGAATGCATCGATGGCTTAAGTGAGCTCGTTTCTGCTATTCATCTCTATTTAAGTGGCGATTTCAGAAGATAACTGATCTGGGCATCTAATACGAAGATCACGGCATAATGTGTCGGGATTACAGGGTAATTGTATTTTAACGGCACTTTAGTGTGTTTTTCTAGCGCATTCGGTCACTAAATTGCCCTATAATTCTAGGCCCTTGCCCTAAAAAGACGCTATAGACGGGAGCAACGAGTACTGCACTTTTGTAGCTTTTCCCCTGTAGTTACAAGGGATACCTCGCTAAAGAGCCCTATCGTAACTACCCGTTTAGCGTCCAAGCGCTATCTTTGCTCCACTAGCAGCGGTATTTACCCCTGGAGATCTTCTCATACCTTGCGAATGTCTTACAGCGCCTCTCAGGTCTGCTTAGACATATGGCCTGAAGTCATAGGGCCTCACAACGGGTTCAACCCCTAAATTGTGCCCTGAGGATGCCAAGGGCCTCAATGCCCTGTAATCCTGTCACTATATGCCGTGATCTTCATAAAGAGGAATTGGTCTACAGGCTTTGAGCGAGCGACTGCATGTTGGTTCCATAGAAGTTCCAACATCCAAATGGAGACTAAAGAGGCGACACTGTTGAGCTTGCTCTTAAATGTGTCTCAGTGAAGTTGACCTTTGGAACAATTGCCTGGCCGGAAGGCGACCCCCTATCATGGTCTGTCGAGACTGTGATGTTCTGGAGGGTTTTCGGAGCGTTGCTGCTTCGTGCATCACTGAAGGTACGCTCTATACGAAAGGATGAAAAGGTACTAGAAAGAAACAGATACTATTATTGTACCAGTAGAGTGGACCGCGCTATCCAAGTGGAGTAAATCTTGAATCTCGCAGAATCTACCAATCCTACCGGGAAACCAAGGTTCACAATTGGCTTGAATGGAAATTTCAGAGGAGTAATCAGTGTGGGCAAAAACTACTCAAGCTACTCAAGCTACTCTAGAGTAGTCTTGAGTAGAGTAGAGTAGAGTTTGAGTAGCGTAATATAGTACTTGAGTAGAGTAGAGTAGAGTACTACTCTAGAGTAACTCAAGAGTAGTCACGTGAATATAGTAAATCAGTATTTATTTAATTATTAATAAATAAATAAGATACCCATTAAGTAGCAGTATATAATTTAAACTAGAGCTTATATAAGGCTATTTAAATACTACTTTTTTTCTATAAAAAACAGATTTCCCTTCTCGGAATCTTTCTTTTCCTTCTTTTTTCCTTCTTTTTTTACTTCTTCTAATTCGTCTTTAAATAACCCCCAGCTTTTTAAGCAAGATATTATCTTAATAGTACTCTTATTAAGTCTATTATGTAATTTAGATATAATAAGAGTACCTTGAGAGAAGAGTTTGCCCTTAATAGCCGAGGAAGCCTAAGAATATATGATGGTTCTACCTTGCTTACCAAGCCTTGCCACTACTTGATTGGGCAGTGTAGTGGCGCTAGATTCGGGCCACCCCGGAGCCTTACCCAATTAGGCTAGCGTGTCACGTGTCGCATCACGTGTAACGTCACGTGCGTACTACTCAACTACTCTAAAATATTCTAGAGTAGTTGAGTAGAGTATTGAGTAGAGTATGAGTAGTGAGAAATTTATTTGAGTAGAATATGAGTAGGGCCCACTACTCTACTCTACTCTACTCATTTCCCACACTGGGAGTAATAAATTATATCTTACATCACTATGCAAATTTGTTTTGGAAGTTCTTGTTGTAAGGAAAACTTCGGTGTCAGTTTCCACGAAGAATCAAGACAGTGCTGTTGTAAATCCCAAGCAAGCTCTCAGGAGGGAGTGAAATTTTAAACCCTTCGGATGAGTCTGGCCTTCTTCTCCCCAAGACTCTGTATCTAGAAAGCCCGTTGGATCGCCAGGACCAGGTAATATAACTGGAGAAAGTCCGAGTGAAGAGGGCAACGAAGAAATAGATAAGCAGGAAGAGGCGATGGTAGCGTTGTTGAGGAATCGTATTGAGAGGATGCGTGCGGATAAGGAGAGGTTATTAGCAAATGAGAGGTTGAGTCAATTAGAAGAAGAGACGAAAGCGAAGATTTTGGACGTGCCGATGAGGAGTTCGAGGTGGCGGGATGGAGATGTGTGATGGAAGCACGACGTTTTCGGCATTCTATTTCTAAATCTGAATCCTGATACCTTTTGGGGGTTATATGTGCTGGGCACCTGTCTTGTCTCGGTGACTGGCTTGGAAGAGACGTTGGGATGAGGTCACGAAGGTTTTGAATACCCTAATTCGCGCAGAGCCCATACCCACAGACTTAGATATCCCAAGAAGAGTGCCTGGGATGACGCGTCGGTTAGCTCTAGCCTCTACGGCAACTTGTAGCAGATGCTCAAGAGAAGTAACGTGAGAATCGGTTGCGCCATTGGTCGAACAAGGTGAAAGATAGAAAATAGGAGAGTCCCTTCTAAGATTTTAGAATCCCTAATACTACGAAGCAGGTTCAGGGATTAGGGATATTAATGTCATGTCATTACAAGGCAATAACAGTGACGATCATCATCAGTACGAAGACAACAGCATAAAGTATAGGGAATACAGGGCATTTTGACCCTCAGCGCTCTACAGGGTGTGAATTTAGGGCAGAAGCTCGCTACAAGCCCCTATAACTCTAGGTAGTGCTCCCTAAATCTACGTAAAGAGGCGCTATAAGACATTCGCATGGGGTAAGTAGATCTTCTAGGGTTATAGCGCTCGGACGCTAAACAAGCAACTATTATAGGCCCCTTTAGCGAAGGCTCCCTTGTAAGTACAGGGAAGAAGACCTGAAAAGGTGTGGTAGCCCTTGTCGAAGGCGTAAATGTGCTTTTAGGGGAAGGGCCTGGAAATATAGGGCCTTGTAGCGAGTTTGCTACCTTGATCTGTACGCTGGAGAGCCTGAAAGTCTCCCAATGCCCTGTATTCCCGATACTTTATGCCGTTGTCTTCGTATAAGGCCCCTACCAAGTTCTCACGAGACTTGATCCTCTTGCTCTCCGCGTCGCTCACCACCGCATGACCTTGTGGCCCTCCAGCACCATCAAATCTTTTAGTGTAACCAGGTGATAATTGCATGCAGGTGACCTTTGAGACCCAGATTATTTTCCCTTCTTAATTGGCTCGTCAAACTAAACGAGCGTTGTAATGAAGTCTCAGGTCCGCATGCAGGCGCTTTTGCTTTGTATTGAGTTCGTGACGCAGAATCGAGATTCGTAAGAGACAAAAAGAGCTTCTAGGTTGTTCCGAGGAATATTAGCGTTACTCTTCTTGAGTTATAAGAAGCCTGAAATTCCATGACGAACCGTGGTCCCAGAGAAAGTCTGCACCGGCTCGAGGTCTCATTTCAATATCGCCATGAACTGGGGGGCATGCGTAGGCTACTGTCCCTCTCCCCAGCGGTCTTTCATTGGTTGGAATGTTGGTATCTGTCCTAGAGCACCAGCTACTCGAAATGCAAATGGAAGAATCTTCAATCATACTAAATTCTTGACTTCTCTTCTTTCGCCTGTTGATCCAGCGCAATACAACAAAGGCAGATGGGGCACAAGTGGCGAAAAGAGTGATGAGGCCAATTACTGCTTTGGTAGGAAGTCCCATTTAGAATGAGGCGAGCACTGCTTGAAGGGGCGGAACTGATGGAAAGAGTGAAACTTGGTTGGATGACACCACTGACGAATTAAAGCCCGGGAAACAGTGTTGACTTGAAGCTTCGGCGGGAGGAAAGCTACTCTATAAGAGACAAATTTTGGATTATGTTGTAGAGATTGAGACAGCACATGAATGGAAGCCATTGGGGTTTGCTTGGGCCTTTGAGCCCGAGGCTCCATTCATAGTTCAGTGTGTTGGCACCATCCCGTGCAGACAGATTGCCCCCAACATGAAAGCTGCCGACATATTTTGGAATTGTCCAATAGATAACTGGTGCTCATGTTGGCAAAGGTGAAATTGGTAATCGCATTTGTATTCCGCAATCGCAGGGTTGAGAAACTGCCAAACCTTGGAATCACAAGCCACCAGACTACCGTGGCCGAAAATTTAGCAGAAGCTGCAGGGGTTGACTCAATGAGTCTACCGCCTCCATGCGCCGTGATGTAATATGTGCAAAAAGAGTTTGGGATCGCCCAGTGGCACAGAGGGCAAGGATTTTGGTTGCAGGTTCCAACACAAGGGGCATGAGCTAACTTTTGAAAACAATGCAAGAAGATTTGGGAACCAGCCAATGGCAGATGAATGGACTAATCGCTTGGCTGCACCAAGCATGCGTTGGAATCTCAATGCAGGATGGTTTTGGAATCAGCCTATCACATCCGCTTGAGGCGCTGTATAGTAGTCGGGCGTCGGGTGATGAGGAGCTGCAGAGACTTCAGCTCAGATTCTGGCATCCGCGAGTAACATCACAAGGCCCCAGCTCTTTCGTTGCACCGCTACAAATTTTATTTTCCACGCGTTCTTTCGCTTCTGCCTTGTCCTACTCATAATACAAGCACAACGAGGGCGAACTTCCAAAGCCAAATTCACGGCTTCCATCAACTTCACTCTTTTCAATTGCACGAATCACGAGAACAGTACTGAAACCGACCCATAATGATGTCAGCACCAAATTTTCAAGACTGGGAGCGCCTGAAGCATGTTTTGCGCGCTCTTTACATTGGCAAGGGGCATACACTTGAAGGACCCGAGGGTGTGATGAAGCTGATGGAAACTCAGCATGGATTAAAAGCAACGTAAGCACCTTGGATCTCAAACTGAATTTCTAAGACACATGATTAAGCTTGCCTAGGAAAGCACAATATGAGAAACAATTCAAGGATTGGGGCTTTCAGAAAAATCGAACAAAACAAGATTGGAAAGATATAGGCCAAAAGATCGGGGCACGGAAAAGGATGGCTAAAGAAAGTAATATCTATCTTGATGGACAATTGGTTCCCACGAAGAAGCTTCGGAAAGCGATTTCTCGCCAAGCACACATGACGGTTTACGAGCAGTTCCATCAAGGCCAAGGTAAGTAACTAAAATAGTAAAAATTATATCGGTGTTTGATAACGTTCATCAGAATCTCCTCCTGAAACGCCCCCTGGGTTTGAAATCCGCACACCTACCGCTCTACCATTGCTCCGACTCGTGTTCGAGAACCTCCCTATGTTTCGATTTCAGGAGATAATGCCACAATTGCAAGGTAACCAGAGATTCCTATTTTGAAACCCGGAAATACTAACCACTCCGGCGACTCTAGAATTCATTCGGCCTTTTGATACCAGTTCCTCGGCCCTGACCCCATTCTTGGGAGAGCTTCAGCGAACTCATAACCCCGATTCCGATCTTTCGATACTCAACTCGCTGCTTCCCAATTCAGCCCTTCTTGAAGAAGGATGCGCAAAAGGACTTGCAATAGAGCGCGTCGAAAGCCTTGGGTCTGTCGAGTTCTTCAACTTGATGGTGTTTATGGTTTCGAACAACTTTCCTGGAGAGTCGAATAGCCGAAATATACATGAGTGGCTGAAGAAAAACAACCCTTCATTTGTCCTCAAAACTCTCTCATCCATAGCAACACCAACTGCTGAGGCACTACTTGAGAACCTGTTTCGGTCTGCCGTTGAGGCTGGAGATGTGCCAATTGTCAAGCACATGCTCAGAGCAGGAGCAAGTCCTAATGGGCCCATGTGTCGACATTCGTCACTTCCTGATCATGTTACTCCTCTTCAATTTGCTTTGAGCCGAGGGAACATAAAGCTGGCTCAAGAACTGATCAAAGCTGGGTCGAGAATCGATGAAAGTGGCGCGGGATGGAAAAGCAGTGCCTTAGTTCTGGCAATCATTGGCAATAATCTTCAGGGTCACCAGCAGTTCTGTGGTTCTCATGTCAATTCCGCAGACGACGGCGGTGATGATAAAGACTACATGGACTCCTGGAGTCTGGTGGAACCTAGTTCGCAAGACTTCGCAGTCTATGGAGCTGATAATGACCCCTTCTTCGATCTTATTCAATCCTTAATGAATGCCGGAGCAGCTATCAATCCCGATGGTGCTGGTCGGTCTTGCTCGTCGGTCCTAGAATGGCAGGACGAGTCCCCATATCTAGACGGCCACTCGCCGCTCACGGCGGCATCAAAATACCGACATAAGCAATTAGTTAAGGTCTTCCTTCAAAGCGGCGCCGACGTAAAGTTTCTTACGAATCGAGACTCTTCCGCTCTACACGAATGCCTCTACAGCTGGGAAGAAATGAGTTCAGATGACAGTAAATGGGGTTCACCGCAATCATTCTTTGAGCGCGGGAAGTCGCCAAGTTTTCCAGGATCCGGGAATTTGTCCAATCTCGTTGACGTGGCTCGGAGCCTTATAAGTGCAGGGGCTGCGGTAAATGACGAGTCTGGATTCTCCTTCAAACCTCACGACAACAATTGCGAATGCGACAGCGATTTCATTTACTGCACAACGCTTGATTTGAGTGTACTCACAGGAAGTGCTGAGCTGGTTGATATGATGCTAGGCGCTGGAGCTTGTACAACCACCAAGGTTTCACTCGAATATGCCATTTGCAAGGGATGGACCGAAACTGTTACCCGCCTCTTGATTATGGGTGCCCCTTTGTCGATAGAAGCTAGTGAAGAGGTGGTTGAGAGTAATGGGAGTTGTTTATATGCGATATCGCTTTTTCGCCCAAATCTTCGAATAAAAAGGGCAATATTTCAGCAAGCTGTACGACTCGGAGCTACCTCTACAATTGAGTACATCCTCAGTAGTGAAACTTCCAACCCTCAAAAACTCTTCTACGATATGACGGAGGCATTTGAACAATGTTGCGCCGAGGGGCACATCAATACTCTTCGTCTTCTGCTTAGCAAATCTTCAATATTTAAAGTTTCAATTTCTCCATGGTTTGGTCGGGCGATTGAGGTGGCAATCGAAAATGGCCATGATGATATCGTAGATATCCTCCTCTCTGCTGGTTCAGACATCGATGTAATAGTGCACCGTGAAAGCGTACTATTGGCCGCCCTCCGGAAGAAAAATACGAGAATAATAAGGAAGCTTATGAGAGCCGGCGTGAAATTGAGCAAAAGAAACGAGGAATGTTTAGAATGGGAACGAAGACCTGAATCGAACGATGTGTTCATTGCTGCGATCAATTTGGGCGATTACCACGTAATCAACAGTCTCATTGATGCGGGTGCGAGCCTACATACGTTAGGCACCAGCGATTGCATGCTTGGTTCAAAGCTGCGCATATTGCCACTTACTGCTGCTATGATGGGAAAAGATTTGACTCTAGTCAATCGTCTCATTTCTGTAGGTGCTGCGATGAACAACCCGCCAGAAGCTGCCAGTGCGACTCCGACACCGCTATCAGTAGCGATCGCAAACCGAGATTTGGAGCTAGTCAATACACTCATCCATCGAGGGTCAAATCCATACGATTCAATAGCTTTGACCGAAGCTACAAATGAGTTCAGGCTTCTTCAAACTCTCCTCATCGCGTTGCACAGCTTCAACGAACCAATCAATAGTGATGGCAGACCCCTGGGGCGGGAGGCACTCTGTAGAGCAGTAGAGAAGCAAGACCTGGTAATGACTCGGGATATTCTCAATAGTCCGCTCAGGGACATGAAATCGAATCAAGGGCTGTGCGCTGGTTTGATCCAGGCCGTACTGTTTGATTCCACGCCCAATTTTGAGATCATAGGAACATTTCTAAGCTTAGGTGCAAACCCGAATTCTGGATTGGGGTCTTATTACGAGTCAGGCCGCTTTTATAGCTGTAAAAAAAGTGCGCTTTGCTTGGCGATTGAGAAGAACGATTCGAGGAAAGTCGAACTCCTGTTGGAAGCAGGTGGTCGTGCAGACAAAAGCCAGACCAAGAACTTGGATCCGTACCCGATACATTGTGCTATATCCGGAAATAACTCGGATGTTTTACGGAAACTTCTCGAGTACGGTTTGGACCCCAACAAATCCTCAGGAAACCGAAGTTATACACCAATCGAATTTGCGACAAAAAAGGGAGATGTGGAAATGATCAAAATTTTGCTCCAATACGGGGTGAACCTCAATACCCGCTTGGATAATGAAATATCACACACGCCTTTACAAATAGCAAGCAGAGATGGGAGCAGAGAGGTAATTGATTTGCTGCTCGAGCACGGTGCTGACGTCAATTCGCCAGCTGCGATAATTCACGGCGCAACTGCGCTTCAATTCGCAGCTATAAAAGGCTTCCTAGGGATCGCCTTTCTCCTCCTAGAGAACGGCGCCGACGTAAACGCCCCGCCCGCAGAATTTAACGGATGGACAGCATTAGAAGGGGCAGCGGAGCATGGAAGGCTTGACATGGTTCAATTGCTCCTCAACGCCGGAGCAAATATCTTTCATGAAGGACAAGCACAGTATGAAAGTGCTGTGAGGAGAGCCTCTGAAAATGGACATTGTGCAGTTCGGCGACTCCTCGAATCATATCACGGATAGTTGGCGTTGGGTTGTGACTTCAAATTTCGGCAAATCTCAGTGTGTCAAAGGATTATTCAAGTTATTCAAGTTATTCATGAATAATTCATGAATAACTTGAATAAAATAAGAGTAACGAATATCTTAAATAATTTGAGTAAAATAGAATAACTATTCATGAATAACATGAATAATCATGAATAACCACGTGGAAGTCACGTGGAAGTCAATTAATTATAGTAAATTGACATATATTTGAATTTAAAGAAAAGAACTAAGATATTTATTAAGCAGCCTTATATAAGCTAAGCTAATACTTATAAGGCTACTTAAATACAGATTTTCTATAATAAATAAACTGATTATTACTAAGGTTCGATTCGCTTACCAAGTGCCACTACTACCTGGTTGGGTAGAGAGGTGGCGCTAGGTGCGGGCCCCCCGAAAGCCTTACTCTATTAGGCTATCTCAATCACGTGCACAGATCACGTGCGTTATTCAAGTTATTCATAATTATTCATGAATAACTTGAATAATATATGAATAAAATAAGAGTAACGGCCGTTATTCTACTCTACTCTATTCATTTGACACACTGGCAAATCTCGACGGCAAAATTCTTCTTTCCAGAGGGACATTTCATTATCTCTTATAGCAGTGGTAGGAGGCAGTTTGCGACAAAATAGAAGAAAGGCCATCTGAGGCAACCGCAATAGTCTTACTCGACTTATTTTTCTTTTCTTTTCACAGGCTCCGTTCTAGTCTCTTGGCTTGAGCAGCAACTGCGTTAACCTGGGCTCATGGTCAGGGTGAGTATCCTGAGCACGGCTCGAGTAGGGTCTTGGCTCAGGCATCTTTAGCAAACATTGTTAAGCAGTGAAAGCGTTAATGGCACAATCAAACACATGCATCCTCATGCATAGTCTTTGAAGTAGATACCCAAGCAAGGAATATCGTTGAACACCCGATTGGTCAATTCTACCAGGTCCTCCGCTGTAACCTTTTGGGCATGAGGACTTCCGAGAAGATTCTTGAATTAACCCTCAGCTCCAATAAGAGTGCAAAACTATTTGAACCCCGTTACCACCATCTCAGCCTCCGTTTCAGCAAGAAGCACAATTCAAATCATTCAAACCTCTGCACCATTCTTTCAACCTCATCCAAACCAGTCTCTTTCACACCTCTCGTTTGTCGGGAGGAAGAAGCCGCGATGGAGTTGAAGATTTTGAGGATGCATATTGAGGATGAGCGGAAGCTTGAGGGGGTTTGAGAATCAGATTAATGTGGAGAAGTTGAGGACGGTGTTTGTGGCATTTCAGGAATTTTTTGGCGTGAGGGAGGTGAGATTAGCAGTTTCGAGGTTAGCGGATATTGGGGAAGAGAAACATAGGTTTGCGGGAGGAGAGCTCCCTTGGTTTGACAGGAGGTTGTGGGAGGGTCGATAGAGTAGACAGACTTATTTCGGTGATTTTACATAGAATTGATGGTGTTTCCTCAGAAGCCGAAGATAATATTTTGCCCAAGGACACAGATGATATTCATCTTAGTGCAGTCTTGCATTGTTATTGTGGGCGCCTTGTGGCGAAATCAAGAACGTGGAGATCTATAGCGATTATCAAATTTATGGACAAATTCCGTGATTTGGGACTCGAAATACTCTGTGAGTTCTCGGAGTTATGATTTGTCTGCGATCGCTAGCTTACACAGACCTGGTGTCTTTTGTTTGCCACTGTATTGTCTCTAACCCCAGATTTATCCACAACCAGGCTAACGCAAAAATCATGATTTGGAGTCCGTGTCCACCGAGATCCAGAGCTAGAGCCATGGGTGTTGGACTTGGAGTCGGATTTAACGTGGGACGACGGAGCCCGGTATCACATAATGGCTGAACGAGGACTAATACTCGCCGCAGAACTTGCACCGCTAGGAGTCAAGATCATTAGCCAAAATCTTTCTATCTTCTTCAAGATGGACGGATTTACCTTACCAGTTTCTTGAAGACGACGCGGGGAGCCTTAAATTCAGGAGTACGCTTCTTTGAAAGTTCCAAGTGCTTCTCCACAAGAGCCTCCAGGCGCTGGATGTCGTCTAGGTGTGAGAGACAAACAATAATCAGCGTCTGTAGCTTCTTGAAGTTTGGGAGTTTCAAGAACTTGGGGCCCTCAAAGTCGCCGTCCGAGTCAACATTAACTATTGGAGTTGCGGTAAGGAGATCCTCCAGTTTCGTGTTTGTTGGCGGCAAGTCGTCTCCAACAACCATATGGCGAAGTTCCTTTCTGACTAGAGGCTCAGCTACTTCTATAAGAGGTGTCAGCCATCATAACACAAAAGGAAACTGTCAACCGTGCTTACTGCAATCCATCAAGTGCAAAGCATCGACCTCGAAAGAGAAGAAGACCTTTTTGCTATTGCCGTCTTCAAAGAATGGGCGGTAGCGTGGACGGTTGGCATTAACCGGATCGTTGTTTCCGCAGATGAACTCGTTTCTGGATTCTTTGCAGCTATGAAGGACGGCTGGCGTAGGACGAGACACCACGATTGTATGAAGGGGCTTATAACCATTAAGAGGCTCAAGCTGGGTGATGACGCAAGGTTCGGGGGAGTTGAATCGCCAGATTTTCAGACGAAGTTCGAGTGGCTGGGCGAATGTTAGTATCAGTCCAGAAACTCAAGAACAGCCAGGTATATTCGAGTATTGGGAGAAAGAAGGCTTGCGAGTCACTGGGGTTGTGCCTCGTCTAGGCAGAGGTGCGAGACAACGTACCAGTTTCGGGAAGGGGTGAAAGGTAGTGCCAGTGGTCGAGTCATCTCCGGTACTTTGCTCTCCAACGATGGTTTTGTCGTTAATGCCCAAGGGCAAGTTTGGAGTTTTGTCTTCGGGAATGGTGCCATATCCGGTCTGTGCTCTTAATCTCGCGCTGTGCCTGGGTATTGCTTTAGACTGTTTGTTTTGGTGGGACATCTGGAGACGAAGAGTAGTTAGCAGTTGCTGCACAAACCGTCTTACTATCGAAGTAAAGCATGTACGTACCTTGACACCTTGGGGTGCGAGCCTTGAGAGATTCTGACTGTGGTGGGAATGTTTAAGGGGACACAAGAGGCTCGGCCAATTTGAGTGTGCGAAAATTAGCGCGAATCTTAGCGTGGCTAAGAATAGGGGAGTGAACAGGAAGGGTCACTTTGTGCAGTGCTCTTTAAGATTGTGGCTTGTCCCAAACTTTGTATTTTAATTCATTCTTGTTCTCAAAATCTAAATCAACTCTTGCATACACTGTCCTAGGCTCTTTGAATGATTTAAACCCCTCTTGCTTGACATTGTAAAATAGAATGTAATCAGCGAGAGCTTATTATTTAGCAGAGACGAAGGCTGTAGCACAAAGGAAGCTTTTGAACAAGTGCTATCTAAAAGCACACTGGGTAGGCTGGCTTTTGAGGGCTGTTCATAGTTGAAAGTGAACGGCATCGTCGAGGGCTGCTCATGGAGGAAAGTGAACGGCACCGCCACGGGCTCGCCTAGCTTGCTGTGGACAGAAAAAGAGGAACAATTTATCACAGCACTTAGTCAAGCCAGACATCAAAAGGAAAGCTTTTGTTACTATGGAGTTTTATAGATAAGTATCATTATTAGGCTTTGAATGTACCATTGTGTGAACTACCATTAGTGGAGAATTCTTTGGAAGACCAAGTTGATTTAAGACGAGAATCCAATGCCGCTTTTCTATCTGCTAAGATAGAAAGGACTAAAGCTAAGAACATAGACGAAGAAATCTAAACTCTTATCCCACAATAATCTCCCTCGATCTTTCAAAAACAATTCCTATCCTTGAAAGAGGAACTTGGGGGACAGCCTTGCCAACACCACCTTCACTCCTCGAAACCTTCTCCCAACTATCCGCAATGGCTACATCCAACTCAAACGGTCCTCTCGAGGATTCTCCCAAGGGATTTCTCAATGTTGCTTCCAGCGATCCTCTTGAAGCCTCTTCTGCCGATCCTCGCAACGGTCCTGTCAATGGTTCTCTTGGTAGTGCTCTCAAGAGTCCTCTGTAAGTATTCTCGGCAGTTGTCTCAATGGTAATCTCACTAACTCTCTTGTCAGTCATCCAATCAACTCTCTCGCCATTCCCTTCCAAGAATTCCATTCCTTCCGTAAGCTTCCCATTGAGTTGCGACTGAAGATCTGGGGTTTCGCAGCGCCGGAGCCTCAAATAATCACCCAATTGAAGAGCACGAAGCCCAAGAAAACCCACTGCTGCCGAGTTCCTGCTGTCCTCCTCGCATGCCGCGAGTCTCGCTATGAGTACCTCGCTGACGTAAAGTCTCCGATCTCCAAGCATGGCCACCCGACCTACACCCTCGTTTATGTCAAATATCCAGTGTACTTCAGTTTCGAGATCGACACCTTGTACATCGTTTCATCCGCTGCCAACAGAGATGGCGTAGGTAAGAAAAACTCGAAGTGCCTTATACCATTCTGTCTAACACATCCCAGGTTTCTTTGATGAGAGCATGGTGCCAAAGCTCAGATACCTTGCCGTAGACCACCACTGGAGCGCCTTGGTGACCGTGTGTCACACGATAACCCATATGCTGACTGCCAACCCCAGCTCTCTCGACTTGAAACTCCTCACTGCCGTCTTCCACTCGAACCCGTACTACAATTGGGTGAACTCGGACAATATTCAATTTCAACCCGGCGGTCGCAATATGTTCCCCCTCCTCAAGCTCGCGCCAAATGTGGTTACGAATGAGACTAAGGAATGGTACGCCGGTTGGTTCGGTCATGATGTAATCAGAAAGGTCCCAAATCTGGCAATTGAGCATAAGGGTGTTCTCAACAGTATCAGATTTCAAGGGGCCTGATATGGTGGAGTTTGGTGGGACAATGGCTCTTCATGATACTCAAGATCATGCCTCTCAGGTTGAGAGTAACGAGCACCAGTGCAAGTGAGGAAGCTTTTGTCTTTACTTGAAATTGAGTTTGTTCATGGTTGTAACGGAGTCCGCCACGCAGGCAGCAATAAAACGCAATAGATCCATGAACTGTGACAAATGCGATGCGATGCAATCAACTCCAAAACCTCTAAACGTTCTTACCCAAACACAACCAATCATGATGGCAGAAAACAGGCTAATTGGGCAAGCCACGATCCAAAACAGGGGTGTATGCAAGCCACTCGATAGAACGAACTCTAAGCCGCTTTTCCTTTTGCGGCTCTAGACATTTTCAGCTTGAACCCCAATTCTCTCGTCTCGAGTCGCGACTCGGGATCAATGATTTGGGCTGGAAACCCAGAAGAGCCGTATAGCCAGAAACACGCGTCAAATGATTGTTCTTGCGATGATTTCTGCACGAGAGAATGGACGCGACCGTAACGAAAAACCCTGCGGCTTCAACCCCTGAAATTGGTACACATGACCAAACCTTCTCAAAAACCTTCCTGGGTGAAGATGGAAATGAGACGTCTCCGCAATTCGAAGATGGACTGATTCCCTCGGAGCATCAGCAAAGCAGGATATCCGAGCCAGTACTCGATGCTGCCCTCACCAACGCCCAATCCTTTGTAGAGAGCTCTTCGAGCCACAACCTACTGAGTATCCTTCAGCGGCCAACCTTTCTTGAATCTCCTGCTGCCCGGTGGACCGCACCTCCACAATGGCTACAGTTCCAAATGCTGAGAAGTTTCGACGAAGGGTTGATGGTAAGCGAAACACAGCATCCTCAAGGCCTACCTCACCCGTATCCCGAACCAATAACATCGATATACGTTGAAGAAGTCCAAAATCAGGTCCAAATCAATCTCCAAGGCTTGTTGCAAAGTCGCCAAGATGATTCGGCAGCCACCGCTGCCGCCCGGTGGCAGATCCCTGAGAGTTGGGCTCAATCATCAATGGGCGATTCGTTTCCTATTCGACCTCCTATTGCTCTTGGGCCTGACCAAGATTTCGACGGGTTGATCCTTGCCGATAGAAGGACTGGTGACCCATTTTCGACGCCTGCGGTAAACTGCAGTTTCGGGTTGATGCAGCAAGTTGGTTACGGTGAACGCAAGTTGGAATTCTTTAGCGAGAATTTCAGTGCAATTGATGCAGGCTTCTTTGCTCATCGAGTACAAGCTCAAGCTGCAAATACTTTGGATCTGATGTTCTTGTAGGCCGACCCCTAGGTTAAAACCTCTTGACCTCATTGACCCAGTTCCTGACGAAAAATGCAGGATAATTACAGAGTGGCAACCTTGGTTTGCAAAACCTCTTCAAGAGGCTTTGCCTGACTTTCCAGTCCAGACGTTGTTGCACTTCAGCTCGTCGCAATCTGCAAGTATGCTCCCATCGATTGACTATAATGGAGGAGGTCAGTACCTGCGATAATTTATCATTCCTAGCTTTCATGCTAATTAAACCTGCTTAGAGCTCACTTGCATCATGGAGCATATAAATACACGAAGGGAGTCGCAAGAAAGGTTCGAAAATGAGAGAGAGATTGATATGGGAACAGCCAAAGCTCACTGCTTACCCCTCGGTATGGAGATCTCTCTAAGTCAGACAGCATCAACTGATATTCTCAGTGGTCTGGACAAGAGCTCGAGGAGCCATTCAGGGTCATCCCGATCGACCCTTAATTGTAATTATTAGTAGACGCACTGACGGGATCAACTCGAAGATTACCAGCCATTATTCCAGTGACCACTGCAAACGATGGGATAGACTTGCGAAAAACCAAGCATGGGTGTATCTCGACTTGTACTTCCTCTTTACGAAATGGGATCGAATTTGGGGTGCTGTCAAGCAGAATCTGCAACGGAGGACTGAGGTCGGTCTATCACAGCCAACCCCTGAATCTTATGGTATATACTGATCTCGATTGAAATAGGAGGTTCACGCTCGGCAGAACGTTCTACCAATTCAGCAGCAGACTCGCCAACTTCACAAGGATAACAACATCATGATCAGTCTCCGAGAGCATGTACGAATCCACAAAGCGTCGTTGAAGATCGTGATGCAGAGGGTCGAGTACATGCTTGGAGGTGTAGATTTCATGGCTACCCAAGGACTCAAAGGTCGTCTCGATGATGCTTTTCAACTGCTAGAGTACTACGAAGTGACAGCTACCACACTCCTAGAGCAGCAGTCCAATCTACTGAGTTTGGTAAGGGTTTCTTCCCATTATCTTTTGGGACCGTGCTGACGTTGAAGGCTTTTAATCTCGAGACAGTGGCTCAAGGCCAAGCTGTTGCCAGGCTGAACGCGCTGGCTTTCATCTTCTTGCCTCTTAGTTTTGTAGCTGTCAGTTCACCCAGCTTTCAGATTCTGTTCTCTTGCTGATGGGGATAGTCTGTATTTGGCATAACGACTTTCACCCTCTCACCGCAATGGTTTCCCGTTGCAGCAGTCCCTGCCCTTTGCACGACTGTGTTCATAGCCTACGCTGCGCATAAATTCTTTGCCTCTGCCGCTGCGAGGGAGTCTCGCCCGAAGGCAAGGAACGTTCATTGGAGTGACGATCTCGAAAAGCTTCCAACTACCGGCTCTCGGTTATCAGCAAACACTTGGAATAAACTCACCCGAATCTTTTCCCGGCCGAAGGATGGCTCTGCGAAGGACCGCTTTCCAACTCCCAGTACGATTTTCGGTGATGGACCTAGTATCAACGATCCATCGCGCCTCGTCAGGAGATCAACAGATCGTTCACTGGCAGACAGGAATTATGTTCCTCCTCGATCGACGGTCCAATTTCTTCCCGGTGCCTACGACTTTTCGAACCTCGATGCTGCCTTGTCCTACCCGTCAGCTCCAACATACGTTCCACCAGGAACTCAAGCATACGACTTCGCTGCAGGATCCGGAACATACAGCCAATATATACCACAGACCGACTATTATCCATATGCATACCCGAGCGCTTTAAAAGAGACGTCATATCGATATGAACGACAAGAGCTTGAGGCTGCTGCGCCACAGTTCAACCCACACTCACGGCCGCCGCTGCTTTCTGTACCGCACAGCCCTCCACCCCCAGGGGCTCAGATGGCAAACGAAAACGATCGGTTCTACAAGAACAGATTGTACAAAAACTCCGCCGAACAGGCAGAGAATCTTGAAACACACCAAGCTCGAGCCATTTTCTCGTTTACAGGCACTGATCCCGAGGACTTAAGCTTCGAAAAGGGAGGTGTGATTACAGTTCTAAGCGAGGTTGACAAGACTGTTGACTGGTGGTAAGCCATGTCCCTCTCTCTTTTCCACTGCCCCCTTTCTGCCCACCTCCTTGCTCTTTCCTTCCTCTGTCTATCTAACACTCCACAGGCTCGGCCGACTAGGCTCTCAAACCGGCATCTTCCCCAACAGCTACGTCGAAGTCCTCCCCCCCCCCTCAGAACCCACAATTCCCTCCTCCAGCTACACACAAGATGGAGACGAGACAGGCTATCGGCCTGATGGTCCCGACTCTTTCGGCCTCCCTCCAGATACCGCCCCAACCACAACCGCTCAATCTGGGAAAGAATGGTCCCCGGCTCCAGTTTATATACCGTACCCACCGCCGGCTAGCTCAGTGGAAAGCGCTGTTAATGAGGATCTGTATTCCGCCGAAGACAGCAGGTTGCCAGCTTCTTCAGCGTACACACCTTACCAACCACCTGACGAGGATCCATACTCTGTAGAAGCTTCTACGATTCCCAAACTTTCACAGCAAGAGTCAGCGCGCGAGCAGACGGATCGAATAAATTATGGCGAAGAGTTCCAGGTGTGGGACAGAGAGTATAGTTCGCGACCCGACCGGGCGAGCGATTTACAGACTGCGATGTTGGGAATGGATTTCGGTCTAGATGGAGGGGAGACCGAGGTAGAAAGTAGTGGAGAAGGGAGGGGGAGGGGTGTGAGTTCGAGGAGGAGAATTGGGACTTTGGAGACGATTGAAGAGTGAGGCCGAGGGTTTGGAAACTTACTTGAATCCAGCATGGTGTTGGCCAAGCCCAGAAGGTGTGTTTCGATTGGATTACCTGTGTCACAAGCGGTAGATATTGGACCTATAATCTTGCTCTTTTTGTATTCTGGGGCTTAATGTAATGTCTATAGCTTGCATTCATGTAACAACATGCACAAGATATTTGTGGAGAGATAGAAGAATAAGTCCTATAAAGTGGCTTCTTGGAATTGACAAGGTCCGGAAGAACTGGCATCATTAAATCTTCGGGGGTTTGACTCCTAGATTATACCATACACTTTCAACAGATATCAAAGCCCTATGGTAACCGCCATAGCTTAGTTGTCCTTCCATCTAGCAAACCACGAGGAACCAGGCTTGACTTAAATACAAAGCCGTGAGGAGAGGAAGTAAGCTGCTATGGTAGGTAGGTTTTCCAAGTTAATACCTGAAGCTTCCATGACCCAGCACCCATTGATATATTCACCTTACTTATTGCAGTGAAAGCACACTACCTCGGGAACAATTGGGTATCGTGCTTAGACTCGGCATGAAGCTCCCCGTTCATGATTTCCTAATTCGGCAACGCGCGAAAAGGGGAAGCGAGGTGAATATATATAAGTCTCGTCGCCATCTCTCGCCTCGGGAACCATCTCTTCGACACCACCTCAACCATGGCGCCCAAGCGCAAGGCATCAGCCATGGCCAGCACCTCCAAGGTTTCTGCAAAGAAAGTACAGTCAAAGAGAGCCAGTAAGAAACAAGCGACTGAAGCCAACGACAAGAATGAGTCCGATGTCGCCATCACTGACGCTGAGCCGACTGCGACTAAGCAAGATGGTGTCGAGCAAGTTGACGGCAAAGAAGGTCCGACGTTCACCCTGTTCCCTAAGCTGCCTCTGGAGCTTCGCAACAAAATTTGGGGAATGGCTGCACCTGATCCGTGTATTGTCCTTCAATGTAAAAGTAAGTGCTATATTTGTGATACCCTACTCATCCCTGAGATGTCCCGCAGCGAAACAAAGCTGACTCCCGTGCTCTAGGCCACAACCCAAACGTCCTGTTCCGGTATTTCCGTGACGGCGGCAAGGTACGTGGCAACTTCTCGGAGTATTAATTGCTCTTGTAGCAATGTCCAACAACTCTTAAGACATTCTGCTAGCAATTTCCAACGACTGCTGGAACATTCTACTACCAGAATACTTGAAAGAGGTATACTAACTCTCATTTCTTGGGATAGGTTCCTGCTGTTCTCCACGCTTGCCGAGAGTCGCGAGCTGAGTTCTTGGACAAGAACGATGGTTCCGTTGACATCACGCTCGAGCGACGTCGCCGTGACCATCCGGTCTACAAACTCTGCTTCATCGATCACGGAGGGCGAGCCCGACGTAGCCCAGCTCACACTACCAGCCCTGTATTCTTCTCCACGGATATCGACACCCTCTGGGCTCAGAGAGACGTATTCCGCCCTCGCTACAGGTACAATCCTGTGCCCGCTTTGAGAAAGTTGGATATCGCTCCTGAGTTAAAGCATTTTGTTTGGAGCCACAATATCATGGTCGAAGACACCGTCAAGATGTTCCCGAAGCTGGAGTCCATTACCACGTTGCTGCCGGATGAGCGAACAGCCATCGCAGGTCGCTGCTCCAGGTGGAGGAAAGTCAAGATCGTCCCGGGTCCGGAAGTCAATGGAGTCCTGGACGGTGCCGCTCTGTCCCCGGGTGACCTTCAGTTTGTGGACGAGTATCGAGGGTTTGCACAGGCGTGGTTGAAACGGTTCAAGTTGCGCCACCCCGGCAAGACCCTGCCCATCTACAAGCACCGCTTCAAGAAGCAATACATGGAGGCCGAGGGAATCAAGTTTCCGACCCCGCCGGTTGACCCACTTGCTGAGTTCGATTCTGACTGATTGCCTTATCGGACCCGACACTGCAGGCTCAATGGGGGGTGGCCACTTGCTTGGGTTAGACACAATGAACGTGGTGCAATGGAAATTGATGAATGAAGCAAATAGGGGTCGATGAATGGACCATCACGAAAGGTGCACATTGCAACTAGACGAACAAGAATGAAAACGTCAGAAAACCAGTCTACTTTTAGTCTAACGTAACGCCGTTGAATGTCCCAGTTCTTACTAACAGATGCACAGCTATTCCCTTCACGTCAATTCTTATTACTCTAGTGGAATAATGTTCGTTCTCAATTGTGCTTTGTTTCCCTATAACATTGATAGAGCTTTGCACTTGGCTTCTAGCTTCCGGAATAACGTCAATAAGCCCTTTAATGGGATTGTCCCAGCTTCGACCAGTGCAACAGAAATCATATCCTCTACCCTTGGAATGTTCTTTCGTTCCCGGGAGCATCAGTAGAGCCTTTCACTTGAATGTTCTCCCACCACCTCCACTTTTAGCAGGAAAATATTGGGAGTGATCTCTGCTGCATTGTGCCTCTCTCTTCTTGCGCAATAGAATCCTTTGTTTTTGTACTGCCCTTTCCTTTTCCTGGAACATTGATGAGTTGTCTGCTTAATTGTTCTAATCATAAAATTACCGCATCTGCAGAATTCTCAGGCATCGGCTCATTCAATGAAAGATATTCGCTTTCATTGTTCTTTCCTTTCACCGAAGATTGGCAGAGATATATGATTGACTATTCTCTATCTTGTAGGAATATTGAAAGATTGTCCTCTTGGAATCTGCCAAGGAGATATCAACGAACTGCACAGGGACCATTGGGTAAACTCGCTACTTTATTCTTTTCCATTCGACGGGAGCATTGACAGCACTTTCTGCTGGATTATCCAGCTTTCGCGGGTACATCGGCATCGCCTTTAGCCTTTAATTCTTTGATGATATACGGAAAACTGGAATCGGAGGGAGCAAACATCGCTTGTTTTGATCTCTCAAAGCAGGAACTCGCTCCTCGGTTGTTTTCCAATGTGGGGGGAACAATGGCAGGGCTTTCTCTTTCTGCTGAAATGTCCTTTTCCCCAGCACTACATAGATTCATCGGATTCAATTTCGGAAACAAGAAACAGGACAGTATTTTGATGTATCTCTGCTTCGTACTTGATTTTCTCTCCTCTTAAAAGCATAACCTGAGCATTGGCAGAGCTTTGTGCCTAATTGTGGCAGCATTCCTTGTACATTGGATGGAACATCAGGCTTGAATTAATACTCGACATCTGGAACATTGCAGTAATAGAGTCCAATTTGACTTGCTGTCCCTTTGGCGGGAACAGCGGGAGAGCTTTAGCTTGATCGTTTCTTCTCTGCTCAGTATATTCAGTTCAAGACAGACATGAAATAAACTAATCAAAGAGATGCAGAGCATTTGACTGGAACTGACGCGGCTTTATTGATTTAGGAGGGAAGCAACAGAGTGGGTTGAATATTGGCAGGGCTGTCAGCTGGGTGGTGTCAGCTTTATTGGTATGTCAGCTGCAACATCAAGCATAAATCAACCCAACTGCAGACATAATATTGAACGGATAGAGCAACACTTTTGCTATCCGGATTGCATAAAGCCAGACAAGAACAACAAACAAACCCTTAAAAAAGAACCATCTATTCATCTCGTCTATCTAACTTTCTAAATTCCCACACCAAGGCCTCCCCCTCCTAACATTCCACTCACACAACCGCCCCTCAATAACCATGCCTATCAAGCTCGCAACACAAATGCCCCCACTATCACTCACACTCGTCGCCCCAAGACTAAACTCCCGATCCTCCTCCCGCACCTCCTTCATAATCTTTGCAAACGTATTGACATACACCAAGCCCCCGAGGAGTCCTTCCCAGAAAATGACCAGGAAGATGAGGTAGACGGAGGGGAGGAAGAAGAATAGGGAGTGCAGGGTGAGGAGGGCGAGGTTGGCGATTTGGAGGAGGGAGGGCAGGTAGAGTTGGGGGATAATGAGGAAGGAGATGGAGGAGCGCGAAATGAAGACGCCGAGTTGGTAGAGGAAGGCGTACATGGGGTAGAATTGGCGGTACGCGGTGAAGGGGGTGGATTTTAGGGGGAAGAGGAGGGTGGGCGAGATGCCTTGGTTTATGGTGTATTCGGCGATGTAGACGAGGACTGTGTGGAGTTTAGCTTTTGGATTAGAGGGATTTTACATATAAACGGTGAGGATGGGCGAGAGGATGGAGGGAGAACGATAGAATCGGGATGGAAACTGGATTTAAGGGATAGGCTTACGAAGGGGTAGCATGTAAGGGAAGAACAATCGCCTTGCACGGCGAAGATTGGTTGCAAATGTGGGCTTGATGGGCTCTCGTAGGGTTGGAGAAGATGGCCGGGGAGAATGAGACGTATAAGCCTCTGCAGCTTGTGAAGGGGGACCTGGTGCCAACAATGCCTCGGCTGCAACATCATCGGGAGGCTCACGGACATCTTCATCCTCAATGGATATCTGCGGGAGATCCGAATAGCCCTTCTTATTATGTGCTTGTCGTAGAGGTTCTTGTGGGAGAATGAGGAAGAATGCTAGGGGCATTATGAAGGGGAGATAGGCGCTGGTGAGTAAGCTATTTTTGATGGAGAGCTTCAAGGTGTCCGTCAAGAAGACGTAGAGTCCTGCTCCGATGAGGCCTGCCCCGCCAGTTCCGCTACCCCATGCAGCGAGAGAGAAATGTCCGTAGTAATGTGTCAAGCCCAGCATTGACAATTCTCCCATTCCACTTGATAGTGATGCAATCCCCACACCGAACAGCTTCAGCCCTATGGATCCGCCGTCTGTTGTCACAGAAGGTGTAAGTGCGATAAGAAACATGCCCCCAGTGGACAGAGCGCACATTATGATTATCCGTACGGAATATGGTATTGCATGGATGAAGTAGGGGGCGACGAGTTTCGTGAGGAAGGAGGGCAGCACATCTGCAAGCAGGACAAGACCTTTGGGAACCGAAGGACCGACGAGGTCGACAGCCGCAGAGAGGATGATAACGTAGCAGACATTGTTGATAACACCTGCAGGAGTTGGTGATAGCTCGGGGAGGAGAGGGGGAAGCACGTACCGAACAGCCAGAATGCGATCAAGACTGATGCATCAGCACCTTGGAAGATGGCTCTGAATCTGGCCTTGTAGATTGCCCATGATGAGCCTGGAGCTCCGGGGAGAGGCAATAGACCCGAAGAGGACGGAGATCTATTCATCGTGGTGCCATATGTCATGTGCGACGGTGTCGAGAAGCCGATGGAGGTGGGAAAGTGGGATTTTCCCCGATTGCGTGGCTCGGGTGCAGTCACGCGAACATGCCGACAGCAGGATAACGAGCCTCGGCGGTGAAGTGTGCCAGCCAGGGAAGAGTGAATCGTGCCTCTTGCCCTGAATATCCTCCTTCGCACGAAAGTTCCCTTGACCCATATATTCGACCTCGCCGTCGCTACCTTGCCGTCGCCCTTATCTGCCTCTGGCTGCTGCTGCTGCTGCTGCTGCTGCTGCTCATTTCTCCCGGCTCGGCACTGCTGTGACGTTGAGCGACCCCAGTGTTTAAGCTCATTCCGCTGAGTGGCTTGCTCCTTGCAGGTTGTGTCACTAAATGGACGGCGATCCCTGCACTTGCATCCAGTAGCGGGCTTGGGGCAAATTTAGGTCATTAAGGCGATGTGCTAAGACAGGGAGAGCGAGAGATCCTGGAGCGCGTGCAGAAGAGCAGAGAGCAAACGCAGAAGTTTGATCTCGACACTCCATCTCTACCTCCTCCACCACACCACCGCTTGCCCAGCGACACCCACACGCCTCGCAGACCCGAAGACCATCGAGGCGATCGAGATCTCGACATCAAGGCCATGGCCAGCTAGAGCAGGGCCCGGATAAATCCTGTTGGCGTGCGGTGTTGGTCCTGATCCATCGTGGCTTTTGCGAGACACCAGGGCGCTTCCCATCCAAGGCTCCGACCACATTGATCGCGAGGACGAAAAGAGGGAGGGTATATTGTTATGAGACGAGGAGATAGCTAGGAACTGAGGTCACAGCCATCACGCAGCTCGAAGAGGAGCTTTCTCCTCTAAACAATACAAGAGCGTCTCGACACACCACTGCAGAATCAAATACATCATGGATCCAAGACAACCGCAACATCCCTTTTCCTCACGGAATACTACATCTCCTTATGGACGCACTCCCTTTCCGCCTTCATCGAATCAACCACAATACCCTTCATCATCGCATCCTCCTCCAGCGGCTCCTGCATATACCGATCACCAACGAAGACCTTCGGATCCTCCATATTATAATCCGCCGAGAAGTTATGGGCAAGAAGGGCCTCCGATGTCTGGACAAAGTCATTCGAGACATCAGAGCTCATCCTCTGTTGGTCATGGAACCCCTGTGAATAGAAACATGCCTCCTCCATCTTCTCCCCAACAGCAAGCTCCCCAGGCCACACATCACTATGGGCCTCCACGACCTCCTCCAGCGTCCGTGGGACCGCCTAGTACTTATTCATCTGGTCGTGAATTGCCATCCTTGCCTTCTTTAGGACGACCTCCAAGTGGTAACATGTCAATTTCTTCCATACTTGGAGGGCCTTCCCCTGGTTCGCGGGAACCACCTATCTCACAAGCACATTACGCTTCCCCAGTTGCAACATCGGCTCCTCCAAGTTCAATGTTTGGTACCACCCATGCATCGCCGCGGATGACAACCGCTGGTCCTGAATACGCTCCCTTTCGTCGGCCCCAAACTCCTGAACACCAACGGCAATACGAGACACGCGATCATCGAGCAAACTCTGCAGGCTCTCCAGCTGGCCTTGGGCATTATGGGACCCCTGAAGCACGACGTTTTGGAACTCCTCAGCAGTCTTATGCGCAACGCGTCGCTGCCCCTGAAGAACGCCGTGAGCCAATTCGAGTACCCAATCCAAACGTCCCCAGTACTTCAATTCCACCACGGCCGAACAGTCAACCTAGCGGTTTTAACCCTCCTCCACCGCCTCGAATATCTGATCCTCGTCCGCCAATACACAATGAGAGTTTGTTTGGGAGAAGGGTGGATACCGCCTCACGACCGGACCCCCCGAGAGAGACGGCATATGGCAGACCTGCATATGAGGAGAGGCATAATTCATACGGCTATGATAGAGACAGACAGGAAAGAGAGCGGGAACGGGAGAGAGAGATCTTGATGCAAAGGGGGAGAGAACTGCGGGAACGAGAACGAGAAAGGTTGGAAAGGGAGAGAGACAGGGAACGGGAACGACTTGAGCTTGAGCAACGAGATCGAGAACGAGAGTACGCCCTCCAAATGGCACAAAGAAACCCACAACCTGGCTACAATCGACCGCCCGAAGCCCGAGAGCAGCCGTGGATGAGACAAAGCTATGAGCCTGCACCTCCACCTCGACCAGCTTATGAACAGCCACCTCCTGAACGGGTACCCCCGCAAGCCTCAAATGGCTACTACCCAGCTACGACAGCACCTCAGTATGGAGGACATTCTGCATACGCTTCCAACGAAGCCAGATACGGCCCAGCGCCCCAACCCAGTTCAGTGCCTATAAAGCATGAATCCACCCCAGCTACACAATATGAAGCGGCCATGCAAGAGCGACCAAGGTATGCTCAACAAGAACAAAGGCCAATGTATGGTGGACCTCCCCAAAGTGGACCCTACCAATCCCACGAATCTCCAAGGAAAGGTGAGGAGCCTCCGCAGATGCAGCAACAACGGTATCTTGGTGTCCAAGGAATCAACCGGACGGGCAATCGCTCGCCTCTTCCTCAAGCTGTCCAGGGCGCACAAAGTCAGTTCAATGCTCCAGGGGGGGATCCGGCCATTGCGAACGAATTTGGTAAGATATTTGGCGGTCTTGGTGGATCCGGAGCTATGGGTGCTCCAAGTCCACTGAGTGCAGGGCCCCCAGGATTACCATTTTCGAACTCGGGACAGCTGCGTAGGGAAGATTTAGAAAATCTTCAGGAATCACCTCTTGAGAATGGGCAGAGAATCTCTCGAACGGCATCAAATAATGGCAGGAGAAGAAAGCTGAAAGAGGAAGGAGGTGATGACGAGAGCAGTACTGGAAGGCAGACCCCGAGTGGAAGAGCAAAGCGCCCCAAGACTAATAGTCACCACCACCACCTTCCTCATAATCATCAGTAAGTTGTCAGTGTTTAATCCATTGTACGTCGCTAACATCGCTTCGATTGAGCCACCACCACCACCGCGCTGAACCGGTTGACACTACCTCATCACCATCACAATCAAATCTGACACCCTTTAAGAGTACTAGAGGGTCCAATATTCCCTCCCCACCAGGCCGGGATCTAGGTGCAACTCATCATCACCACATTGTCAAACACCAGCCTCACACTGCTGCAGCGAAGACTCCTCCTCCCACTAAGGTCAATAATATCATTCCTCTCCAGAAAGTCACGATTCGCAACCAAGCGGTGTTGGATTCTGTTGCAGATCTTCCTCGCAAACACTTAGGTCATGCATACTACCACTCCTCTCTGAAACCTGATCCTTTAGCCCCAAAACGCGATTTCTCCACCAGCCGCGGCTTTGCCAGCACACCTCAGCCACTCCCCCGATTCGAAGGAAATGAGAACTGTACATTTACTGTCAAAGTCATGCGCGCTTACCTCGACCATAAAAGCAGAGAAGAGATTACCATCAGGAGAGCCGTCTGGGGAACAGACATCTACACCGACGACTCTGACATCATTGCCGCTTGCATCCACCAAGGTTGGTTCAAAGGTGCATGGCCGGCAGGAGTCGATGAAAACCTTCTTGGCCTTGAAGTCACTGACGACGGAACCATTCACGTCTTCCGATCACTGGACGAAATTTGGACGAAGCCGCCTCCTTCTGGTCCTGCTGACGTTCCCAAGAATCGAGATTTGAATGTCAACATTTTGATACTGCCTTTGTTGGATAAGTATAGCAGTGTTACGAGATTCGGCATCAGAAGCAGGGAATGGGGCGGAAAATATGATGGGTATCATAGCATGCATGATGGGTTGAGCTTCATGATACAGAGTATTCAGTGGGTTGATGGCATCAATGGGGTTGAGGGAAGGAGTGTGCATGATAGGAGAGAGCTATTGGCGCAGGAGCAGCGAGAGGCCGACTTGGAAGCTGCGAAGACGCTGGAGGAGTTAGTGCTCAATGGTAATGGATCTGGGAAACCGCAATTCGAGGAGAGCTTCGAAAGGGGTGGAGACAGACCGGAGGAAAGGAGGGGTGAGATCAGAGGCGTTGGCATGGGGAGCTGGTGGAAGAAGCCGAATGCTGTTCACAAAAAGGAACCGCCTGGCTCCGAAGCAATCTCTTCTATGGAAGAGCCAAATGGCACTCTACCGTCAGCTGTACCCGCACCATCCGGGGTTGTGGAAACCGTCGAAGCGGCACAAGAACCTGAACCACAAGAACCAGAACAAACCCAGGAGCGGGATGTACGGCAAGAACAGTCCAGGCGAATCTCAAGAGTGACAGAACTCATGATCGCGAACGCGAATTCGTCCGAAGCCATGGGCCAACCTGTCACCCCGAAGCGAGCAGAAATCCAAGCGCCAACACCGTCGCCTATTTCGCCTGTACATCCGCAGTCAGAACCTCCTGCTCAGAGCGGAGAGCTTAAGCGACAAGAGGGAAATGGGGAGAGGGAGCGTGAAAGTGAGGAGGATACGGATATGGACGCTACGATGTAGTGTATGAAAATAGTCCTCAAATCAAAGAGGAGATGAGATAGGCGTATGCTTCTTGGGTATAGCCTTTGTATATATGAGTTTAGTATAGCTGCATTTCGAAGCGAGCTGAGTGGTGTCTGGCGTGGCTATCTCAACATATTACTTCATCTGAGTTGACTTCCATCGGTTCGCAAATGTGATTGCCCGTGACATGAGAGGCTCGCGAGTGCGAGGATTGTTGATTTTGTTGTGTTTAGTTTGGATTTCCGATTAGGGGGGGGCAGTTGCTGTAAGGGAGCTAGGGAAACGAGACTGTTTCTCCCCAACATTCGTTTTGAATGTCTGTCCTCAGATGTCGCAGTACAGCTGTGGGCCACCGGGTATGAGATGAGAGCGGGGTGTTTATACGTTTGCGTCGAGTGATGCTCGCGCGATATGAGTGAGAGTGAGAGTGGACAAGGCCCGAGGGGATGCAATGCTTGAGCTGAAATGAAGGATGATGGTGTCAAGAGAGCAGGTAGGATGACGATTTCGTGGCTTTTCGGTGGTGGTGGTGGTGGTGTTGCAATTATTGCGTGCATTGGTGAGTAGATGTTCCGGTTTTTGAGGGGACGTGATAGGGCATCGAGTGAGATGATAAATCGATTCGGGGACCACCTAGTGAGTCCTGGATGAAAGTCGGGGACCAGTGCAGTGTGAGAAAGCCCGCCTGGATTGTTTTGTCAGGGGATGGGAGTTTGAATTTGCTCATTTGGGGGAATTTGTTGAAATCTGACATTGAATGAGGTTTCACATGAACTGAAACTGGGATATTTAGTGAGTCCTGGACGGACGCCATACCCTTCTGCAAAGCTTCAAACTTGTCCATGTTATCTTGCAATTCTGAAGTCTGCAGAAAGCAGAAGGAAGCACTCCCCGAAGACCTGGAGGCGCGGGCTAGGGCCAAGCTGGACTCATTGGGTTGTTTCCCATCGGACCTGTCCATTTGTGAAGGACCATCTTGGGGAGGTTGGAGCACAAGACCTGGCCGCGTTTTAAGCAATCAAATCCACACCATGAGGGCTCAGGAAAAGTACCTGGTTGCGTCTGTACTTTCAGGTGAGGTAGAATTGTCGCTCGTGGCATACTGGAAGCGGGTCACAGGCCAATCACGGTTTTACGCTTGGGACACTTTATCGCTGTGAGAATGAAAATCGTTCGAGATTAACAAAAACCAGAATGACGAGTTCAACACCATACAAGAATCTTCACTAAATCGTTCCAAAGAAACCCCACTATCTCATCAACCAGCCCCAGACAATCTTCCTCCGCTAACTCAACATTCACACCGCCTGGGAAGTGTATCCTGTGGACAGCCCTCGCACTTCCAATGGCCCATCAGACCAGACACTTCCTTTTCTCGACAGCACCAAAATCATTTCCTTTTCCCGACTCCACATCCTCCCCCTGCTTCTCCTCCACAACCTGATCAACCATATCACCAGTATGCAAAAACCGAAACCACATACTCCCAAGCAGCGCAAAATTAACGCCGAAAAACAGATGTCGGAACACGAAATCTGGTACATCGACTGCGAAGGCCGTGCCCCAGAGCATGGAAAAGAAGAGGCCGGCAAGGAGGCATTTTTGGGTGTAAGGCTTGGTGCGGAGAAACGTGTACAGCAAGACGAGGATTGTTGTCACCAGCAGGGTGACCAAGAGGAGGGTGGGTGCCGGGATGGAGCGAGGAAATGGCGGTTGAGGAGATGTGAAGAGCTACAGGATATTGGGTCAGTTTGTTTGGGAGAAGGGAGGGAAGGAGGAACGTACCTTTGTTACTTTGTGAGATTCGAGGTACAGGGCCTTGAATATTGATGAGCAGTGTGTCATTGCCGCGGATTGATGCATGCCGGTTCCCAAGGAAGTCGCGGCCACGGGCGACGTGCCGAAGAGAATGCTCATGAAGAGTGCCTGCCCAACTGGTGATCTTGATCGTGGTAATCTACTCACAGGTAGATACTCAAAAAATGTTCGCTTGAAGGTATGGATGCAAACATCCACCGTCCTCAAGATTTTCGCCGAAACTCTTCCAAGAAGTGGAGAGAGAACGAGCCACGGCAGAATCCAAACTAGTTTAATCGTGGACGAGAACCATCTTTCCTCGAAGAACCCCCCCAAGAAAATGAACGCAGCTATGGGCGAGGCCCAGAACTTGGGAAGCCCTCGACCGAGGGCTTCGCCCCATCCACCATCAATGAACAATATCGGGTATTCCATCAGAAAAAGTGCTGCCGTTTCTCCAAAACAACGTACCACGAACCACAATGCCGCCCCTACTAGACAGTATCTAGCCAACAGCGATATGGGCGGCCCAGCTTCGAGTGCGGGGTGGGTTGAGAGAAAGATGCCCGTGCCGATGGCACCTCCAATAGCAATCAAACTCATATGACGGTCTTTCAAGACTATTTCTGCCCCGTTCATATTACTGTCTTCGCTTCGAAGCATGTCTTCTGTCCTCTCTCTACCATCATTCCTTCCACACAGAGTCTGTGTCCCTGCAAGTTCAGACCGGTGGTAATTGTCGTGGCTCTGAACTCCATGATTAGAAATTGGTATCTGAATCTGAGGCAGGCTTAACCTACATGCCGGATTTGAGTAAATTTGTCAAACACTTTGCCCCGGACATCGGAGGTAGGAGATGCTGGCATAGCAGTACCAGCAGACTGAGTCTTGTCATCGGACTGGGGCGGATCTGGATGTTTCTTATGCCAGTGATAATGCTTATTGGGAGTTGCTTGCTCAAAAAAGCAGAGCGCTGCTACAACACCAATTATTGGTGCTAGTCTCATTATCAAGGAGACGATTCGAGTTTCCTGGTGAAGGTTGGTGTTGCCCAACCGAAAGTAGGTGGAAGCAATTGAATGATGTTATCACGAAAAAGTTTGAGGAACAAGAATCAGCAAGGCTGTCTTTCCACCATGTGTGTATGCAGCGGGGGCACCAGATGCACGACTACGAGGCTAGATCTTCCCTCAAGAGGAGGCAGCGCAAAGCCACCGCACAGAAATCGGGCGTATAAAACTCAGCTCAGCGAGGAACAGGAACAACCCGTGTATGTGCTGGCACCTTTCATCGTCTCTCGATTCGTCAGTTCATACACCGCTACTTAGCATGTATCCCTTTTTAAATGCCAGTGTTCTGAATCTCTTGAGCTGTGGGCGGTTAGCGTGCTTCCAGGAACATAGCTTCATTCCAATCCTCGAGAAAACTGCTCCTGATCTATTCATTATCTCAAGCAACTTCGATTCAGAAATATATCGTATCAATTACCCAAGAACTGTATTACAACTTCTCATACTTCTCGTTTACCGTGGTGTCAGAAGGGAGGAAGGCTCAATTGCCAAGATGGCATCGAGTTCGGGGCAAGGCAGCGAGCCTCCTCCCGAATCCAACGCCATTCAAGTTGGGGAGAGATGGGGAGATCGGCTCAGTGACGGAGCAGGAAACGGAGGAGTCGGTTTTCCTCTACAGACACGTGCGTAACAAATTTCCTATTCTTCAGGGTGCCCAATACATGAAGTCCAGCTTGTCTCGCATCCCATTGCTCCGATTTTCAGAACCAAGAAGCTGCGAGGGCCCCAAACTAACGATGTCAAGATTCAACAGTTGTAACACCCTGTCAGGCTGCAGTGGAACAGCATGACTTTGGACGCAGTGGAAGGGAGCAAAATGGAGAAGGATTTGACGAAGAAGAACTGGACAACACACCTAGACAATCCTCAATTTCGTGGCGCCGGATTCGACCCTTCTTTTTCGAGAAATTATTTCCAGGGTTGGCCACGGTGGTATGCATCCTCAACATAACGGCAGCTCTAGGATACGTCTTGCTCATGAACGACCCCACTTCTCCGAAATCATCCTTCGTCGCGGGGTATGTACCATCTCCTTTCCATAACCACGATTGCAAGACTAATGTTTTCCTAGAACACTGTTTACTTGGTTCTCAACATCGGGAATGATGATTTGCTACGGGATTCTCAATACCGGCAGCATGAGAGAGTGAGTTGCATTCTCAGATGGCTAGACCAAAGAATAGGTTACTGACGATCCTTCTAGTTATACACGCCACTTGTTAATACTAGCCATCTTCACCTGCTTCGTCGTTTCTATCGTTTTTCATTTTGCTGGCGCTTCGAATTTTGCTTCTAGTTTCTTGGTGGGGATCACAATGGCTGTACTTTTGATACAGGTATGGTGATGACGTTTCGTTCTACTGTTTTGATTTGCTGTTGGGTATGCCTCGTAAGGCGTACCTGATGGGAATTGGAGCTTGGTAACTGCTTCGTAAAGCATGCCTAACGTGAATTGGAGTTGGTAACTGCTTCGTAAAGCATACCTAACAATATTATTCAAGCGACTAGACTTCGTGCCTGCTCAGATCTTGATCGTAATCAACTAGAGCTGCCGCAAAATGTCCCTGACTTGATTTCTGACCCAAAAAAATCGCTCGTGGATGGATAAACCATCTCACACAGGACAAGGAAAGTGCCATTAATGAGTTTGACCAGTCTGCCCATCTACTCTCTCAAGATGCTCATTGCGTAGCACGAGTTCAAAATTATTTTTTGTGATTTGAAATCGGACACGAGGAAACCTCTCTATCCACCCCTCAGCTCCTTTACCTTTTCTGTACAATCACGTACCCAAGGCTATTTCTTGATATCGCCGTGTTTGGCGGCAATTCCAAAGTATCCACTGCCAAGGGAATATCCACAGCGAGGAGGAATCACCAGATACCAGAATTTTGAAACCGTTGGCAATTTAGACATCTCCCAAATCACATAGGGTTATTCAGCAAAAGTTGGGCTTCTCATCACTCCCAACTCCAGATTCGGTTCACTGCATCGGCAAAACAGAAGCAACACAACAAAGTTTATGCAAGTATTCATGACATTCCCATAATCTTACAATCATTCCCCTCACCTCCAAATCAAAAGTCCGTCACTCGCCCATTATAACTCCAATCCCCCCTCTCCCCCGTACTCCCCCACCGCAGCGGCTCATTCTTCGGCCCTCCAATCTCGCCCGTCTTCGGATTCCTGTCGCCTTCAAACTCAGGTTTCGCTCCTCTTCTAATATCAGGATGTAATTCCTCTCCTTTCCCAGTAGCTGCTACTCTCGCATTGACTGCTTCTACTTCGATATCCGCCTTCTCTATGTTCGATGATGATGCTGGGGGTTGATTGATTTGAGGCCGAGGTCGAGATGATGAGGACGGTGTAGATTCTAAAGCAGGATTGGGTGTGACGATTGGCTTTGGTGTGCTAAATGCACCGGTTGAAGCTCGTTGCAGACGCTCGAATTCTTCTTGTTCCTTCGGAGGGAGACGAGGTGGTGCGGGGCCTGTTGAGAATGCTGTTCTTCTCGCAGAATAAGTAAAGAATCTGCGAGATGGAAGGAGGAACTTTGGCGGTAGAAGTCGCGCCATCATTCTTAAGGCGCTTAATGAGGCTTTTGTGAAACTCTGGGGGTAATGAGAGATTGTGAGGCTGTTAAGATGGTAGTGATGGTCGAAGTGGCGAGCAGCGACGTCGGGCGAAATGCAGCAAGGATGCTGGTTCTGCCGGGCGGCATTGCCCGATTTGGCTGGAGGGGCGACGGATAAACATCAAAAATATCACTGACTCACTCAACTACCTACACAACGTCCCACTCTCCCTTCTTCTTTCAATTAACACAAATCCCACCCCGAAACAACTTTCAATCATGGAGGGACTAAAGAAAGCCTTTGCGCAATGCAAAAAGGAGGGAAGAGTAAGTCTTTGAGAACTCAATGGCAAATGACAATACCAGAACGAAGCTGACGGTTTGCAGCCAGCTCTTGTAACTTACTTTACGGCTGGATATCCGACGCCTGAGGAGACTGTGGGCATTCTGCTGGGCATGGAAGCTGGTGGCTCAGGCATGAAAGCCAATTGATATCTGCTGAGGCATATCTGACTATTTGTAGATGTCATTGAGCTCGGTCTCCCATTTACGGACCCAATTGCAGACGGCCCTACGATTCAGAAGTCAAATACTGTTTGTGCCATATTTATCAATTGGCCATATGCTTAGTTGCTTACAATTTACACAGCAAGCCCTCAAAAACGGCGTCACGGTCTCATCCACGCTCGAAATGGTACGAGAGGCACGAAAGAAAGGATTGAAAGTTCCAGTCCTGTTCATGGGGTACTACAACCCGATTCTCAGCTATGGAGAAGAGAGGCTTTTGAAGGACTGCAAAGAGGCAGGTGTCAATGGCTTCATTGTCGTTGATCTACCTCCTGAGGAAGCAGTGACATTCCGGAATTTCTGTACCAAGGGAGGGTGAGTCATGCCAAAATATTTGGTCCAATGGTCAATTGCTAATTGAGGATTGCATAGCCTCTCATACGTTCCCCTAATTGCCCCTGCTACTTCCGAATCTCGAAGGAAGCTTCTCTGCAAGCTTGCCGACTCCTTCATATACGTCGTCTCGAGAATGGGTGTCACTGGTGCTACTGGAACACTGAATTCCGGACTCCCTGACCTTCTGAAGCGAGTCAAAGAATACTCAGGTGATAAACCAGTTGCTCTTGGCTTTGGAGTTAGCACAAGAGAGCATTTCTTAAGTGTTTCCAAAATTGCTGATGGTGTGGTTATTGGAAGTCAAATTATCACCACTTTGGCCGAGGCAGCTCCTGGTCAAGGAGCCAAAGCTGTTGAGGACTACTGTGCAAAGGTCGGTGGCCGAAGAGGTGCTCCCAATGGCGGCCTCACAGGAGAGGTTGGCATTGTTGAGAGTATGCATGAGGCTGCTCAGCCAGATGGAAAGAATGTTCATGTGGACAGGATCATTCGTGATCACGGATCAGAACCTGGCCTAGTCGACCAGATTGAAGCTCTCAACACAGACGGCCCAGTTGACCCAACTACTGTCCCGGCCCGTTTTGGAGAATTCGGTGGTCAATATGTTCCTGAGTCACTAATGGACTGTTTATCGGAGCTCGAGGAGGGCTTTAACAAGATCAAGGATGATCCTGCATTCTGGGAGGAGTATAGAACATATTACCCCTGGATGGGACGACCCGGCCAACTGCATCTTGCTGAGCGGTTGACCGAGCATGCTGGGGGAGCTAACATCTGGTTGAAGAGAGAAGATCTGAACCATACTGGAAGTCACAAGATCAACAACGCTCTGGGCCAAATTCTGCTTGCAAGAAGATTGGGGAAGACTGAGATAATTGCTGAGACAGGAGCTGGACAACATGGCGTAGCAACCGCAACTGTCTGCGCCAAGTTCGGCATGAAGTGCACAATCTACATGGGAGCTGTGAGTCATGAATTCCGCTTTCCATCTCTCGATACTAACAACCTTCTAGGAGGATGTAAGACGTCAAGCCCTCAACGTCTTCCGCATCAAACTCCTCGGCGCCCAAGTCATCGCCGTAGATGCTGGTTCCCGCACCCTCCGTGACGCTGTCAACGAAGCCTTGCGTGCCTGGGTTGTCAAGCTCGACACAACACACTACATCATCGGCTCAGCCATCGGCCCTCACCCCTTCCCAACAATCGTCCGAACTTTCCAATCTGTCATCGGTGACGAGACCCGTGCCCAGATGCTCGAGAAGCGCGGAAAACTCCCCGATGCGGTTGTAGCTTGCGTAGGAGGCGGTAGTAACGCAGTCGGCATGTTCTATCCCTTCTCCAAAGACCCCTCCGTCAAGCTCCTCGGCGTTGAAGCCGGCGGTGATGGCATTGATACTCAACGCCACAGTGCTACCCTTTCTGGCGGCACCAAAGGTGTGTTGCATGGTGTCCGCACCTACGTCCTCCAAGACAAGCACGGCCAAATCCAAGACACACACTCCGTATCCGCTGGGCTCGACTACCCTGGCGTCGGTCCCGAACTCTCCTCCTGGAAAGACAATGAGCGCGCAAAGTTCATTGCTGCTACCGATGCTGAAGCATTCATCGGCTTCAGACTTATCAGTCAGCTTGAAGGCATTATCCCTGCATTGGAGACTGCGCATGCGGTGTATGGTGCCTTGGAGCTAGCGAAGACGATGGAGAAGGGGCAGGATGTTGTGATTTGTTTGAGTGGACGTGGGGATAAGGATGTCCAGAGTGTGGCTGACGAGTTGCCCATTCTAGGACCGAAGATCGGTTGGGATTTGAGGTTTTAGCTCCTCCGACTGCTTTCTTGAGGTTGGTAGGGGGAGTCTTGACGCTTGGTGATGTTTATGTCACTTGAATTAGGGATAACTGGTAGAGAAATCAAAAGTTTCACGATGCCATGGACCTTAACCTTTTCTCTGAGTATCTCAGTCTACCTTGGCTTTTTTGCATATGATTTAGAGCAGGGATGGAGGAAGGGAAGCTTTTCACGTTTCTTCTTGTCTGCTGAGATACATTTAGCCCTTTTGACCGCGATGATCCATCCATCCGCTATCCCATATTCGCTTCATTCATTCAACCGCCATTCTTCCATATCCCTTCGTTTCATTCCTCCTCTCTTTGACCGCCTCAAAACTCATCAGCAACATCTCCTGAGTTTGAACCAGCTGTAGAGCAAGTGCCTGGAACGGGTGTAGGGGCACCAGGACAGGAACAGTGAAGGAATCGAGTGTTTGAGCTGGATGGCGGATTGAATGGTCCGTAGATTGAAGAGCGTGTACCGGATTTCGTCTGAAAGGCTTGCACTGGACGAGGTAGAGAAGGTTGATTGGTGGTAGCGGTGCGAGTGGCAAGGTTACCGGTACGAGTTTCCTCAGAATTGGACATGTTTGGCGTCATTCCAGAGGGCTCCAAGCCGTCACTCTGGCCTTGAGATTGTGTCTCAACCAAGGTATTGTCGCTTGTGCTTGTACTGCCCCGATTGTCCGATCCAGAGGTGCGGCCAAGTTCAGTGTCTTGACGGCTGACATTTTGATGACACGTGGAGTCACTGTTGCCATCGTCCATGTTGGAGTTTTTTGTCAAGCAAGATCCCATTGCGGTACCTGGAGAAGAATTCTTAGTTGATATTCAAAGGTGCAAAACGAGGTGTGCTTACACTTGAATTGACGTGATGTGGAGCAGCAATCTTTCTTTTGAGGGTTGCTGTGTTAAGAAGATCGAATTTGGAGGATTTATTTGTGCGGAGAAGATATTGGCACTGCCTGGTATCGAGACTCTGCCGATATCGCATTATCGCCGCTTTTACCCTTTATTTACCTTTCTGGATCCAAAGAAAGGGGGGAGGGGTGCCTTAATTTATCAGGCATAAACAAATTTTCTTTGATGTGCTTTCACCTTCCAGAGAAGTTTTTCCAACTCCTTCTGTATAATGTCACACTCGTAGGGTCCCAAAGGCAGATTTCATGATTTTGCATTTCGTTTTGGTGCCAGCCAATCCGTGAAGAGTCATAAAGCTCTCATATGAAGTTCTGATCAACAGAACCTCGCCTGATATTTGCCCTCCATCGTGAGAGTAACCTGTGGATGCTTCCACTTCTCCCGTCATTCTATTTCCACGCATCATATGAGTTTGTAAGCACCAGAGCTTCCATACCTTGTTCTGTTCAACATAAAACTGGTCTGAAACCCTGCCCCAGTCATAAAAGTGGCCTTTGGATGCTTCCACCACTCCCACAAGTTACATATTATGCTCCAAAACCAAGATTTCTCCAAAAATACCAATACTTTCATACGAAATTTCCCTTCAACGGCGCTGGGCCTCGAATTCTTCCTTCGTCATGAGTGCAAGTTTTGGATCCTCCCACCACTTCGACCATGTGCAACCTCGCGGACCTTGCGCAACTTCATCCTCAACTTCCATCGGATAGATCAGCAACTTCCCTTGGAGACACTCCACAAAAATGTCAATGTTCTCCTCAGAAATGCGTGTAGTTCCCGCAGCGAGCCTCATTTGTTGAGCAGCAGCAGTATCCACAACCTCAAAACCAACAAGAATGAACTCTTCCAGTTCTGCGAAGGGCGCCGTCAACATTGCCATTGTTCCGAGGATGTGAATGTCTCTGTTGATCCACACCAGATCTGCATTTTGCCAACGAGCAAGGTCGTAAGTATCCAAAGCCCCAGCCTTCACATTGTCGACAACGAGCGAGCGCACAACAACGTGTCATTCGAGACTATTTCCACGTCTGATTTGCCAAAATCGGGCGAATTGGTCAAGATGCCTGTGTTCAGAGAAGTAGAAGGTGTCCGCTGCAGGGTTGATGTAGAGATCGAAATGGCGGAACCATGTCTCGTGATTCTCTTCATCACCGCAGGAGCAGCCAGTTACGAAACTATAGGGCTTTCCTCCGTATATTTCCAAAGCGGCCTCTCGAGAGGTGCTACAGACGCTGAGGATAGGATGAGGTGAAAGGCCGGTCTTTGGACGAACATTGGGACCTTGTTGGTAGATGTCTCCGACGTCGAGGGTGATGATTTTTGGCTGCACCGTGAGCTTCCAAATCTTTCTCTGCAGCTCTGGCGGAAGTTTCGGGAAACAGATGAACGTGCTCAGAGATCTTGATTCGAGGGTCGAGGATGGCATGGCTGCTGCATTGAGACCAGGGGCTGGAGATGTAGTTTGACCCATCTCGAAGCCAAGGAAGCTCATTGGGTCTTCCATGAAGTTTGGAGATGAAAAGAGGCTGAGAACTTGGCCCATCTTGAAGTATGATGAGTTGCCGGTATTTGTTTGTTTGGTGTGGTTGTTTGGTGAAAACAAGTCAAGAAGATGAGGACCCTTGTCGTTGATTCAAAATGGTTGTTCTAGGTGGCCTGATTTATGGTTCGATGTGCAATAGAATAAGTGCGGGGTAAGTAAGTCAATTTGTCTCAACTATCTCGATTCTATTTATCGAACAGTGCGAGGCGATACCGTCGCTCCTCATCCCGAACCAGATAGGAACGATGACGTCCTCTTTTCCTATATCTCCCACGTCCCAGTGCAATTAACAAGAATGCTAGAGAATGTAAAACATTAGGAGGAGTAGTGTAATAAAATTCTCTCTGCAGTCACAAAGCAAATTCGCTTGCCCACAAGCTGAGTCGTTCCCGTCGCCGCCCCCCCTCTTTTCTCACACCTCCCCAGTTCTTTAACCAACTCTCATTCGTATACTATCCCTCAATTTCCTTCTCCTTTCACTTTCACTTCTCGTATGGTCTACTTCAATAACGTAACGCCTACGGTTAGAGAGGGATGACAAAGGCGTGACAGGGAGCTATAGTAACTAGCCAAATGTTATCAACAGCACAATATCACGAGGGACACCAGGGGAGATGTTTCAAATCACCAATAGAGTGATCCAAAAGTAGATTCAACAATTTAGTGCTTTTACTGAGAAGATACTCTGAGTATTGCGGTGTTATTCTGTGCAGAATATGGAGTGAACTCTTTCTATTACTGGTGATTGGGGAGAGCTAGCCAACCACTGTCCGCATTTGATGACTCTCAGAAAGTACATTTTTTTTCTAATCAAACCAGTGATTCACAAAAACCAAGTCTGAGTTAACCAGCCTTTGCATTTGAGTTGGAGGGTTTAAAATGAGCACCGCGGCTTTCCGAGCCAGTCCTCGCGCTCCCTCGGAAGCATCAAGAAACCTACCAGCTTTACGACAAAGTCATCATGGACTCGGCCTCTACCACAGAAAGTAACAATCAACTCAAGTCAAGAAGTCAACACGAACCTGCAGATGTTGAAGAATTGCACAGCTTCCCCAAGCTACCAGTAGAGCTCCAACGTGAGATCTGGAGACTCGCGGTTCCTCCACGAGTTATCCGTCTCCAGTTGAAGAATTACGGAGAAAGCAACTTGGTCGGATACAGAAGAAGGGGACGTATTTGGCAATGTCATATCGGGGTTGCGAACGCAGTTCTCTTTCGACTTTGACTTTGAGACAGACACCATTTCATTCACGGATTGGAAGCATTTCGAGCACTTCACAAGGCATTACGAGCTTTTCAGCAGTGGCGAACTCAGGCCCACGCGATCCTCAGCCGTCAAATCTATCACGCTTGAACACATCGGGATCCAGGAACTTGACATTAAAGACATCACCTATTACGCCGGAAAACCTTCCGATAGACGATGGCATACAAAGATCTGGGAGATCCTGGACTGGAGCTGGGGCGCTTACATCCCTTCCCTCTTCTACGAGTTCCCGGATCTCGAAGAACTGATCCTCATCGATTTCAAGGTTAAACCTGCAGGAAAATGGGCGGTGTATGATAGACCTCACTTGGATGACATGCCTAGGATCAGCAGAGAATGGGTGCCAGCGACTAAGGAGGATAGTGTCAGGATGTTTGTTGAGACGTTTGAGCACGCTTTGAAGTGGCAGGCTCCTGAGTCCGTACTGGGGAGATCAACACCTCCTGCTGTACAAGCTATGTCAAAATGGTGGCAGGATCCGAGAGTCACGCGTATGGCAAGGGGAGAGTTCCAGCGTCGCTTTTACTGAACATAAATGAACGTATTGAAGGCTCTTGAGATCTCTCAGCAAAGAACGGCAGTGGTACTGAATAGAGGACAAACTGGTCGGACACTATCAGCTAGTAGATAGAAATCTAAGACCATGGAATTCAAGCATCTCAAAACTCAATTCTTTCTTTTTTTCAAGCAAATCGAATGTGAGACTCGGGAAACTCGTCGAATATGGGGTTAGTCATACTTGCGCGGTCGAATAGTTCGTTGATGGCGACGGAGCAAAGGGGTGTAGTGCTTCTATCGGGAAGCTAAGGCCGGGGGCGGAGTGTAGGGCTAGGCACTATCTCGAATTCATTAGCCATGTGAATCAACGACTCTTAGTTTGCAAAGAGAAAGCTATCTTGTGTGGGGCACAGTGGGGTCGAAGTATATCCGGCAAAAGAAGGTCGAGGGGTGGTGCACTGGTGTTCCTGTTCTGGGATATGATACGATGGCCGGTCCTGTACGTTCTCAAAGCAACGGCGCGAGAATCTCTGCAGGCGGAGAGCATGGGGATGGCGGGTGATGTAATCTTGAATGAGGGAGGCTCTGCCGAGCTTCGATGTGGAGTGTAAATAAACCGGAACAACTGTAGGCTCCTATACACGTAGTTGAAGGTCCGCTAGTAGTTGAGAGAACAGGAGGAAATGAGGTAATTTATTGTCCATTTGAGCTTGGTATCCTCGGCTTCAGATTGAAATAAGTGGAAACTAGGCGTTGGTGTCGATAGAGAGAGGGTGATAGAAGCCGTTTCAGGAAAAGACTCCGCGAGGATATTTGTACGCTGTCCACAGTGTGAATTGAATCATCCGGCACACAGAACGAGGATCTAAAAGGTTGTCCAGAAAGTGGACATGGGTGCGCTGAACAGTCACGCTCAACACTTGCGGGATAGAGAAGAGACTTTCTGTTGCACTGGCTTATACATACAGTTATGCTGCGCTTCTGACCGCAGGCTAAACACCAATCCCCCCAAGTTGCTGACAAACGCTCAACCGCTATGCCCCAGGCCACCCTTAATTCCTTATGCATTGCCTGTGCCCTTTTGTTGTCGGCCTGCATTCCAGAAGAACAAGCCCCGATGTCGGTGTCTTCGGGGATGAGGGCTTTCCTGCCATCCATAATTGTGCTTGAGGATTGTTAGCAGAGAAACTTCTCCAGAGAGGGATACGCTTCCAGGAAATAAGGTTTCGGCACTCTGCCCTTCTGCAGCAGTGAAATTTCAATTGACGACTGGAGGAACGACTGCAAGCTTTCAAATCCGAACCCGAAGTTCTAAAGGGAGCTTCGGCAAACCATGGAAAGTCGATGGAGTCGCCAACTCCTCTGGGTTGTCTAGCACGCCGGGAGGTCTGTTGGAAGGTGTGGTTGGTGTTTGGCAGACGGATTGTGGAAGAATTGGGTTGGGATGATCTGGAATTGTCTAAAGAGTGACATGGTAGATTAAGCAACTTGTTTTTGGCTGCGGCTAATAACAGGCTCGGGGCGCATTAACCTACGTACCGACGCCAACGATTTACTACCCTGTCCTACTTCTACCTAGACATGGAATGCCATAATGTTTAAGGAGTACAAGCCTACATTCTAGTCAGTAAAGATCTAAAACTAAGGAGATAATGCTTGTAAGCTAAGCACCTGAATATGAATAGTAACACAAAGCATATTGATGCAAGTTGTTCACAAAATGGACAAGAAATATTGGCTGTCACAAGAAAACCCTTGCAAAACGCATAAACATGTGTAGCAATTAACATGTGGGCAATCCTGGGGTCATTCTAGTCGATTGTTATTTTAGTGTTAGTAGGACTGCACAGTAGAATGTTAAACAGCTGGACGTCAAAGCTTGTTCTCCTTGAGCCCTTGCATTATATCAGGTATAGCTGAAAACAATCTGCACTTCAGGAATAGCTAAGGGCAATGTCGACTAATCCCTTGTCATAGGTCCAACAACGTGCTCAGAAATATTCTGGCCATGCTTCAATGTCAAGGGAACCGGTTCCAAAAGTCTACAGCTGTCATGAGTGTAGTGGTAGGAATGCTCCCATCTTCATCCTTGAGGAACTCTCGTCGTTTCAGAGCATATGGATCCTGGAGACCCGAGTAAGACATTCTCATTTTTGTCAAATACTCATCCGAGAGAAGAGCATTCTCGAAATCCGACCGCCGCGGCTCAGTGGTCAGTAAGAAGATTTCTCGCAGATTGCCAAAACGCGTCGCTGCATTGATCACCCCAGTGTGTATGGCCATCACGAAAAGAAGGCGACTAATAACATGCAGTGAAGCCGCTGTTTCCTCAAATGGCAAGCCGATAGCAAGGACCTTGACCATCGTCACTTCGCTGGTGATGGATCCCTTGCTTCTTTCGAAGAACATGCTCAGGACCTTTTCATTCTGCATGAGCAAGATATCCGAGGAAAAGTCGAAATAAATTGGACGGCGAAGATGAGGCTCGAAGGATAATCGGTACCGTTTGCAGGCAATGGCTCGAGATTCTTGGCAAATGCGAAGTAGCAGAGGGTTCTCTATCATGTCCACAAAGCACTGTCCCTTTGCCCTGGGCGACCCCATGATGTGTATAACTCGCGGACCAGGGAGAAGATATGTCCATATTTCACGTTGGATTTCGAGTAGGAGATCGGGAAACTCCGTAAAGGTTTCGGGCATTGAATCGAGCGGAGGAGAGTTTGGCCATTTGGTTGCAAGGTGTGCCATGTTGGATTGATCACATAAATCAAGTGAGCAAAAGCAGAGGCGTGGAGGTTGGCAGGTACACTTAGAAGACAAGACAAGACGATAGTCACAAGTATGGAAGAGTTGGCTCAAGTGTTGTGATTCCGAAGGAGAAACGTAGAGGGGGAAAGGATTGAGACGAGGTCGAAATAGAAGTTAGGCTGAAGTCTTGGCATAGAAACTAGACTCAATTCGGCTGGATTTTGCAGAACTTCAACCTCTCTGATCCAAGTCCCAGGAAACTTCTCCGCCACGAAACGCATTGCCCGAAAAAGGCAGAGAACATCAAAGATTCCGAGGACCGTCAGCTGAAGTCCTAATCCTGCAGTTGAGACAATGCTTCCTCTCTTTGATGAACGATTCCTCTTCTACCCCTGTGGCCCAACTTCTAATTCTGCCTCTGATAAACAAGGATCAAAAACACATGGCTCCCCGTATGCGTTGAAGTATCAAGAGCATCTTTGTCTTCCGGCAAGTGTCTACTGTAAGTAAATTAGCTACGGGGTATTCTTGCCTTTCTGTGACAAGCCTTACCCCAATTGTGACCAGTCTCACAGCAAACATTCAACTGCCATAATTTTTCCCTTGCCAAATCATTTCTTCGTCCAATGTAAGCATCTTAGCTACAGCTTCCGACTGGAATTCTGCAGAGGCTGTTTTGCTTCTTGTGGACGGCGCACCCTGCACAAACCGATATTCTTGGATTTTGCCGTCGTTGATTCATTATCGTCTTGTGTCAAATTGTTTTCTCTTGTGTCCTGCTTGATGCAGTCTTGTTCTTGCTCCTCCTTTATGCTTTTCTCAACAGCTGCTGAAGCAAGTTGTCCTGTGATTACAAGTCAGTATTCTCGCAGATAATAAGATAGACTCCGCCTGGTTAAACATACTGGCAGTCTTCAGCCTGAGCTGTTTCCTGATAGCAAAGCAGATGTAGCACTTTTCTTGGCGCCAAGGGTGACCGTCGACAGCAGTCGGAATCGTTGCCACGGCTCCTTTCCCCCTTTCTTGTCTCGACGGTGCTAAAGTGACGCATTTATGGGGTCGAGAAACTGAGGGATCTTGTAGTGCAGTGCGTCCAATCATTTTTTCGTATGTTGAGAATAGTTCTTGATGGAAAGAGAGGGGTTGAATGGAGTTTTCGGATTTTTAATCTAGGTAGGGTTTTGTTTGAGCACGGAATGAATTACTGTGACAAAGCCGACGCTACGGAATAATTTATTCCTATCACAAGCCGATAAGACACCGCTCAATACAGACTCTCTAATTTGTCAATCCTCTCTATCCAGGTTGGCCCTAGCCAGTTTGAAGGCCATAATCCGAATGCGAATGTCAGGATCATGGAGGTTACACCATTTTCCAGCCACCAAGCTAAGATCCCACAACGTCCCTCAAATCGCACATCTCTAGGAGAAGCCTCAAGCTGAAATTATGTTCAATTAGTTTAGAACAATCAGAAGTTAGACTAGTCCCTGTGCTCCAACCAGAAGCCCTTCGAGGGTGGCGGGGACCGGGGTCGAGTTTTTTAAGACACTTTCCCAATGTCCTCAAAGCCGTAAGTTCAATCGATGAGCAACTATAACTCGCAGATAAACAAGCTGATGAAGATCTAGGCTGAAGAAAAATTTCCGCGACCGGTTACCAGACCGCAACTCTACTCTCTCAAACGCTTCTCCACTCAATCATTGCTGAACAACCTTCGAATGCCATTCCGAGTTTCCTCTGACATGTTACTTCGGCCCCTGCTCTTCCAGCACTATTACCCAAATTACAACACTCGATCTTACAAGAGAGACGAGAAACACAATATGGCGATTCCTGAAGCGATTTTTGAGGCCCGACAACTGCCTTTCCACCATCGATCAGTGCCTGCCAACCAACCACGTAATTTTCATGCAACGGTATTACGCCGCTGGAGAGATGTTCAGGAGGATTACGAAGCAGTCATCGCCAAGGCTACCGGTCGAGCTCATCGCTAGGGACAAGGGAATGAGTTTAATTTGTACCACTTCCCCACTGTAAACACAGCCAACGTGGATTACTGCCAGGCGAGAAAAAACATCATCATCACCCGCGATGCTGATAACCCTTCTCGAAGCGATGCCACAACCTTAAGAACGACACTGAATGAAGGCCCGAACTGGACACCGACTTTGCGAAGTTGATGCGTTTCGACGGCCAAAATGATTGCATCACCGAGCTGGTCAGGCTCTCATTCCCGAAGATGCCGATAATGTCACTACGGGCTTTGCTTGCGATGGCTTCTCCACGCTCAACAATTTTCCAATAGCATTGGAAGACAAAGGCGAACCAGGAGATACTTTCGATGGGATCAAAGCATATTTAGAGACATATCATCCAAAGATCGTTATCTTTGAGAATACCATGAACGCGCTCTGGATGGCTGAGAAGGTTGCGAACTAGAGGGGCAAAGAAGATGAAAAGAACATTCGTGGGCACATGGAGCAGGCCGGATTCTACAGCAAGATGGATATGAAAATCCACTACTTTCTACACACTAGAAATAACGGTTAGGCCATTGGTATCCGGCGACACTGCCTCCCAGAGGGTGCACTATGGATTGCCCTAGAAGGATAATGTCCACCTATGATCCCAGTTACGTATCATGACATGGATATGGGTATGAAGGTGATGGTGAAGACTTCGCTGCTTCTAGGTATGGCTTCGGCTGAAGGGCGATGCCAAGACCAAGCCTTCGTTGGAGTGTCTGGCCAAAATTGGCTGGGCCTCTGCCACATCAGGTCTCTGACGACCTCTCTATTTTCCTTGCGCTTGGTGCTCATGGCTTTGGCCGAGTTCACCTGGGGATCAATTGCTTGGCTTAGGGACTGGATACGAACCTGCATCTTACACCTCGGAGCTCGTTTCTTCTTTGCTGCGATGCTTGCTTGGATCGTGTTGGATTGGCTATTTGGGCACCCTTCCCCATCTTTCTCCCAACCGGCCTGCACAGTGGGTCAAAAACAAGCGAGGTTCTCCTCGCCCCGCCCCCCCTCAAACATTAACATCGACTTTCAATCCAACTCAATCCATCCACACACACACACATACTGTAGTAAGATCAACCAGGACAACACAATGGATAACGCTTCTAAGAAGTCGAAGCTCACAACTGCGGATATCGAAACCCTCGTTGCCGTTGCCCAAAATGACTTGCCGGACGAGCAAATGGAAGGTATCTTCAACAACGCACATGACGGCGAAGAAGACCCAACCAACCGAGGTCTCTTCAAAGTCATCACCACTGCGCGACTTCTCAAGATGAGGGGCGTTGATATGGACACCATTGAACGCCTCCACAGACACCGTGGTTCTATTTCCACCACCATCCATAAAGAGAAGCATGAAGCCCTGTAGCACCCCCTCGGTCTATTACGACAAGCTAGCGAAAACCTTGGATTTGTGGAAGGATTCTATAGTCTAATGCTGGACCAGCCTCAAGAAGGAGCTAGCTGGCATGAACCCCCTCGTTCGGACTAAGCGGCGGTATCCGAATCCCAGCTAATGGCCCCAAACGATATTCATAACTAGGGCAGTTGGTTCGTCGGAAACAATACCAATGGCCCTCGTTTCGAGCTTCTTCATTTTCTCCCAAGGCTTTAAGCGGGGACGGCATACAGCGGTTTTCAAAGATATAATTTCGAAGATTCCGGGTGGAAGGTCCCCAATCAATGTCTTCTGTCCCTGAAGCGAACATCCGTCATGTCCGATGACTTGTGCAGCGCTTCCACAGCGTGAACACAAAGCCGGTCCACGTCCTGGTTGAAATATACAGTGTACTGGCATTTTCTTTTCGAGAAATGAGGACGTGAGTTCGTAGACATGCCGAGATTCCTCTCGAGATAAGGCATTGAGTGGGTTTTCCACCATTCAGTTAGAGTATCTGAATGGCAGGGAGGTCGAGGGGTGTTACCTATGTTTTGTGGTATTGTTCAAGCAGGAAAAATAAAGAAATTTTATAATTGTATTAGTAGAGGAGAGTGGTGATTCAAGGGAGCTAGAATCCGTCGGTTTCTTCCCCAAGTCTGAGCCTGCCGGGTTTCTCGAGTGGATGGACGGCACCCCAAACTTCTGTACTGAACATTTGAGAAATATTGAAAGGCTCCTTAAAAGAGAGTTTTACAATAATGGGTAAGTGGTTAATCAGCCTAACTATGTAAGTAACGCACGATAAGATATGACTGAGAGGAAGAAACCTGTAGAATGCAAGCTCCTTCATAGAACGTTGGCCTCAAGCATAAAAGCGACCTCTTCCCTTCAGTAATGCTCGCCATCCAACACACCTTCACAACAGAAAGACAAACCAAAACCTCCAAACAGATACAGCTAAGATACCTCACTTAAACTGCCTACAAATAATCACAGCTACGTTATCAAGACCACAGAAACAATGTGCAGCTACCTTACAGTATGGTGTGCCCAGTGTACATCACCAACTGGAATCAGAATCTACCGATCGTGCCACGCTGTCTCGGAAGGACGGCGTTGCACTGGACTGACCCAAGCAGGCGAGACACGTGGCAGAGAACTCTGCGGAGACTGCGCGGCCCGCCGTTGAGCCAAGGTAGTTGAGGTTCGTTGGGTGGAATGACGCATATGAGGTGATGAAGTAGGCGATACAGGTGGCGGGAAGATATTGTTGCCTGACGTTTCCGTTGCTTTGTGTGGTTTAGCATGGCTCCTTTGGAGGAGGGAAACTTGATCCAACCAAATGTTTCCGGAATGTTGAGCAAGCAGACATATATGCCACAAATGGGAACCTCACTCCTCCATGTTTTTTTTGCATTATGCCCTAGCAGTAGTGAATAACGAAGAGCCGTTATGCCTCTAGCTCTTAGGTGCCACCTCCCTTATTTCAGTTAGAACACTTCAAAAAGTCAAAATAAGTACTTTATATAATTCGAAGGGGAGTCAAATAAATAGAATTAGAATATAGGAATACTGGTTTTATTAGATTCTTATAAATATGATTTTTATGGAAATGTTGATATCTTGAAGCGTTTTGATCAATATAAGCGAGAACAAATCACATATGGTTTAGCCCTGTGTGAATTAGGAGGGGTATATCATTGGCATTCCTACAAAAATGTCCCAACATGCTGCAGAACAACCTACCCCCGGGTATGACCATCGTTCCTTCCCTCAGTCGGTGATTTCTTCGAGGTCTTCTTCCCGTAAAAACACCACACTTGGTATCATCCATTCTCTCTTCTCCCTCTCAGTCATCTCATCCAAAACCAATCTTCGGTGTAGTGCCAACAACATTTTCATCTCCTCCACAGGAAAGCCGTTGATGGGACCATTCATAGTGGGCGAGACCATGTAAAGATCTTTCACCCGATGCCAAGTCTTTATTACATCCATCGCACAGGCGAGAGAGTTGTGTGGCGTGGTTGTTAGATGCATGTGAGGAATGGCGACAGCTCGGATGAGAGGGAATTCAACGATATTGGCGTGCGTAGCAGTAGCAACTTGGTAGAATGCGGCAAGTGCTCGGTGGTTGTAGAAAGGGAGGATATCGACATCTGGGTCCACGAAGACCGGAGAAAATAGCACATTTTGAAACATTGGATGGTAGTGCCGGAGCGCAACGTTGCGAGACTTCGTGTCAACCCGGAGGATAATAGGAGGTTCGGCAAGAGCTTGGATGGTATTGCGCAACAGATGTATGTTTGGCGTGGCTTGTGACATCGAGAAAGATGCCATTGCGCCAGGAAGCCTTTGGACAATAGTGATTAGTCGAAAACCAGGGAGAGCTTGCTTCCATATCTCATCCTGCAGCTCCCTTGGGAGCTTAGGGAATTTTTCGAATGTGACCAAGGGAGCTGGGACAATGGTGGTGGTGGTGGTGGTGGAGTGGGTGGCCTCGGAAGCCTCGGTAGCAGAGTTGTTCGATGCCATTGTGCTTGTAGCAGTTGCACAATGCTGGAGCACGTTGCGAGACTGTGGTGGGGGGAGTCAAGAAGTCTGTTTTCTGAACTTATAAATTGTTTACTATGCGGTGGGCCCAATCACGTGGATCGGCCCCCCCTTTTCCCAGCCAGCCACCAACCTCCATACTCTATAGCTCCATAATGTTCCCAAAATTATAATAAACACACACACACCAGTGATTTGGATGTTTTTGGAGGATCTTGTACGTTCCTTGGCCATTGAAAATCCATTCTTTCTCTGGAAATAATGTCAGCTGAGGCCTAGAAACAGGACGGACACTTCAAATAATGTCCTCGAACAACATATAGAATGGATTTGTAGGACCCTCAACCTCTATGAACTGGTATAGTATCCAAATTAAATGACATTTTAAATGTCTTGTTAGCAAAGAGAAAAGCTTTTGGCAGAATCTAGTGACAATACCGCCTGCTAAACACTGCAATAGAAAATTGTCCCTATAAGGTTTGGGGATCTGCAAACCATTCACTAGCATCCAAACTACTCAGTCTTTATATGCTGGGAGTTTAAGGAAATATATATCTGGACTTGGACTTCAAGATTCCTGGGCACTCTGGTCTTTTAGCAGAGGAAAGCTTGGGGCAAAGAGGACAAAGACTTCAGCAAATTGACTTCCACTTTTTTGCATTGCTAAATCTCGATACTAGCAATATCCTTCCAAGTTCTCGAATAACCTGATAAAGTGATGGAATGCCTTGCCTATGGAGCTTCCGAAAGGAGGTATGGGGGCGAGAAGGCTGCTCGCAGAAATTCTCCTGCAGTAATGACCTGCGAGAAATATGGTTGTTTAAACGTTGAAGTTGACTTGGAGAGGTTGAGGTCAGACGAGATGCTCGGGCTATAAGGCGCGAAGGATCTGCAGCGAAGGTTGTCAACATGGTGTGCTGCAGCACTAGTGCTGCGAACACTTGACAGCTAGGAAGCGATTAAGGTATAGCTAGTGGATATATCTGCTTAATTGCCAAATATATGCAAGTCAGAAGCTGCTGGACCCATTTTGAGCGATGCATCAAGGTGGACTTGTGATGGAAGCGGCAGGAGCATTCAAGGGGTCAGTCACATGAAGCATCTCGAAAAATCGGGAGGGAGGCAGAGTTCAGAGTATCCTCGTTATTGCTCTCCTCACACCAATGACAACAGAGTCGGGACTATGGATCTCAGAAACAGCTCTCAGTCTTACGAGTCGATCCGCCAACTCTCAACCCATTCTCCCATAAGTCCTTGTTTGACCCTTTTGCGGAAGGATCTTCGAGACATGGAACGATATTATCGTCTTATGCCTTTTGAGTTCTCACGTCTTTCATGTAGGAGACGTCGGCGCTCAGGTGATACTTCAGTACTTCCGTCTCATCGCCCTCAATCAGCTGATAATCGGTCTCTCCAACAACAGCCGAGTCACCGCAATCATGCCATCGAAGGGGAAATGGGGGCAGGTTATGAAATGTGGGAGGAGGTAGAGATTTTGGGTGTTGGGAAAGCACTGGATGATTTGGATGTGTCCTTGGAATCCTCCAGCGGATGGAGCAACCCGAGTGCATGAGATTGGTGGTTAGCCTTCGTAGCGTTCCTAAAGGGGTTCAGGGCGGGGGAGCGAATCGCAGCTCGTTGGTCGATATGATATGCTTGACTTGCTGGAGCATTTTCTTTGAAGTATCAAGCGACCCATAAGTTCAAGAGGAAGAGGTATCGGAAGTGAAGTTGAAGGCAATGCGTGGCCAATACGCGACTCGAAGATCAGCTTGTATGATCGCTTGGCTTATTTCGTGACTCGAAGCTGACAGCAAAGGTGGAATGGAGCTGCGGAGGCTTAGCTTTGTCAAAGAACCTGATAATCTTGAAGTCAGTGAGGGAGAAGATCAAAGGAAAAGTATGGAGCGTAAGCCCCTCGTGTTCTTTCTGCTGCACACAAGTCGAAGAGAGCTTAGAACAAAACCGTAGGCAGACCATTGAAAGACATGATCTTTGGCACTTGGTAGTAGGAAGAAAGTGTTGACATACCAATCGTGATACTCCTCAACCACAATGATCCTGGGGTTGCTGTTGGCCGCCTTCTAGATCTTGATTCTGATATCGACTGACAGCTCGGGGGAGAGAGTAAACATTTCCGAGGATACCGCTGTAGCGGCAGTTGAGACCATTCTAGTCATTCTCATTGTAGTCATTCCTATATATGTGGTATCCGTGCGTAAGCCCCTTACGAATTTTCGAGGAGCTTCTGCAGTGGTTTTCGCAATAGGAGCCTCTTCAGAATCCGCAGCTCGTGGAGGGCGGCGGGAAGATTTCCTCAGGAATCGGAACTGGAAGAAGCCAAGGAAGTTGAGCCACCCAAACATAGAGATCACGGCCACTTTGGCGGAATCAAAGACAACCTAAGAGGTGCTGTAGTTTAGTGTTGAAAAGCATGGATTGTGGGTGGAACAGGAGGTGATGCCAAAGAGTCGCGTCCCTGTTAAATATTACGGCCGAATTTCTCTCCCCACAGATCGAAAGAGGGAGAACCGTGCAATTATTTGTTTAGTGAATAGTTCTCTAGCACAAGTACTCTTATTTCAGTCTTTGGATAGGTATTGCCGGTAGCAACTGTGGAATATTGAGAGCTAAGGTTTAGCACAATGAGCAAGCAGCTATAGAATTTCAAGTCTAATTAAAAGGGATCCCTGATTTTATTGAGGATCTATGCTAGAAACTGCTGCTGCTTGGGTCACGAACAGCGGATCCCCGTTCTCCTAGTACCTCTTAATATTATGACGTTGGACGCTCCAGTTGAATAGAGAACAGTCAATGCGAAGCTCTCTCAAAGCTCTGGAAGACGAAAGGAAAATGTGAATGTGTGTTTTTGACCATCTTAGCCTTCATGATTGCCAGAGTTATCCTCATTGCCATTATCGTCCGCTTCTCCAACACTCTCGTTGTCACTATACACGTCTTCGCCGACTTCTTCTCCGCCTTCATAGTAGCTCAGAGGTCTTTCGACGAAACGGTCGGAGCGGCGAGTGGTTGACAGGACAATATTTGGAGCCTTTGCCTTCTTGCATCGAGGGGGGTGGTCGATCTTCTTCTACTTAAGCATTAACACATTATTGCTCAAATAGAGGGCAAAAGACTTACAATCATTCTCTTCAACTGATATTTGGTAAGACAATGAAGTTCAGGCTTGTAATCATCTTTGTCGTCACCCGAAAGCGCTTCCACTGCTTGTTTAAGTCGACTGAAGTTCCGGTTTGGGAACTTCTGGCGACTGTTCGGCTTGTGAAGAACTATAAGCTCAGGCTTTCCAAATGCCACCATGATCGGTTTCAAATAACTCTGATGGTTTGCATCCCAATCAGACGGAAACTGCAAGCGGCGAATATGGGGGAATGGGGCATTGAATTCCTCATCAATGTGGTACATAAAGCCAAAATCGTCGATACTCCAGAGACCAAGGGCATCCATTGTCTCGGTGTCTCGGAGCTGCAGGATGTCTCGAGAAGGATTGAACCAGACAGGCCTGTCACTGAACTTGACTTCAAAAATCTTCTTGTAGAATTTCTGGGCTACACCCCGAGACTCTTGGCAGGTCTGCAAGATGGCCGGAACGGTATAAGACGCACTATATACCTTAACCCTCTCCCATTTATCCTCAGAGAGCTTTCGGTCAAAATCTTGGAGCGATATATCAACCATGTTGGCTTCAGGAAGCGCAAAACCCCAAATCATCTCTCGGAGTTCTGGCGCAAGCTTCTTGAATACGGGAAACGAGGTCAATTTCTTTGGCTTCATAGATTTTTTGGACTTCGCCATTTCGAATTTGTTTTCGGAGATGGAGAGCAGGTCTGCGAGGATGGTAAGTCAATATACCAACTTCCAGTATTTTTGTGGAGCTTTGAGAAGAAAAAGCTGATGGGATAGGGCAAGTGCAACAAAAGTAGCTCCCAAACGAGAGAAGGACATCTTGAGCAGTTCTTATTCTTCCCTTCAGAGAACAATCAAATATTGTTCTCTTTCTGGTAGCTGATGAGAACTGGGAAGTGAAGGGGACATCGTGAACGAAAGCGAAACGGCGAACGAGTACTTACAAACAAGTGTTCAGACAGGAAAAGCGCGTCTAGGCAGATCTAATGCGCATGGATAGGCTGTCTTGTACTGCACCTGTACGCCTTGTTGGCAGTAGCTGACGCGGTGAGTTGCAAGAGGAGGTTGTTGTTTGCAAGAAGGAATCTAGACACAAGAACCTCCTTGCGCGATTGTTGAAAAGATCGGCCCCCAAATTCACATAATCCTATTTTTGCTCTCGCCGATAAGCTGAACGATAGGCAAGCGATAGCGTCGGTTCAAAGACAGAAACGCCGACCTGACGTCACTAATAGAAACTTTATGAAATTCCAGAGATAAATTCAAAGAGACGGATTTTCTTTCTTTCTTTCTGCTTCTTGAGTACCATGATTTCCTGATGATACTCCTAGGCTTAAGCCCAATTCTAATATTAAACATTGATAGCCACTCAGCTGCCTTCTAAGTAGAGGAGGAGTTCTGCTTCTCAATTTTTATCAATTTACCCAAGGGCCAAGGCAGAGATAGTCTCTGGCAAGGAGCTGCTCGGCACAGAATCCTACAGTTTACCCTCGTTGCCAAGTGGAAAAGCCTCTAGCGATTGAATTAATTTTATGGATCTTCGGTTTGGCAAGTCTACATCTCCCCACAATAGAATGTAGCTTATGAAGCTTACTCTGAGCAGGTCCAAGGTTCCAGCAAATCGACGCCAGTCTGTGGAGCTGCATATTGGGAAAGGGACTGGAGTTGAGGGTGGATCGGCAAGCCGTATGCGCCGAAAAGAAACAATCGGGCGAAGAGGCGGACGTATTCGACATAATCTTGTGCTGCTGAAGAAATAGTTGGTGCAGGGAGAGTCGATGTATCCCAAGTTGGCTCACGCAGAGCCGATACAGGTATATCCCTTGCGGGTTCAAGTGGAGCCAGATTAGGTGGCTTAGAATCTCTTAAAGGAGGAGTCTTAGCCGTAGCAGCGAATTCTTCTTCTGTTTCTGGATAGTTAGGAGAGCCGGGTTCCTTGTCATCCAACTCGATGTTGTCCGGTATGACTTCTATAATATTGTATTGGGGGAGCTTCGCATATCGGAAAAAGGGAAGATCGTGTTGAGGGCTTGAAACGAGTTGAGTTGCGCCATGCAGTATGTCCTCCGGCTCATGGGTGTGACTGGTTTGATGCTGGAAAGGACGTGAATCATGTTCAGGGCCTAAGCGAAGCTGATTAAGGGTCAGTGAAGAAGTGTCTGAAGGGGGTGTTGGCGACTTTACATTGACGTGATCAAGATCATCTACTCCTTTGTTGTCGCCCTTGGGGAGATCAAGGTCATCTGAGTCATTGCCCTCCTGATTTTCTGCTCGAGGGGTAGCTCCAGGTTGAGAGTTGTTATCCTCATTTTCTGCCGCGTCGCCTAGAGGAGAGTTACGGAGCCCAAACGTCTCAAGAATAGTCTATTATGTATGAAATAATTAGTTTTAGATTTCTTGGGCTCCTTCGGAATTACGTACCTCCTTGTTCAAGTCCACTGCTTCAAGAAACTCGACCTCAGACCTTTTGTCCGGGCAAGCACTGGTATAGCGCCACACATCTTGAGGAGTTTGTTCATTGCGCACCCATGAATTCTGCGACAAGTGCGCTTGCTGTCGAGAATTAAGCCCCCCTGTCTGTTTCTGCAAAACGATTTTCTCAAGATTCGAGAATCCGCAATTAGTCAGATCTGCAAGCGATGGATATTCAGTTTCTCCGCCAACCACGACGTATCGAACCTGTTTTTCCAGCTCCATACTGTAAGATCGACCGTTCTTCGCTTGATGTTGAATCCACGAATTGTACATCTTTGGAACAATTGTATTTTGCATGAAGACGACATCCTTTCTCGGGTCAAGGTAACATCTGCTTGTACCCATCAACTTGATGTAATATTTTTTCGCCCATCTTCGAGCTTCGCGACTGACATGCAGCAGCGCAGGGACTTGATGGCGAATCTTTAGATCCCTTTGCTGTTCTGCCTGCCGTGTCTTAGTGAACAGCTCCAGAAACCTTGGCTCCTCATTTGCCGTGGCAAACTCAAAAATAATGGCTTGCACTTCTGGTGGAAATCTCCTGAACTGTGAGAATTTCGCTGGAGTATTATTGGTAGGTTGAGGAGGAAAGAGGGGGTTGTATTTAATTGATGAGTTTGAAATATTCGTCATGATCAATGAAAAACGTTGTGGAATAATTGCGATGTGGGAATCTGGAGTGTTCGAAATATTCACACTAAATTTGAAATGAGTGTTGAAGCTGAATTTTCTTTTAAGCGTTCTCATCGCTAGTTTGGTCCCAGGTGAAATGCAGAGATGTGGGTCCGAGGCCCGTGGCCCCGGTCCAGTTTTCACACAACTCCAGAAGCATTGTGACTCACACAATAAGATTCATGTTCCCGCTTTGCGGACCTCGGTAGAACGAAAGGAGCAATAGACTATGCAAGTCAATTCGCCTCTCTTGGGTATGTGACACCTGCTGAAATCTGGAAGCGATTCTTCTTACATGGTCCCCTTTTCCGGCTCCCGTCTCCTCGTAATCCTAATGGCATCAAAATGAACCGCGCACGGAATTTTAGGGCAACCCACTCCCACAACCCGCGACTTTGTATTGAGGTGGTACTGTATGCACCGAAGAGCGCGCCTAGGAGGGTTCCAAGTAGTGGGTTGAAATTGAATAAAAGACAAATAATATATAACAGGCCACAAGTGAAATGGTCACTTGCAAAATCGGCTTCGCCCCCTTTCGCTTAAAAAACCTATGAGCACAGACCACCTCATCCACTTTTACTGTAGCGTTGAGACTACTTCCACTATTTTTCGCCTCATACTTCATCATGCAGCCCCGCTCCACTGCTGGCACCTTACGGAGGTAGAAAGCCCGCCAATTCGCCTCGGGTGACATGAATCCCCGCCTTCCCCGTGGTATACAGCATCTAGGTCTCCACAAAGCATCGATCTGAGTAGTGTTCCTCTGTGAGACGTTCTGTCGTCAACCCTGGGCAAGATCGCAATGGCCGAAATCCTCGATCGCTGGGGGCATCGCTAGCATCGCGACTCTCTTGAAACCCGCTTCGCAATTGGCAGAAGGCTGCCCCTTAGCTAGAAAACTCGAGAAAGATGCGAGGAGTGCACCAGCCGAAGCGAAAAAGCTGGTCGACGAGATTGAGATTTTGAGCAAGACTGCAGAGGACTTTGAGCAGATTGTTCGGGATGTCGACAGCCAGGAGGAGGTGTGAAGGTAGAAGATGCTGTACGCTGGTGCAGGCCCTAATGTTTGTTACACCGCCTTTGCAGGGGTTGCGCTGAAGTGCCCTGTAGCAATGCGCTGTAGCCGACTGTTGCTTAGCAGAACTCAAGGCGGTGTAACAAACATTAGGGCCTGCACCTGCGTAAGGCCAGCCTTGGAGTACGCCTGTGTTCTAAGGTGGCTTTTTTATTTGCTTTTTCTGGGGCAGTGCTGAACACCCCGGCAGCGGAACAACCGCACAGCTGAAAAGCCGAGCCTCGCTCCTATCGTTCGTTCGCTCTCATCCAAACCTGTCCATCATTAGCCCATTTTGCTGCTTTTGTGAAGGGCTCATGGTCAATAAGACGTTTTATTGCAACTGTAACCCTGAGTCAATAAGGATTATTGCAGTCCAAATCTTTAACACAACTTGGTTACTAGAAGCGGACTAGCCAGCAAACAGCCCGTAAAGTCACTGCGGCTACTAACGCAAGGCCTTTAAGAACCACACAGATTCCCTGGGTCAGTCAACCTGAACCATGTCGTTCGACTTTTCAATAGGCGACTTCCTTGCGGGAGTAACTTTGATCAAAGATATCATCTCGGCATTGAGAGGCACTGCTAAGCTGGAATATCGCGAACTCGAGCTTGAGCTTCACGGACTGCAACGCGCTCTGGACGAGTTGGAGCATCTACAGCCAGGGCCAGGTCAGGAAGTCGCCGTGAACTCTGTGAAAGCAGCAGCTCTAATGTGCAGGTATCCGCTCGAGGAGTTCCAAGCCGAGCTGAAGCGCTACCAACTCCTCTTGAAGCATAAGCATCACAAAAAGCGTGATGTAGTCGACGGCTGCGTCCGTAAAGTGCAATGGAATTTATCCATGCCAGACGAAGTGCAGAAACTACGAGCCTACATCGCCGCGCATGTTGGGAGCCTAAACATGCGATTGCTGACCGTCGGGTTGACGACGATGACCGTGGCCCAGACGGAGGCTTCAGAACGAGACGGCTTAATTCGAAATGAATTGACCAGCCAAATGATAATAATCAGTGAAAACACGGCAAAGGTCGGAACACTCTATACGCTCGTTGCTCGTCAGATTGTACCTTCATTACAAAGTCTGGTTGGACTTGCTGAGAAGGTATGGTCCACTAACTTGCAAATACTGGCTTTTTTTTCGAGTTTACAGAATAACCAAACTCAAATCGATATACGGCACACGTGGTTTCAGGAGCCGTTACGGCTAGATGATGCATTTGGACGCACCATCCCTATTCCAGTGGAGTACGGTTGGAGTGTAAGCCTTACTTTCCCTCGTGAGATTTCAATAACTGATCGCCTGTAGAAGCTAGAAGCTATTATCCATAATCAATTCTGCCGTGGCCCTGGCAACAAAAAGGTCTTTGCTGGCGAGTATGAGATCTTTAAGACGGACGACAGCTCGCAATTAATAACTCAGCGAAATTTCTCTCTACTCCGGCCTGGAACTGCCATTACAATGGCCATGGTCATTGGGAGATACGAGGGAGGATTAAAGGATCAGTGTCCGAAACCAGATTGCAAATCAAAGATGTTCACAAAGAGTAACGCTGGGGGGTTGATGTAGTAAGCAATATCTTTTCCTTTCTCGTCTTCAAAGCTAATTATGGGAACAGCGTCGAATGCAGTGTCTGGTTCGGAAAATCCCGAGCAGCGCTTCCGAGGCCCTTTCGCCTGCTTTGCATCGAAGATCTTGAAGTTATGGATTTCGGTGAAGCAGGGAACGGCAAAAAACGACAGAGATCAATCAAAATTGCCTGTCGAGATATTTTTAAGGAAATAAGAGAAGAGCGGAAATGGTATAAGAATCTTCGTATACATCTGACAGACCTATCCTCCGCCACTAGTATTCTGGACATACAAAGGGGTGCTGAAGTCCAACCAATACGAGCGAAGCTCGCAATGCCAACGACGACATTGCGGCCAGACCAAGAATTCAGGGAGACTCCGACGCCGGCAAATAGCATGTGGGACATTGCCCGCAAAATCATTCTTGAGGAATTTGGGATGGAAGAAGGAGATTTGGAACATTGTATCGATTTCGATTCCTTGGGCATGGACTCCCTAATGTCGCTTACTATTGCGGCTCGTCTGCGAGAAGATTTACAAGTGAGTCTGGATTCAGAGATTTTCGTTCAATATCCTAATATGAAAAAACTGAGCGATTTCTTCGAGCGCTTTCATTCTGGTGCGCCATAGAAGAGTTGGCGACCGACAATAGGGGTGGAGCTCAGGTTACGAGAAATCTGGGCTCAAGTACTTCACATCACGTCCGATTTTTTTTTTTTGGAAAGAATGACAGTTTCGTCAGGACGGGGGGCGACTCGTTGAGCGCGTTGCAAATGATAAGGCTAGCACACCAGCACGGAATCCACTTAACGATGATCAATATCATCCAATTGCGGCTGGAATACATGGCTGCCACTGCTGTAGAGGCAGAGAGTGGACAGATGCACGAGATGGAGCCATTCAGCATTCTGCCAAATCGCAAGGTCGATGCGATCAAGTCAAGCGTCCGGAACGGCTGTGAGTTGTAGAGTGGACTGGGCATCTTCTACGAGAAGCTTTATAAGGGGATCTGAGCGGAATACTGTAACTTTCGCTCAATATCATACAGCGTGCAAAGATGTGAAGTCGAAAATGGGTGCAGTGTGGAGCATAGAGACAAAGGCAGCCATAAAACTGCTGGTCGACTGTGGTTGTGCTTAAAATTGAAGAGTGTTTAGAATCTAAGCCCATTTCGCTAGCGACTGGACATGGGATGACAAACTCAGTACCAAAAGTGGCCAATGTGGTCCGTGCTCCCAATATTTTTAAGCGGAAGCCGATTTTGCAAGTACCTGTATCCTCAGACAAAGGTATAATGGGTGGTGCTGCACTTTATTACGGGGGGGAGAGTACTACTAGTACACAGGATGATAAAAGAGCTACTGAGTACGGCGTCAGCACCAGAAATAGACGAGGTGGTCTGTGCTCACAGTTTGTTTAGGCGAAATAAGACGAAGCCGATTTTGCAAGCGACTGTACGCTATCATTATTCCAAGTCTGCCTTGCTTTGACCTCCTGCCGTTGGGTTTTGAAGCCTTTGCACATCCACTGCGGCCATGACTAACTAATAGTCGGACTTGACGTCGCGCTAAAGGGGCCCTTCCCTTTAGTCGGGGAAAGCGAAGTGTCCCGCACCGATCGCAAAAATTTCCAATTTGTATGGAACACCCATAGTAAAAATTAATCAATTTGATTACCACCAGCCCAAATTTCCCTGAAAATCAGTCAAATTCAACAGCGATGGCTCGCCTAAGCAACCTCCCCAAAAACACGCTTCTCCGTAATATGCCAGAGAAGGATAAGCTCCGTGAGGCTATTCAGTTTCTCAAGGCCAACCCAGAAGAGACTCCTGCGACTGCGGCACGCGCGTGTTGCGTACGAAATGAAGATACAGTAAGGAAAGCGTGGCAGAGAGAGAGGAAGAAGATGGGGACAGTGAGAGTGCAAAAAGGGGGGCAGAACAAGATCCTCCGTCCTGATTAATACGCGGCATTAATTTAGTACGCGGTATCGCACGCGATTAATGGCGGGAAAGAAGCTACAAAGCAAATGATATATAACTGCGTAATATGGATGCGAACGGAGGATAATAAAATAGCTCTATCTTGGAAATAGTTCTCTCAATGGCTAAAGAGCACTCCAGAACTCTATATGATTAAGACAAAGCCTATTGCGAGCCACCGTATTAATCTCCATACTAAATAGAGCCTCCGTGATTAGTTTGAGACTGAATATCGTCCGGTATTAGAGAAAACTAGTATATGCTATAGGAATCGGATACATAATATGGATAAGAAAGGCGCACGAATTTATATGCCTTTAGGAGAGGAAGTAGTAGTTCTAATTAGAATTAAGGAGATATATATAGGAATACTAGAAAATTATATGTCTCTTATAATAATTGAGTATATATCTATAGATAGCAAGGCAATTCCTCCGGTAGTAATTATTCCTGGAATTATAATTATGGTTTCTTGGTTCCATGAAAATATAACCGGTTATAAGGTTATTATAGTCTCTCCTATAGGATATACGAACGAGGGCATTTATATGGTTTGGTTAGACTATTTTATTAAGCATAATAACTGCGGTCCTAATAAGAAATGGCATATTCTTTTAATTAATAGAGTAACTTGCTACTAAGCGAACGATTTTATCCTAAAAACTACGTTTAATAAGATATAAATTATCTAATTCCCCTCTTATTAAACCCACCTACTTTAATTATATAATATTAGTATTTTTAGGAAATAGAAATATTACTAATAGGTTAATATTATGAATATAATTCGCTTATACGAGCCGGAATATAATATCTAGTACTTCTTTCGCGATCTTCCTGGAATACGAGAAAAGACATTTACTATCCGTATAATTAAATACGCTTTTTAGAACGCTGGAATTTGGCCTATTAGTTTCAAAGTAGTACGGAGAAAGCTCAAGAAGTATAGCAAAAAGAGAAGGAAAGATACTGGCCTTTAATTTCTGGAGTTTAGATCTGAATCAGAAACTAAATCGGACGTAGAAAACGCAGAAAACATATGATTTACCATGCCTGCTCCTGCTCCTGCTCCTATTCACGAATACTAATTACCTATCCTTCCAAAACCTCCTTCTTTATATAATAAATACGTTCTATGGCTCGATAATCTTAATAATAAGATTCTGGATACTTTAAGCTTCTCCCCTCATAAAGAGTATTTAGTCATAATTAATGCTACCAAGAACCACCTAATACTTGGAAGTTTATAAGAGCTAGATACCCAGAATGCTCGCAAGGCACAGGTTAAACGTTATAAGGCTAAGCTAAATGCACGGCTTAGTTTCCAAAGAGGGGGGTAATTAAATATATCTAATGCTCTAGAAAAGAAGAAGATTAAAGTAAGGAACGCAGTAGAGGAGGAGCTAAAGAAGGCTAAAAGACAGCTCGCAAAGGCTAAATTAGCTAAAAAGGAAGCTCTTAAAAGAGTAGGAATCGCCGCACGAGCGGTAGAGAGAGAGAGGAAGAAGAGAGTGAGAGATCTAGAGGCACAAGTAAAGAAGCAAGTCCTTGAAACTAATACAATTATCTCTCCCGAGCTCCTAATACTAATTCGTGATCCCCAAAACGAACCTACGGAAAGCGAGCTTGAAGCCATTCGAATTAAGCACTAATTACTTTATAATAAGATAGATAAGGAGCAAGCTGAATTCGATCGTGTGCAGGCCGAAGATCCCGCAATCTTTACTAATATCCCTATTAATCCTGTAATACTCGTATCTAAATAAGCTCACCGGGTAAAGGGGAACCCTCTTAGTTAATTATATATACGGGCAATATTAGAGGAGTCTAGGGGATTAGATAAGGAGGTAGAGGAGGCACGAGAGGGTATAAATGGTGGGGTTAGTGGGGAGGAGGTGATTCTGTATTCTTTACTACCTAGATTACTAATATTAACTGATTTAATAGCTCAAAATGCAGATTTTGTAGCATTAGAGTAATAAGAGATTATATCCTCAATTGCGTATTAATTTAAGGGTTATTTGGTTATGTGGTGCAATTCAAGTGTCTGCGATTGCATAGAAATTTTGGTGTGGTGCGGGACACTTCGCTTTCCCCGACTAAAGGGAAGGGCCCCTTTAGCGCGACGTCAAGTCCGACTATTAGTGCTTCAGGTAAAGAGTCACGACAGTAACGTGTATATCCCCTGACACATCGGTAAGCATAAAAGTTGTTATCAGCAACCCAGCGTTACAATTCGATGAGCCGCTCGAGCTTGCGAATCTTGCGATCATCGCACAACTTTTGGTCCGCAACTGCCGAGCTGCCAACGGATCAAAGTTACAAGTCTAAGCCATTGCAACATTGATATTAAGAACGGATACATTGTAAGTAAAATTCGCAGAATTGTCAAGTCACAATGGTTGGCAGCAAGTCTTGCGAGGCGGCCAGATAGTTAAATGGAGATATATCACCGTATGATAATACGCGTATTTCTGCTTGCTGAGTGAGGTTAAATAACCCCCAAATCAGTTAAGGTCAGCTCTTCTTTAGCTATTCAGGCAGACTAATCTCCTTTGTTCTTCTCAGAGTTTGTCCAACAATGTTCTCTATTGCAGTTCAGACCAACCATTCCAGTGTTCTTCGCTGCCGCAAGCAGTATTCTGCACCAGTCTGGGCCTCATCTTTCATCTGCATTCTGCCTCATTTTTCTAATGTCCAGAAGCTACTTATTCACTTCCTTCAGCCCCCGATCACTCGTCTCTAAGAGAACATCGATGAATGCCGACCTTTACTGTCGACGAAGGTGTTGGATATCAAACAATGAAAGGAAAGAACTAGTCGGAGATCCCTACAAATCATCCGTTTCAATGCAATCCTCTACATTTGAAATCAGTCTAAGTACAGCTTGTAAACACCTCTCTGCTTTAATGTCGGAGGCAGGATCTGAAGCATCCGACCCCCTTTCAGATTACACGTCTTTCTAATCTCCAACAGCAGAAGCTGGAAATAATACTCTCTCAAGACGCTTCACCTCGGATCCTTGACTACGTAAAAGTAGCGCACATTCAGGAGACTCCGAACCAGGGTCCAAAAATGCGGGAAGTCCCAAGTAAAAGTCATATTTTCCCTCTAAAGTCCCTGCTCCTTAGCTGAAAGAGCCCCCAAGCTGAGAGCGGGGTAGGCTGAAAACTTATTTCAACCTCCCATGATTTCCTGACATCATTTTTTTGAGATGCCAATTATAGCATCAAGAGCGTGTTCTGGAACTGTGTCGAATTTATGACCTGTCTTTCTTTTAATCGAGATTCGAGAACAAAGGAGGGTTATGCTAAACAAGTTGAGAGAAGATTTGCATATTCGGTACAAGTAATTTGGTTATTATTTACTTTTCCATTGAGGCCCAAACCCATAAACTACTCCAGTTTGAAATCCAAACCCAATCTCCAATCTACGAAGCACTTCTTCACCCTATATTGTCATTGGACATGGCAGTCTAATTGACTTTGCAGCCAAGCCAGATACTTAAGTTTGAATTTATACGCTCCATCTTTATCTTCATGGACGTGAAGCGAAGCTCTTCAGGATCCTCATTCTCACAAATACCTAACCTCTTTTCAAAATCGCCGCTGTGGCGCGTATACACCTCCGGCGCCCTCGTAATCTCTCCCTTGCCCACAGCCTGCTTCCACCCCCCCCTCAACTTCCCCTCGGCCATCATGAAGCAGTGCGCCACAAAGCTCTGAATCCGAGGGCAGAAACGTTTTGCCTCTCCCAAGTACAATGCATCAAGGTTCTCTAGACCATGACTATAATCGCAGAGCTCGAGGACCTCATTAGCGAACAATGATCGTATTACTAGATAGCGGAGAGTCTTCTCGACTTTTTTCCGCTCAGATCGATCTTCTTCCGTGTCTTCGGCACCGTGCTTGAAGAAATCGAATGCTCCGCCTGATTCCATTATGAGTTTATCCCTGGTGGAATCAAACCAGACTCCGCACGAGTGACTGAGCTGATATGCAAAGGACAGCTTGTAGAATTTCTGAGCGGCGATGCGAGCTTCGCGGTTCGTGCGGAGCAAAGGGGGAAGTTTGTAGCTTGCTCTAAGTTCGTATGGCCAATAGTCTGGTAATTGCCGCCCTGGTGTAGGGTCGCCGAGACCTTGAGCCCGATGGCATGCGGGGGTGACATTTTGAAATGGTTGGTATCTTCGACGACAGGTTATATAAACATTGTTCGCACCCCATGCGACTCCAGCATAGTCGAAAATTTGCATCCGAATCTCTGGTGGAAGCTCAGGGAATTTAGGGAAACCTTTCACATAGGACCGGTGATTGTCTGGGGTAATATAATGGTCGAGCTTTTGTTTCTCCCGGTGGTGCTGAACATCTAGACTCTGAGAGGCTGCACATTTCCTTGGAATGGGGATCGTGGAACGAAGAAGGCTGGAGTAATTCCCACAGGGGGAAAGGCCATCTTGTGCGACTCCCTCTTCAGGCTGGATGCTTGCAATCCGACCTCCGTCTCCAAGGTTCATGTTTTCCTTTCTTCTCGATGCGAACTTCTTAGAAATGGTCAAATGTGTGAAGGCCGTCGAAGCTGACTGGAAGCCGGGCGGGCTACGGATGCGAGGCTGGTGGTACCGGAACTAACAAGTGGTCAGTGAGGTGGGATTGCGTTAGTGTGGGAGACGTGATCTTACTCTAGGCTGCTCGTAATTTCGCTCGAGTCGGTCTTCGGGGGTTTGGGTGGACCTCTCGTTGTTTGGTTCAAGAAACGTTGGTTGTTCAAACAATCGCTAAATATCGATTGTCGACTACCTAATAACGCGATTATCTATCGGCCGGTTATCGAGCCTATCGGAGCTGACCCTGAAGTCTCAAACTCGAACCGAATTCTTCGCTCAGTATCATGATCGGAAGCACCCAACCAATCCCCCTGATCGAATCACCATCCTGTTTTTGCTCGAGAGCTTCTTACCATCCATTTCCATTGAGGTAGGGTTTTAATGGAGAACTGAACAAGACCTGCATCAGCATCCCACTTTATTGTCCAGAAGAAGAAGGAAAATTGGCTACCATAATACTTGAAGACTTATTCTGTTACCCGATCAAGAGAGAAGACGTTTTTGGAGAACAAATTTGTCATGATGTGTGTAGGAAATATGAGAATGACGAAAGTCCGCCCGAAGAAGCAAGATTTTGTAGACTGAAGGAAGATCGTCCAAGTCACCTGTCCATTTCAAAAGCACCGAAAAGACACGGCCGCGCCATATCAGTGAAACCCTTTACAATTATCCTGTTAAGGGACCGAATTTCGAGGACCCTTCCCGAACCATAAATGTCCTATTTCAGGAATAGTGGAGGAGCTAGCTGGTGCGGGCCGACCGACTCTGCGCCGTTCTCGCTAGGAGATAGGGACTTCTTTGAAATAGCCCTAGCGCGACCGATCAGATTTACAAAATGTCCATCGCTTCATAAATCAAAATCAGAATTATCTATGGTTGGGGGAAAGAATGGTGTAGGCCTTTGCTGTGAGTAGACATGAAATTGAATCGCGGCAGTGTGTCAGACATGTGGCTCGATTCCTTCCAGGATACGGAAATGGCTACCCTCTGCTTGACAAAATAATGCGGGAGGAACAGAAATCATCCGAAACATATTTTCCGTATTCTAAAATATAGATACACGTAATAAGGCAACATGCTGAGTTGAGCTATGAGTGAGCCACCAGCCACACGCATCCGCTTCAGGTTTTTTAAACCTTCGAAGGTGTAAGTTGAACAACCCGTTAATAGCCCGCCAACATGCCCCTCTCGAGCGATCCATAGTCCCGAATCGAACAGCGAAACAGTTATCCCGTAGTCCAAACTCGAGACCCGTCGAAGAGTGTCTATATCTCAACCGCGGCAATTCTGATATAAGTGTTAAAGGTCGTCTCTAAACGTAAGGTTACTGTTCGTAGCGAAGTTCCACTCTGTTTAACACAGCTTGGCAGATACCTGACTGTAAATTCTTCCTTGGTTAGATGATAAATCTTGGGTACCGTAAACGGGACGTTTCTTGCTGAGGCTACTTCGGTCCTCCATTTTGAGAACCTCTCTTCGTAATCTTTCTCCGTCCTTTCGATCAGACCTTGTTGTCCAGGTGGAAGATTTTCAAGCATTTCCGGGAGCTTTCTGACTGCCAGTGTCTCCACTTTCGAAAACCAACGAAATACCTTTAGCAGTTGAGTGTCCACTATCTCTTGTCCATATGCAACAAAACGGACCGAGTCTTCAATCGTAATTTCCGGGTTCATAGAAATGTTGGTGGAGAAGTAGTTTAGGTCTGCTTCTCTGGGCAAAAACATCGTGTCTCGATTGAAGTCAAAATATATGGGTCCTCGATGCAACTGGTTCTCAAACGTGAGGGTGTAGAATCTTTTAGCGCTACCACGAGATTCCTTGTTGACGTGAAGAACCACTGGAACAGATGCATCTTCGGCCTTTAATTGGGCACCCGGTTGCGAGGTATTTTCCTCCCAATGAGCAAGAATTCGAATAACTCGTGGCGGCGGAAGCATCAATTCCCATATCGTATTGCGGAGTTCAGGTGGAAACTTGGAAAATTTGGGAAATGCCGGTTCGGCGATTCCTCTTTCTGCAAGAGTCTGGGGTTGTTTGTTGGTAGCTCTAGCGGTGAGTGATCTAGTCTTTTGATTCTTCCAAGGCGTCCTTTTGCTTGCCTTGGTTGGGGAAGCAATTTTCCTCGTGGGTGTCCAGTTGGTAGCTAGTCTCTTTGTGACCGCCATCGTTGACTTCCTGGTACGTCTCGTTGCTCTCGATACTGGGTTCGCGGGTGACGTATTTCTCTCCGCCGAGCGTGGTCGCAGACGCATCTGAGATGCACCTTGTGCTAGATTAGTTGGATATGCGATGCCGCCAGCTGCTCCTGCCTTCCTGGTGGGTTTTGCAGAAGGGGCAATGGGATGCCGCTACCGATATGTTAGCTGAGGCCTCAAACAAATCAAGAAATCACTGGGATCACGATACCTCCATGGTTAAGAATTTGTCTTCCTTGTGTCTGTGTGGGATTGGGGAGGTGCTGTCGAGGATGTTTCGCTCATAACTCGAGCAGAACAGAAGAAACCGTTCTTATATACAAGTGGTTGTTGGCGCCGTTAGCAGCGTTAGTCTTAGTCGACATTAGAATTTCCCATTTAGATGCTGACTGCAACATCAACTTCCGCCATCACACCTTTTACTCTCACTCTTCACTCTCCTTTCTTCTGCCTCGAAATGACATTCTCAAGCAGCTCCCTCGTATTTCTCATATTCGTCCCACAATGCTCAAGCTCGGCAACATAGCTTAGTGCCCAGCCCTGATATATCTCGTCTGTGATCTCCATCGTAGCTCATGTCTGTATTGAGGAGTATTTGAGATAAGGTAGGAGAGCTTTTTGAGGGCTTTGTTTGGGAAGGAAGGTGGCTCGGTCGCTTTAAATTTTCTTGTTTAAAAACAAAAGGCATCTTATCACCCACCAGCTGCCAGCGGGTGTCTCCTATGTCTAATGAAAGTAGCACAACTCTCGGTGAATGAATCTCTCTTATTAGTAATTGATTATTTGAACGGCGAGGCTTTGACCAAGAACTTGGAATCACAAAACCCCCACGACCCTGTCATCTGAACTGTGTTGCAGCTTTGTAATTGATGCTGACGATGTTCAGATGACCTTGTGCTGATTAACCTCGAGTCATGAACCTCGGCAAATGACGGCCCGCTGACTCGTCTCCCCCAGAAAAGTTGCCATTCTAAAAATATCTCCTCAGCTACCCTCCAACAACAATCGAGGCGCAGCACCAAATACGTGAAACATACGCGTCTCCTGAGGGGTTCAAAAACCAGACATTCCTTTCCTTCTTGACCTTCTCCATTCTTTACACTCTTACCCGCACTCGTTCAACGCAAACCATCCACCATGGCACCAACACCTGCCTCCATCCCTCGCGCCATCTTCGTCGAATATGCCAAACGCGCAGTCGTCGCAGCAGGCCCAGAGATGGCGAGGCTGTCAGCTCGTGGTCTGTCCGTGAACCACACGCAAGGAATAACGCTGGGCATAATTGTTCTCTACATCGCAGTCATCGCGCTCCTTTGGAACATACCTTATGTCAAGTACTCGCTTTGGCCCTTCAAGGTAGCTCCCTCCTCCTAGCCTCCACTGCTCTCAGCCTTGCAGACAACACTGACGCCAGACAGATGCTCGTCATAGCCTTCCACGAATTCGGTCACGCTATAACAGCCTGCTGCACCGGTGGCCGTGTGAAATCCATCTCCCTCGACCCGCGCGAAGGCGGCGTAACACACATGGTCGGTGGGATCTCTGCCGTTACCCTCCCAGCCGGCTACCTGGGCTCCTCATTAATCGGCGCACTCCTCATATTCTGCGGATTCGATATTGTTGCTAGCAAGATAGCGAGTATCGCCCTAGGAGTCTGCTTTCTGTTGACATTGTGGTGGGCACGCAAGGATTGGCTGACGATTATAACCATATTGATGGCGGTGGGACTGCTGGTTGGCTGTTGGTTTATCAAGCATGCTGAGCCGTTGAAGTATGTGGTGTTGTTTATTGGGGTTATGAGCAGCTTGTACTCGGTTTGGGATATTGTAAGTCCCCCTCTACATCACCTCTCTTTGTTTCAGAAGCTAATGAAGGGCAGTGTGATGACCTTATCCTACGGAAAGTCAACGAGTCCGACGCGAGCGTTTTCGCGCAGAGATACGGTGGTTCAAGCCAGTGCTGGGGCGTCATTTGGTCGATTGTCAGTCTGGTCTTCATGATTGGGGGTATCATTGCGGGACTTGCGGCCTTCCCGGAGAGTGCGTCGCAGCAGGAGGACGACTCGAAGAAGTTTATTCCTACTCGTTGAAAAGCCTCGGTGATGGGTATCCGGGGGGGGGACCTGCACTGGAATTGCAGCCGGTCGCTGCTGGGATACTGAACAGGGTAAATGGGCAAAATTGATTGAACCAACACATCACCCCGGTGACCGGGAACCAGGGACTTCCCTCGACTGGTTCGGTTCTGTGGCTCAACAAAGTTGGGAATGACAAGACATAGTGGACAATGGTTTGACGCCAAAGATTGGAAACTGCAGAAAAACGGACTCCGAGTTGAGCCCAGCCGGCATGGGCACGGTTCGCACGAGAAGAGGGCTAGCCTGAGAAAGCTGCGTTTGTGTGGTTGTTGATGAAGGAGAATTGTTGCGAAAAAGAGATGCCCAACCAGCAGTCTATTCTTGCTTGATCTTGCGTTGCTTCCTCGCGTTAGATACCCATTCAAAAGAAGTATGAAGCATGATTCAGTCCATAAGAAGTACAATTCTTACTAGCAAAGTGTGCAATATGGGACGACCTTGCTTCAGTGAACACACAAGAATACCCCTTCTTCTAACCACAGACGTTCTGTCTTACAGGACCCATCTCGAGACAAAGCTTGTAATCTTCCTTTTGATCCAAGTGTTCAGCCCGGTATATATTTCATTAACCTGTGCATCAAGTCTCTTAGTTAAAAATGGAAAGACATAATTGGACACTTGCTAATAACCAACCGATAATTGGCCGGGGGTTTCTGTAAAGCGGTCCGTCAAGACACTGTGTTTTCCAACAAACACAGCCGTAATAGCCCAAGCTCAACCCCAAGCTTGCGGAAGTCCAAGGAAGGGACCAAAGCCAATCTTCATACCAAGTATAAAGGAAAAACCCTAGCTGAGACACATTTCTCTTTGTGAAATCCTTTGGTGCCTTCCTTTTAGCAGTACAAAAACGTCTGGACCTACTCTTCGTTGTCAAATCACTGGTGCTGAATGAGAATGAACGCACGAAATTCGTCTGAAATTAAAGCTGATTAATAAAGCGCGGACAACATCTGTTGTCAATTGGCCTTTCCTGCCAAACAAGGCGCTCTGTATTGAGAGAGTGAGAGGACTATTCTTTGGGTAGCATTTTTTGTAAGTATGTGAGGGGCTTTCGCGGCAATATTCCATCTCACGTGCTCTTAAATGGCATTGCCAAAATTGTCATCTTCCTTGCAATGTGCCCCCTTTCCTATTTCCATTTCCTTTTGCTCGAGCATGCCGTGATCGAGCGTGCCATGCTCTCATTTGGTCCAACGTCGCTTTGTCGATCTTAGGTCTCTCCGGAGAACCAGCTTTGTTTGCCGTAGCGTAACTACTCTCCATCTTACCCTTACTTTATTTCACATCCCATGGCATCAAATCTATAAAAGAGTACGGTCGATAATGGTAGTGAGTCATTAGATGGAGATTACCGAGGTTACGAGAAGACTAATCTCAGGAGTGTGCAGCCACAACCTCGGTGTATGCTTCCTAGACAGGCGTTGCTAGCTTTCAGAGACTTGGACCTAGGTTGATTGATTCCAGTGTCCGTTGTACAAATCTGTGTCCGCCTTCTCTCCCATAACAGCAAGATATGCTTGACAACAAAGGTATAATGATAGTGAATATCAGTATCCGTACTCCGGAATCCTATAGACTGTGCCTAACTCTGTGGTTGTGTTGTGTATGGCTTTCATAAAGGAGGGGAGACCGACAACGTTGGCATGGCTGGTGTAACGGAGCCTCATGAGGAATTGCTGCCCACCCATAGAAAGGCCTACATGCCTAGCTCGGGCTCGATGTGGAGACATTCCACGGGCACCTCTGTATATATATACAGGCCAACAACCCTAGCTCTGGTATTTGAAAACATGGAAATGAAGGTGTTGAAAATTGTCAATTCAGCTCTCCAGATAAACGATTAAAATGGTCGGACCTCACCGGTTACTCCGCTAGAACCATGGGATTTGATATATATTTTAGTACTCTCATGCTCTACCGACCACTCTCTCCAGTCAAAGTTCAAGGAGCATATCACCTCACGAGGTTTCTGGGGAGGGGTTTGGCGTGGCAAGTACGGCGATCGAGATTCTTATTTCAATGAAGAGAAATTTCGTCACTTTGGCTCTATCCCAGTACACTCAATCACAGTGGCTCAGGGAGTCTGTTTTGGATCTATTCCGTGATAGCAGTACGAAACTTGACAGCAACACAGAACATGGCAACAAGAATCACTCTTCTCACCTGGACTTTATATTAGCCTCTGGAGGTTCAGGATCCATAGTTTTCCAAAGCTCAGATACTGGACTCATTGCAGAGGAGTAATTCAAGGAGAGGGCGACGAACAAGCACGACCACATTGTATCTCTTGTAGACTCTGTTTCTCCTCATTGTCCGAGCGTTGCTATTAAGGACAATACTTATACAAATCTAGGCAAATGGCAGGGGCTGGATGAGGAAATTGTTGACACGCTGAGAAGCGGGTGAAAGTTGGCATGGTCGTTTGTGGGGTTTACATTTATGCTAGTAAGTTGTCTACGACGTTGAGATCTCAAGGTTTTCCCCGCCGCCGCCTTCCCTTTCAGGCTTTTCTCCATGCTGGCGAGTGGGTCAGTGTCAGACGATATGTATTTATATCCCTCCTACTTTTGATCGGGGCCAAAAGAACCTGTTGGGCAACGTTTCATTTTGCATAAGGGGCTAGACTAGGATGACCGCGAGCTTCTCTATGACCTCTTATTCCCACGAAATCGGAGTCGGTATAGTTCTTTCAGAAATTTTGAGGAGTAGAATGTTCCAGGAGCTGTGAGATATTGAGAGCAGAATACCCCAAGAAACTCCTGGACAATGAGAGTAGAATGTCCTAAGAGCTCTTGAGGCATGGCTATGAGGGACCAATACTCCATGAGTTTGGGACTTAAGAGGCTTTGATACTAACTGACTATAATAAAACGTTTCCAAAAGCTCGCAACTTGCTGACCAAGAATTCAATCCCCCTTCTTTGACCGCTCACATGACAGTGCGTGAGTTGACCACAACTCCAGGGAATGGCAACAGAAACAAACAGAGAGACAACCCCAAGACTCTTCAATATTCTCCCGTTGTCTCGAAGAACAAACATGAAAAGCATCACTGTATACAATCCTGGATCGTGGCCCGAAGATGACTTGCCAACTTGAAGCAAGATCCTAGAACGCAAGCAGGAATCTCGGTCACCGTTGACCCGGTTCTCCCGAAAGAACCGTAGTATTTATAGACACGCTCCATAGTTAATGGGCGGGTTGCTTGAGGAGAGGTAAAGCATGCTGCTGAGGAGTACGGTTCCTCGGTGTTCGTGCTCAGCCACTCCCAGTCAGAGGCAAATCACAACCTCTTCGAGCGTGCGTCTTTGAATCGAGAGTCAAGTCCCCTGATTATTGCCAACCGCGCTATTAGCATTCGTTTCGATCTTTTGCTATACACATACACTCAATTGCTGCGAGACATCACGCGAGCGAATTATTTGCCCTGGATATTCTAGGTGGCTTTCAGATTACATATTTCAGAACCTCATGTCTGATAGCCGTCGGGCCCGGACGCTGAATTGCCTCTTCACCTGTCTTCGGTAAGCTCGCCACATTCCTGAACTTCTCCTCCAACCCACGGATATCGTCCTCCATCTTTTTCGTCTCTTCCTCAACCTCAAACTTTCCGCCTTCCCGTTTGGAGAAATCTAGATTACTTTGAATCCAACGAATATAGCTCCTTATCTGCTTCTTCCAAGCCTTCTCGATCTCCCCACCCTCCCCACCCATGCTCTCTGTTGAATCCTCGGCCTCAGCTAATTGCTCACTCACAATCTTGTACGCTCTTTCTCTCTTCTCTAACTCCTCCTCCAGCTTTGCTACCTCTTCTTCCGGCAAGTTCGGATTACCATCCCAGATCCCATTTTGGCAACGATCTAAATACTCCTGAAGTCTGCGCCCCGTAATCTTCGAAAGATGCTTGACTTGTGGAACATTCTTCTTTCTCTCATCCACCTGCTCACGCACCCGATTGAAAGTTCGCCATCGATCTGCGCCAACCTCGAACGCGGGCCCGTCGAAGTTGTCGGGCCATCCGTAATACTCAAACAGCTGTTTCAACTCAGCATGGTGCGGTTCTCCTTCACGAAATATGCGATACGCGTTCAGGTAAAAGGGAGTCCATTCCAGTGTCTGGTGTCGATTCATGAAATCTTCGAGCATCTCTTTCGCCGGCCTACTCGGTAGGTTATCGATGGAGTTTTGATTCACAGAGGAAGGAGATCCGTTTCTTCGACCTGAGAAAATGGGATCTAAACTCCCTCCGTAGAAATCTTCTAGCATCAGGTGACCTAGAATTCTATCAGCACAACAAGAGTGGGAAAGGAGGAGAAAGTCCGCCACCGTTTCTTGTGTCGTAGTAAACAACAGATCCGCGGTTTCCGCACTCCGTCACCACCAGCACCCAGGGCCTCACATATTCCCCATTCTCAATATCAAATCCCTTCTCCGGCCTTATGAATTTCGGATCCCTGCTCTGTTCCAAGACACTCCTCTTTCTAAAATCTGCAAAACTTCCATGCATGATGAACTCGTCTTCATTATGCAAACCATCAACATAAGGGAGAAGTTGAAGGAGCTCAATGACCTGTGGTTCCATTCCCAAACACGCAGCAAACTCGGCGTCGACTGGAGGATCGTGGGGTGCATGTTTTATACACGACTCCGGGAAATACCGCATTCTGGAGAGAAGCTGGTAGTATCTGGTCATCAGATCAGCTATTTCAAGGGGATTGAATGCCACGTTGGTTGATGGGCGTATCGGAACATCTTTTCGGGCGAGCCCGAGCCTGGGAGCCTTTCCTGCGTGACTCATGTTAAGGTTATTTTCAATGCCGCCGTGGTGTCCGCATTTGACATGAGCATGCACGATATCGTCGTAAAGATGGTCTGCGGGTGAACTTTGTGAATTGGATGAAGTTGAAGGATAGCCTGACGTCTTTTTCAGGCTCGGCTAAAGTTACGAATTAGTGGGTAGTGGGTACTGCCCCCACGTTTCGCTACCACCCCTGAACCCCTAAATTAAGCGATGGGTGCTGCCATTCAGTTGACCTAGGACGAAGGAATGGCGTGGGCTCGCACATGAAATTGCACTCGAGGTGTGATGAATTAAGGAATCAGGCGAGGGAAAAAAGAAATATATTTTTCGAAGGTAGCTTCACCGGGAAAGATACTGAACCAGAAACCATAGAAACCGAGTTGCTTCTCTTTCAATTTTGGTCTAAGGTAGAGTACTCGATGGTCAGATAAATAAACCGTCCCGACACAATTTGGAGCGTATTAAGTGAACTTTATCGACGGTATATTTAATCATCCGAAGGAAAAATAAGCCAAGGCCAGCGAGTCTTCCCAAATGCAGCCTTTTGGAATCTAAAACAACTGAAGCAATAACTGTTATGAAGTAGGCCTTCGTATTTTTCTTGATTCGTTAACGATTGAACTACGTACCTCTCCTTGTTTCAAATGCAAATACAGAAGTCCCAGGATAATTTATTTACCCCTTAGTCCAGCAGGACATGACAAAATGCCATTCGAACCGACAATAGGCTTCCAGTCGCAATATCGGAAAAAACCAACATGGTACTTGTTGCAATCGCATTCAATGCATCAGCAAGAACTTGAATCGCTGCTCGGGGTACTATTCGTGGGTACGTCGAGGCCGCACTCCAACATTGTGTAACCAGGCATCGGCGCTGGTCGAATCGCAGTCGGAGCGGTTGTTGGCAAATGGACCGGCTCTCCAGAAATCGCAGGCGCAGACGCAGGCGTTGAAGCTAGACCCGGAAGCCTCAGTATAAGTGCAAAGAGAGGCACGATGCTGCTGAGAGTCGTGAACTTCATGATTGGTTTTTGGAAGACGCTATTGCAGAGGAATTATCAATTGAGTCGATGTATAGAAACTGTGTTGTAAATGGGACTCTGATAATCCTTGTGTGGAAATTCTGTCCTTTATATAAGACTTACATTGGATAAAGTTGTAGTAGCCATAAGCTCTGTCGGTAGACGGTGGTAGTGACTGTGCACAGCCGCGCCAATGTTGGGATAATCAATCGATTACATTCATGAATCCATTTGCTGCCATCGAGAAGGTTATATTGGCACTGATGTCATAGTATATACTGTTTTGAGGCTGGGGTCCAACTCGAAAGCCTGTCTTTTTCGGAATATCGAATTTCCGTCTGCATCTGAGTAGATTGGAGCAACGAGTAAACTCAACTGCAGGCCCAACCGTACTATTCAGACAGCCAAGAGTGAAATAAGCAGATTCGATTGTAAATTTTGTCGTCCCTGTACTGGGAATACCCCTCAGTTGGACACCAAGTAGAGATGAGTAGGTCACATTTGATTGCGCTGAAGCGCTGAAGCGCCGAACAAGCCAGTATTGTTTGCAGTCGAGTTTGCTTTCAAATATTTGAGATCCGGGATCTTTAAATTGCTCCGGAGGTCTACGCTTGCTGCCTGGATTGAAGGAGGTGATACCATAAGGAGTTATAAAGAGCATTGAGTGGATATGTTAATCTAATGGCTACGTTTCCTAAAACCCAACCGTTTTGGGACTGAGTATTGAAATATGTGACTGGGGTATTGGATAGGACTGGGATGGTGTTCGTCTACAAGCACTGCAGTGACCCTTGACTGCCAATAGGTGAGAGTCTCCAGGTGGCTGATAACAGGCCATTATCACACGCCAATCCTAACATGAAGAAAATCCGTTTCTGTTCGGAAAGTTGAGCAGAGCTGCTTTACCGGTAATTAAGAGTGAGTAAGGGTGAGTCGAAGTTGAGTGGATAGATCACGCTCAGGTGGATCCCCTTCCGGCTTCCTTGAGAATCGGTTATAGTTTCCATATTATCTATGTATAGACTTTTACCGGTCCTACCACCTGAGCATAGCCACATCTCTAAGCCTGTCAAGATATCGTGACGATGGCCGCTCTCGGTCCCCTGTCACATTTATTAGGGGTCCTTGTCGGAGCCGATTCGGGACCCCTTTTAACCGAAGGGGCCTCGCTAAGGAGTGCGAGAGAGATCGGACTAGAACGGTCGTGCAAGAAGATGGCGCCGCTGCTCATAAATCACGCTATCAGCAGGAGGTTTTTGATGGATGGGAAGTCTAGAGACTGCTCTGGCCAGGGAACCCCCCAGATCTCAATGTGATCGAGCCTCGCTAGATGTGGATGAAGAGAGAGACTGCAAAGAAGGGGCCTGCTTATAGTGAGAAGGAGTTAAGATAGATGGGTACAGTGCTGGAAGGATTTATCTCAGGCAAAGATTTAAGCTTGGATTGAGAGAATTGTGCGTCATATACAAGAAGTAATCAGACTGGAAGGTGGCACTGCGTACGAGGAAGGCAGACTAAAGGGGCGGGAGAAGAGAAGGGTGCATTAGATATAAAGCGAATTAAGAAGTCTGGACGAAGAGAAGTGTCGTAAAATTGATGCTATTGTGGTGCGGTGATCCGCTCCTGTCAAAATTGCGTAATTTTTGTAGCTAGTCAGCTAAGCATGGGCTTCCCTTAGTCACGTGATTTGTCATCCTAAAGGGCTCTTCGCGCGACGCAGGCAGTTCTGACTCCTTAACAATATACCCTCTCTTTGTACGAACTGCGATTCTTCTAGTTGCCTTGAGAACTGTCCCTTTTGTCTGACTTTACCTTGCTTGTTTCGCTGTTCTTGCTTTTGCACGTGTTTTCCGCCTGACGACCTGCTATTATATAGTACTTAATATAGCGTGCATGGCGGGCCACGCACAAGCTACCTTTAACCTCTAGAAAGATCCTTATTTATTAGATTAGATTAATATTAATTATAATAGACTTTAAATAAAAAGAAAAATTAATAATTATATAAAAGTAAATATAACTACTAGGGAATCACGTTCTCGCTTAGCCTTACTCAGATAGTAACTTCTCGCTAGACAGAATTTATCAAGCTTCATAACATACTCAAGATTTCAGTATGCCCAGTAATCTGGTAGTAATACCTGTATAAACCAGTTTTCTTTATCGATTCCATCGAAAAGAAAGTAACTAGCCTTCGGGCAACCAGTTCACGATTCGTAGGCGCCAGAATCCTTTAATTTAAACCAGATTCAGACCTCCGCTTCCGCTACGACCGATGTCGCTTTGGTAAGTTATTACCAAACCAAATCAAAAGACACTTTGCCTTAATACGATTTAACTATTACTAATTCTCGTTTTCTATTATTTTATAATTATTTCTATTAAATAGAACCCTTATTGCCTCGAGTTCTATTAATTCCAACTGGTTTTCTAATCTGCAAATATCCCTATAATATCCTGTAGTATTCCTTACTAATCAGAAACTGCCTATTTCCGTATATTATATTAATAATCAGGAACTACTAACCTTGCTACCTAACTTAAGGCATTTTACGAAACTGGCTACGACTTTGCAAGCTATATATCTCCAGGAACCTTTGCGGCAATTAAATGAATTGGTAGAGAAATCGAAAGAGATTCCTTACCTATATAATTATAAACCCGAGCCAGATTAGAATATATAGCTCTAATCCCGGATTCTATAATATAATTCTCTAAAGCCTGGATCTATATAAAAGCTATATTCAGAGCTATAATATACAGATTCGAATATCTTCTTAATATTAAACCGGCTTCTTTGGATTCTAGTAGTTCAGGGTTTAATAGACTATTGAATTAAAAAATATCTTCAGGCTTTATCCTAACTAGTATCCCTAATATACTAGAAGAAAGCCTACTAATCGATAATTCTTATAATCTAATTGAAAATATAAGTAAATATAGTACTAGAGGAAGCGGAAATAACTAGAATAATCCTGCCCCTGGAATTCTATTACAGATAAATTCCAATAATTAGTAAGCTATTACTTTAATAGTTACGAATATTATTTACTAGCTTTAATAAAATAATATGGCCGCTACTCTATAGTAGAATTCTCTATAGAATTAGAATTAGAACTAGAATAACTATATATAACCTAAAGATATAGGAGTTTTTAATTCAGATCTAAAGGATATTGAAATTAATAGTTCAGGAATTATTAGTATTAGAAAGCTTATAGTATATACTAATATCTATACTTTTATAAACAGAATTCGGGAAATCGCAAATAAGAAAAGTAACTAAGTTATATAGGAAAACTGGACCTTATAGCTTTATAGTAAAAGAATTATATAATATACCTATAAGCTTTCTGACTTAAAAAGAGATCTTTTAACTAATGTATTAGTTAATAAAATTTATAGTGTTTTTATAAAGTAATTTAAGGAATCTATAAATAATATAATAAAAAATATAGGAAAAATCTAGTTTAGATTAGCTAATTTTTAGAAAGGAGAATTCATATATAGCTTTATATAAACTATATTTCGATATACTAAGGCGGCTGGTATAGAATCGGATTTCCTTTAGCTAACTATAGCCTATAATATACTAGAGCTTTTTATTTAGGCAAATATTCTAGTATTTATAGAATTAATAGCTAAAGGAAAATGGCTAGAAGAGGTGGATTTTAAATTAATTCTCTTCGAAAATATAGTAGAGGAAGCGAATACTATTAGTTAATAATTTGGTAGAAAAGGCAAGTAGTTTTAATTTACTAGCTATAGCTCTTTATATTTTGGTTTCTATTAATTTCAGAATTTCTAGTATTCTCAGAATTAGTTTTCTTAGACTATATACCAGAATAATTTCTAGTAGTTTTTCTAATATCCTTAATAGTTCCAGAATTACTAAGGCTACTATAGCCGAGATAATTTTAATAGTTAAGGTTATAGAGGATTTTAAGCTAGTTAAGGTTTCTAATAGAGCTATACTAATTATTCCCAAAACCAGAATTCTAACTAGTAATAAGGAGCCTAAAAGGCTTTACTAGCTTCCTATTTATAGCTATAAATTACTAATAGA